GGTGACTACGATGCCACACCCAACCACGCATCTAGCGAAGCTGGTCTTCACAAAGGCGGCTTGACTACCAACTCTACCACTACGGGTACTACAGGCGGCTTGACCGGCCATGATGGTCGCCACACTGACCGTGGCCTAACTGGTTCCTCCACTTCAGGTGGTTTGACCGGCCATGGTGACAAACACACCGATCGCGGCCTGACTGGTTCCACCACTTCAGGTGGTTTGACCGGCCATGGTGACAAACACACCGACCGCGGCCTGACTGGTGCCACTACCTCAGGTGGTTTGACCGGCCAACATGACAACCACCATCATGCTGACCGCGGTGCAACTGGCCAGGGCAACTTGACCGGGTCTTCTACCCAAGGCGGCGTTCTCAGCTCGTCCGACCGTCACGATGGTACGTCTTCCAGCCGTTCTGATTTGAACGATCCTTCCCGTGAGCGTAGCATTGGTGCTACTGGTACCACCGGTAACTCTGGTAGCCGAGTTGGCACAGACGGTGTTATCAGTGGTCACGGCAAGGGTGATTTGGACCATCGCCCGAACGAGGATGGCGGATTGCCCAAGGCCCTGACCGAGGATCGTTCAAAGGCAGTGTCTCACTCCGCACTTCATGATGACCAACATTCTACAGGCCGTACCTCCCACGACAACACCACGGGTACCAACACCCACAAGCCCAGCTTGATGGATAAGCTGAACCCGAAGGTGGACGCGAACGGTGATGGCAAGGCCGGCTTTATGAAGTAGACGTTTATCACATCGTCGACTTTCTCAGGTAAAGATTATACGACTCACGAGAGGAACTTCTACGGGCACATAGTCTTAATGTATTAGTAATGCCAGCGTAACGTAATGCAACGATGCAACGTCAAATATTTACAAACACCCTCAACTTTTGTGCCTTTCACCACCTTGCTCTGCCCGTGATGACATAAATAAGAACCATCTCCTACGTCTAATCCCAACAATCCCTCTAGCTCAAATCGACTTCTCAAATTTTCAGTTCAGATCTCAGCCATTTCCAGCCGGGACCCCACAGTCAAGTGACGCCATACACTCATTACGCTCTCAGGCATGAGTTCACAATTTCTTCGCACTGTCACAGAACAGAACCTGCCCCCACTAGTATATGGAGTAGTTTCCACAAATTCGCACCCAACGGTGACCAATCACAGAGTCTACGGAAACGTCTTCCGCGGATCTACAGCCTGAAATACTTCGTACTGTTTTGAACCTTGCATAAATAATCGGACCTGCATATTTTACTATGGATTGTTGGTTTGGATTGACTCAGTAGTTCATGGATAATCGATTTTTAAACTAGAAACGCGTAATTTCAACACTTTGCTCCGCTGGCAGGATTCTTCTTCTACCCCACAGCCCCACCACCAACACTAGCAGCCCTTGCCCTCTTGCTCGCCTTGTCACTCTTGCTGTCAGCTTCATACCCTTGACTGGACATGCCCTCACCTCTACTTCCGCTCTTGCGTAGCCCACTACTACCACCATTACTAGTGCTACTGCCAATAGGATCAAATGGCTTCCTTCTCCTGACAAGCTGATAACCTCTATCCAACTCCACTTCAATTGCACACCTAATCTTCAACGCTGTTACAGCAGGCCACACACTACGCTCCCCGCGCAGGATCCAGTAGTCAATCGCTTCGCTTGTGGGGTTTTCCAGTAGCTTGAAGAAGTCACCCGGTGTAAGTTCGGGGACAAGCGTAAGACTCGGGCCGGGGATGTTTTCATCGAGGAGAAATCGCCGGATTGAGGGCGACAGGAGGCCTAGCTCATCGAGCTGATGCAATCGGTGCTGAACCTCCAGTACAACAAGTCGTAGAACGGGCATGCTAAGCCGCCAGCGGCCGTCTTGTCGCGGGTTGGGGTGATGTAAATCGGAGCGTAGGAAAGGCGCAAGGTAGGGCCGCGCTTGTGAGACGATGAAGTGGTTTACATTGAAGAGCTCACCGATGCGATGGAGTGGAGACTCGCGGTCGCGATAGGAGGCGTGTGTGTAGGGCTTAAATGTAGTGCCGCATGCTGGGGACCAAGGCACTATCTGGCCGTTCTCGTCTTTGCACATTAGAGTCACCGAATGGTAGAGTGTGGAGGAGGATGTGGCGTTTGAGGCAAGGGCTGCCGACCAGATAAGCTAGAGACTGTAAGCTACAAGATTCCCTGGGGGGAGAATAAGGTCGGTGAACTTACAACGTTGGGAGCTGTGAGATAATTCAGCAAATTCGGCACACCGCCACCACCACTAGTGGTCACAGTGATGTTCAACACTCTCTTCGTCTTGGTATACGCTTCTTCAAAAGTCAAATCGCCCACATTGTCTCTCAGCATTTGCTCCAAGACACGAACGTCCAGGAAGTGGCCTTCCCTCCACCATCGCTTGACACGGCGAAGTAAGGTTTCGATCCATCTACTTCCACCGGCCCCATTCCTATATGGCCGATTTGTAAAGGCAGTCAAGTCGATATTCTTTCCCGACAAGAAATCGAGTAGCTCATCCTCTGTGTGGACCCCCACTAGCGCAGCGATGAGAGCGCCCGTAGCCGTCCCAGCGATGATACGGGGGAGCAAACCGCGCAGATGTAGCGCCTTCACGACACCCAGGTGGCACAGGCCGAAAATTGCTCCACCTTGAAGTACCAACACGGATCTCCCAAAAGCCTGCCTTGTATCATGTAGGACATCTAGCTTCGCCTGGTTCGTCAACCCAGTATCCGAACTCGCTGAAGTGGGGTACTGTGTGAGGTTCTCAATTGCATACGCGACTTGTGTGACATAGTCCTCGATAAGCAGTTTCGTCCCCGCATATGCGCGGTTGTACAGCTTGGACGCGGTGATATTTCCAAGGTTGCGTACGAGACCGCTACGAAGGAGGCTGATGAGGCCGAGGATGTCGTTATCTTCTTGCGCTTCATATATGGAGGAGAGTCGCTGGTGGATGAGGCGGTGGTCGTAGTCTTTGCTGATGGCAGTCTGCCGCCTATCGTCGCGTTGTTAGTAGATGACAGACTATGTGACGGTGCCCGGGAAGGAGATGAGATGGAAGGGCGTACCACATATCATAGTCAAGACACTCGTCGAGCTTGAACGCAGCACCCTCCCATTCCTCAAAGAGACGCGCATCGCTGATGGCTTCGAGTAGCAGATCCCTCCTACTCTTCTGCGTCCACCATGCATACAATTTCTTCAACATATCAGCATTCCATGCGAGAGTGCTTTGAACAGAAGGACTGCAAGGGAAGACGGACCCTTTGCCAGAAGAAAGCTACATCGAAGAAGCAGCTGAAGAAGCTCCAGAGCGCCTTCAGCACGACCGTGACGACTTCAGACATGGTCAGATCGGCTGATAGCGCCGTCATATGCGATGTCGCATTATCATTTGTCGAATGTTCGGGTACGTGTAGCCATTGAGCAAGCGTGCACGCTGTTCCTCGGACTCAAAGCGGGCAATGGACGGGCTTTCACATGCGAATGCGCGTCGCGGTCGCGGAGGTTGCGGAGCGTCAGATGCGGGATGGGTTGGAAGGAGCTATCAGGCACTAGCCACCTTGTGGCGCTCCAGGCCAATCGGCGCGCCTCGCGTTGTAAACATGAGACAGCTCAATGCTGGCTGTCGTTCGAACAATAATAGTCCTGAAACACATTGTTTTCTAACTTGAAGATGCCAGGCTCGTCGCTCTGGCTTCTCCCGCCAGCTTCCCACCCTCTCAACAACCTCCTAACCACACTTATCGACAAAACATCATTTCACTTCACTTCCCCGCATCGGTTCCTTCCCCACGTCACACTGACCTCCGAAATCTACCCCTCTGCCTACGGTTCTGATCCTCAAGAATGGCTCGACTCACTGAACATCGAATTTGGTACTGAGATTGCAGTTGAATTCAAAAAGTTAAATAGTGAAGATGTCTTCGTCCGGAAACTGTATATCAAGTGCAAAAAGGACGATTTGCGCTTGCTAGCACTACGCTGCAGACAGCAAGTCAAAGGGTTCGAGCAGGCAGAGAAAGCGGAAGAATGGGTGAACGAGTTGTATACTCCGCATCTGAGTCTGCTGTAGTAAGTTATGGTCATCTACACAGTGTCAAAGGTAAGCTAAGTTATCAAAGCCACGACTGTCCTCGGATTGATACAGAAGGACTATCGCAAGCCGGAGAGTTTGCTCAAGACCTTGGCATCAGTGTGAATGGGCAAGGCAAGCTTGGTAGCTGGAAGGGCGGGAGGGTTGTATTAGTTCAAACCGACAAGCCGATCCATGAGTGGAAACCAATTGCAGAGAGGAGTTTGGGAGGTGCAGCTTGACACAGAGAAGAAGCTGAAATTCTTTCTTCACAGGAAACGAATGCAGATTAACTAATCGAATAGTAGATGCTATGTCTCACCATCTAGGACGTTGTTGTAGTGACATTGACTGCATATTGTCTCTTAGCCCTAGTACATTTTGTACTAGAATTACGCCTGATGATTACAAAGTCATGTCCTCTTCAAGTCCAGTTCGAATATAACATGTTCTCAGTGTATGAAAGTCATATATCTTCTCTTATTGGTATGTCTTTTGTTGTGGTCGATTGCTGAACATGTTCAAAATTCTCAAGTCTTCCCTTCACCGCTCGCAGTTCGTCTTGTCACGCGCTAACGTTCTCGTGTTGCTCTAATTTTAATTTGACGTGGTCGTGATGGCAATGGTATGCGGGTCCGGCCTGGTGCACTGGATATCGGTATGTACGACACCATGCAGAGTTCGCATCAATTTCAGCGAAGCGTAGGAGTGTGTATTCGATGTGAAACGCAACGGCGGCTCATACTACGGTTATTAGTAGAGACTCTTCCTTTCTTGAAGCTGGACGTACCGTCCAAGTAATCGGCAGCAATCAGTAATTCCAAGCACAGCTCAGGCGGTATATCCATATCGGAAACGTCCTTGCTCTCCGCATGCTTCTGGTTGTAGTATAGGTATTCGCAGACTTTCTCCAGGACGACGCCACTACTTTATGTCAGTCTCATCTACTCATGGTGCCTGTTCGACGTCGCTGATATGCGGGGGGAAGAGCTCGAAGTTGGTGAAGCCGTAGGGAAGAGTCGCAAACGTACTTTATCGTGGGCAAGTTGACGCGATTCTGCGTGGTCTCTCGGAAGCCCGCTATACGGTATCATTAGCTACTGCTTCAAAGGGCGCTTGATGCGGGAGAAGGTATGCGTACACGTAGGGTCTAGCGCCTTCTTGATCGTCCCTGCGATACACGCTGCGGAGCGCAGGACTTTGAACTCGTAGCCGTCGTTCGAGACAAGGGTAACGTATTGTGAGGTTTTGGTGTCCGCCATTGTCGAGGGTTATAGTTGTGTAGTGTAGAGAGGACGAGTAGGAGACTTTACGAGGGTTGAAGGCGCAGTGAGAATGGAGAATGCGGAGAGGAGCGCCGCGGGATCGCGCTGTCACGTTTCTTCGCGTGCCAAATGATGCTTACTAAGGCTCTGCCCCATATCGTCATAGGCATGGCAGAATCCGAGTATTCGTCAAACTTCAGCATTCGCCAAACTACGTTTCTGGTTAGATTTTCTCTCGGTTTTCAGGATCCATAAGTCTTTCCCACATTGGATCCAACTCTCATAGAAGCCCCGACAGAGAAGCTTTGAGCATGGTTGGACGCCCACGACATGTCCTCATCACAGGCGGGAGTCGGGGCATTGGACTCGCAATTGCGCAAATGTTCGCAAAGAATGCATACCGTTGCACTTTGATCTCGCGCTCCGAGGAGGATCTCAAAGCTGCCGTACAAACATTACAGCCTTTATCGTCGAATTCATCAGAAGATATAACGTCCACTACATCATTATCGGCGTCAGAGCCACGTTCAAAACAAGAGAATTTGGAACGCTTCTCGCACGGTTACATTGCAGGAAACATATCCCATGCCTCGAACTTCTGGACCACCAATTCCTCAAAGCCCTCGCACTTTGGCACCTACCTGCCTAAGGCCCGCATCCGACAAGAAGACCAAGTATCTAGAATTGATGTCCTAGTAAACTGTGCGGGGACCAGCCAGGCGAAGCTCTTCACGGCGATGGAGGTAAGCATTTCATGCAAGACATAGCTCATAAGATTCTTACCCGCATGTCTAGGATGCGAGAATTGACAGTATCATCAACACGAACCTAACGAGCATGATGATTGGAACGAGGTTTTTGCTACGACAGGGTTACCTAAGCAATATCCGAAGGTCCTCCAAAGCTAAAGACGAACTCGAAGAAGGGAGCAACGTAATAAAAGTGGAAGAGGAGACCAGCCCCGTGATTATCAACGTAGCAAGCCTCCTCGGTCTGCAAGGTGGGTACGGCGCCGTTGCATACGCTGCTTCCAAGGCCGGCGTGCTCGGCTTCACGCGTGCTTTAGCCACCGAATACGCATCCCATCGTGTCCGCGTGAACGCGATTGTACCGGGGTATGTCGATACGGAAATGACAAAAGGTATGCGCCCCAAAGGCGTGCTTTAATTATACTATACAATGATCAAGCTGACGATTAACGATGCTAGATTTGAATCACTCGGAATTGAAGCAGAGAATCCCCCTAGGGCGTTTCGGCAAGCCTGAGGAAATCGCACAAGCAGCTCTATTTCTCGCTGAGAATCAGTATGCGCATGATTGTGTCATGAACATAGATGGAGGGTTGTCTGCGGTGTAGAGTCGTGCACGATATTTGTGTGGCTATACTATGCCTATTTCCACTCCAAGTGGGCTGACCATTGTCGCTATGATCTTATCACCCTCCCGACTTGCGAAGACCAAAGCAAATATGATAGAGGTATACCCATTCCCCAAAACGCCATCCAGGTAGTGCCCATGCTGATATAAAATACAGAGAAGAGGTCTATATGCTTAGGCGCCTCGAGACGTAGCCAGATGCTGAAGAAAGGGCAATACAGAAGATGAAGGGTCGGAAATGGCGGATGTACTCGACGCTTTGCGGCGCACGTCCGTAACGTTGATACGAACCGGTTAAGATCCTGGGCTGCTCGAATACCGAGGCACCGTAGTGCTGCCGTGTTTCTAGGCAACCGACCAGAGCATAGTAAAGTACTCAGTCGTCGTCAATGACGATGGCTCCGTCGTTCGCGTCATCCAATATGACAATCTCATCACTATTCTTTAGGGGCTCCTCCATGACCTTGCCCTTCTTCCTCACAATCTCACCTTCGAGACCAGCGTCGCTAGCTTTCCGCTTCGTGGTGCCGTTTGTGGTTCCATTGGCTAGGCCATTCGCGGTCGGCATCGTTCCGTTAACGGCGGTATGTCCATTGGCCTCAGGAATAGGTGCCAGAGGTTTCTTCGCGATCTGCAAGTCTTTAGGCAGGTTGATCGGCTTCGTATCTGTGTCCGACTCTTGATTGATGACAGAGAATACCACATCGACCTTCGCATCCTCGTCCGCCTCGTCAAAGATAGTGATAAAAGTGTCCGCCTCAAGACCCAACTCCTCAAAGGTCTTATCCAAATGGACATCCTCGTCAACATCATACAGTAGATCGTTCTCGCGCTTGACGCTAAAGTCTTCGCCGTAGCCCAGCTGCCCCTTTAGCACATCTTCCACCAGGTCGCTCAATTTCGCGCGCTTCGTATCGACAATGAGTGTAGCGTGCGCAACGCCGCATGTCGCACAGTAAGGATTGGGTGGTCGGAGGCCTTCGCTGGATATAACGCGCTCGGTGCCGCGGGTGAGGAAGACCATCTTTGCCTTGTCGAGCTGTTGACGCATAACCTTGAAGGCTTGGAGGACACAGAGGCCAGCTGTCATGGCATTCGTGGTTGCGATGGCGGGGATGATGTTGCCAGCCATTTCTGTACATATGTTAACGACATGTAGAATGAGTGCAAAGGAGAAGGAAGGCCTACGTTTGATGTCGAACTTCGACCGCATTTCAATGCCAAAGATATGTGACCGGAGGTTTGCGCTCGCTGCGACAAAATCTAATGTATCCGCATCGTCCTTGTCGAATGTCAGAATGGGCGCTGCATTCCCAACACTCGCCTTTGCGCGCGTCTCCTCAAGGCGGTTGCTAAGTCGTCGCAAACTGTCCACGAAGACAGTGAAGTTCTCAGCCGTGTTCCACACGACCTGATCCTGTGACGCGACCGCCGGTCCTGACCCAAGCGCCTGCTGCGTAAGCTTGTCGTAGTCCAGTGCCTCTGGTGCTCGCTTCGTCCGCCACATGTCTTCCATGCTCCGTAAGCGTTCAATATCCTCTTTGAACACCTTTTCAAACACTACTCGCGGGAAGTCGTCGGATCCCATGGACTGGCGGATGCGCTTCAGGGCTTGTGCCTCCTTGCGCAGATTCGCGACTTCGTTTGCGTTTTCGGCGTCTTCGCTGTGGTCCAACTCCGGCGCTTCGTCTTCGGAGGTGCCAAAAATCTCGGCGAATAAGTATGACTTGCCCCAGACTATGCAATGAATGGGTTGTGAGGGTGTACTTCGGATTGTGCAGACCGGGAATGACTTCGGTGGGTCTTTGGGTGTACAATCGTAGCATTCGGTCTCGCCCTACAAGTACGATTAGCTTCTTAGAGCTCATTTCAACCAACATTTAATGCGCCGCACCTTCTTGATGACCTGGACCTGCCCGTTGAACCCAGTCGTGCCGCTCTCGATCAACGGGACGTTGGCTGCCAGACACATCTTGTTGACATGCCGCCGCGCATCCAGGTTATCTAGTGCATTGAAGACGATGTCGAACGTCTTGAACCACGCGACGTTAAACTGCCCGTCCTTGATATTTTCGTGGTACGCTTCGATCTTGACATTGGGATTGAACCTGCCCGCCGACTCTTTCGCAACCTATCGCACTGTCAGCGCATGAGCAACCACCTTACTTTCTGAGCTGCAGATTCGCGTACTAATGCCTTGGACTTCTTGATATGCTCATTGCGGAACAGAAACTGGCGATTCAGGTTGCTGAGGTCGATCGTATCCAGGTCTACGATGTGGATCTCGCCAAATCCAGTGAGAGCCAGGTTCTTGAGAAGCTCGCAGCCGATGCCGCCAGCTCCCACCATGAGTACGCGCGCCTGTTTACTATCAGCATCTCATCCGTAGCCTGTTTGCGCCCGACCGAAGTTGTACCTCCTTGATACGGCCTTGGAGGGTTCCGCCGAGGCTCTGACGGGCAAATTTGTCGCGTGCCATTGCGAGGCCGGTGGTAAAGATAGGGGATGGTGGCGGTGTTGTTGGGGAGCAGGTTACGACATGCGACGTTTGCTGGGTTCGCTGTTCGGAGGTGAAGGCGCAAGGTGAGAGACGTCAGGTCAGTGCTGGAGTTGGCGCCGCTCCACCGGTCTTGCGCCGGAGGTTCAGCCTCAAGCTTGGCGCGTAGCCGCGCTAAGGGCGGAACGTAAACTTTTGGGAACTCGGTTTCAATTGCTTCCTCTCACATACACATCGACTTGCTTCTGGAGCATGTCGCGGATAGTGTTGTGAAGAGAATCAGAAGACAGCTCTTTCATTGCCAAATCCGAATTTTGATCTAGCGCACGTCTCTATTCCTCACCATGTCGGACGATGAAGTCGATCTCGAATTACTGGACCTACTCCGGAAACGGTTCGGCATTGGAGTCAAAGATGAAGGTCCGCCAGAGACCAAAGTTCTCGATAGTGCCCAATTCATATACGACAATAGCATCGATGTGGCCTTGGATATGCGATCGACGAAACTTGCCGCTGAACTGGTCTTGCAAGAAATGGAGAAGCGCGAATACAGCACTAAGACATGGTCTGAGCATGAACTACATCCTAAATCCAAAGATGAAAGTACTGTCAATTTCATCTTTACAATGGACCTGCTGAATTTCAGTTTCTGGAGCGAAAAGAGCGAAGAAGGCCGGTTTGCAGTGGTCTACAAGGGGAAGAGATGGACGGGCTATTTTAGTTTAGTCGCCCTTCTGCAGAGAGCTTTGGATCAAGATATACCCATTACGAGCCCGGACTTCTGGATCGACGAAGAGCGGTGTACAGAGGATGTATTACGGACCGTTTTTAGCTCTGGTACTGACGAAGAGATTCCCATGTTCGAGGAACGAGTACGATGCTTGAGGGAGGCAGGACAAATCCTGGAAGAGGAATTTGATAGTAGTGTCGTCACCCTCATTGAAGACTCAAAGGGCTCAGCGGCTGGACTGGTGAATCTACTCGCAGAGAAACTCCCCTGCTTCAGGGATGAAGGCACCTTTGAGAGGAAGAAAATACGCTTCTTGAAGCGTGCGCAGATCTTTGTTGCCGATCTCTGGGCCGCTTTTGACGGCGAAGGCTACGGAGAATTCAACGACATTGACAAAATTACGATGTTTGCGGATTACCGCATCCCACAAATGCTTCACTCACTCGGCGTACTATGGTATTGTCCACCTCTCGAAAACAAGATAAGGCGCTTGGAAATTATTGAATCTGGACACTCGTGGGAGATGCAGATGCGAGGCTGCAGCATATGGGCGGTTGAGCTGCTCCGTCGGGAGATATTGAAGCTAAAACCGGATACGAAGGTCAATGCAATCCTTATTGACTTCTTCCTCTACGACCTGGCGAAAGAGAAGGAGAAGGATGGTTCTGAGGTAATACCGCACCATCGGACGAGGAGTATATGGTACTAAGCGATCAAGCACTGCCGATGAGGGCACGCAGTGCATGCAATGATGCGCTCTTCTCGGTCGGATGTACCCTCCATTCTCACGTCGCTTTGCTCAAGCCTGTAGACAGTATGCAGGTACCGCTTCAACATTCCTACTGGGCTCCATGACTGTTGAAAAAGCTGCGAATCCGGTCCAATACCATCGCAATTACTATACGACATTACATACGTCTTTCTCTCTGATATCTGGGCTATCGCTCTCCGACCAAGTTCTTGAGAATATGGTGGAGGATCCGGACGGAGATGAATCCGGGGTCTGAAGCAGTGTCAAGATTATTCTATTGGTCTGAGTACGGGGAAGAGGGATGGTGGAGGCTTAAGACTCCTCGTTCACAGCTATAGATATCACGAAATTCGCTGACGTCCTGTTCAACAGTCTGTAAGACATGGAACTGCGGTACTGCTTGCTTTTCAATGACGACCTAAAAAAGCCGGGAGCGTAGGACTTTGACAAACACGAAAAGAATATCGATCGCGTCAAAATGAGGCAAGACTGAGGCGCAACAGCCCATGTAGCGTTGGTATATAATTTGTTTCTAGAATGATGGAATGCATCGTACCACCAAGGCCCCCAGGGCCCCTACACCATCTTTGCTGACTTCTTAGCCGGACGTATGCTCTGCGGGTTGCTGAAAATATCTTGGGGATCGATGGCCGCTTTGATGTTCTGTAATCGCTCCACATTACCTCCCCAGTAGAGAGACGCGCTGTTTTCTCCGAGCGCAGGATCGACATATCCTGCATAGGCGCCCTGCTCGTGATTTGGCAATGCATCAGTAATAGCTTTGTTGATGCCGGTGAGGAAATTGCGCGTCTTTTCATTGACCTTGCCAAGCAGGTTGACAGCATACGCTTGGTGGTAAAATAAGGCATTGCGATGTCCATAAGCTGTTGCATCGGGAGCGACATCATTAATCGCTCCTCCCTCCAGGTCCCAGATGACAAACCATACTGCGCCCCCTTTATCCGCTTTATCGATGTACTCGAACAACTTGTCCACAGCGTCGTCGGGGAGAATGTCCTTCTCTGTATACGCCAGGCTCTTGGCATAAAAATTACTCTGGACTCCACCCACGAGTTCTAGCGCAATGTCTTCTGCCCAGTGCCCCACGACACCTAACCAGTCTTTGATCTCGATTGCATCTTTCTTAGAGGAGTTTGGAAGCCGTGCGGTGATGTTCAAACTATCAAACTCTTGCTGGCTTCCGAAAAAGGTTCCGGTCACTATGGCGCCGAGCGGCTGTGTAAGAATGAACTGGGATGCGAACTTCCGGGACAGCTCAGGATCGGAGATGAGTTTCTGCCACTGTTTTAAGGCGTCGGCCTTCGACTTTGTATCGCCGCCGTGGAAATTGTAAGAGTAGAGAACTGTTTTGTCGGGCTCGGCTTGTGTGCGCACTTTGAATTCGGTAACAATGCCGAAACCAGCTGCTGCGCCCTTTACTGCAAACAGGATGTCCTTGTTCTCCTTCTCATTTGCACGTACAACAGTGGAGTTCGCCAACACTACTTCGACCTCCTCAACATGGTCTAGAGCCGAACCCCAGAGTCGAGACGATGGACCGAGGCCTCCGATGGTTGCGTGGCCGCCGATACCGACTTGCGGACAGGTGCCGTGGGCCATCGCGCGTTTACCGTTCTCATGAAGGCGTTTTGTAACGTCCTTGAGGAGCGTGCCGCCACCAATTGTAGCTTGCCATGTTGATTCATCCATAGAGAATTGCTGGAAGTTCTTCATATCGACTACTATGGTATTGTCTTGGCCACCGATACCTGGATTTCGAGTTAGCAAATGAAGCCAAATGTATTACTGAGGAAGATTGCAAAAGATTTTCCGATGGAAGCCTTCACCAACCCATTCTGGATAACTTCAAGCACCGTTGTAGAGTCTTGGTAGGACTTCGTGGGTTCTAAATATAACTAGCATCGAATATCGCTCACCATAGTTCGCGTACGAATGTCCACCGCACCGCGGCTGTACTTTTAAGTTGTTGTCGACGGCGCATTTGACAATCGCAGAGATGTGCTCCGTTGTCTTCGGGTAGGTCACTGCGGCAGGCGTAACCGGTATACCAAGATCTTAAAAACCATTAACAAGGCTAGGAAGGAAGTATTGAAGGGTTCAACTATAATTTGAGCTTACTATACGGCTTAACGTCTGTTATCTGGAAAAATGGCGCATTTTTGAAGGCCACTAGATCTTTGCTGCCCAAAGCGCTCTCGAGGCACTTCTGCACGGCAGAGCTCGAAGTGTTGCCCATGCTGCCGCGGTAGTTTATGAGACCTGAAAAGTCAATGGTGGGCACACAAGGTAGGTTGGACCTTCGATGTCCAAAGTGTACCTTGTTTGGATGTTGTAAACGTACGTGGAGGTAAGTCTTCGGGCTCTACGGTCCCTGGGTGTCCGAATTTTCTTGGGATGGCCTCAGCCGCGAGTGTTGACTTTGAAAACTGGGAGGAATTGCCTGGAACGGGTGGGCTAAAGATGGGAGCGACCGTAGAGCGATGCATTCCAGCGGTTCCCTTCTATATCATGGGTACTGACGCAGGCCACAGGGCCCAGCAAACGCTCTACCAATCATGGCTGCTACAAACTGCACTGGTAGTGGAACCTGAATACGTAGCGAACCGCTGTCAAGGGTGTCGTGTACCAACGATTATCACTCGCACGTTATTACTGAAGTGTGGTGCAAAGGTGTGGCAAGACCCGGGGTAAGAGGCTTGGTACACGGTGTTGAGAGGTGTGAATGGCCAGGGCTAGCGCAGGTAATTAATGGCAGATGGGATCGCGTAACGGTGCCCTGGTCAAAATGTATATCATAGTCCTGATATACGCGTGGCGCAGGGTTTCGGGGCGAATGGACGGCTCGTTTATGCGTTGTGAGGCGATGTTTCAGGATCTGTCCATACAGGCTGGCAGCCGCTCCTCTGGTGTGATGTGATGTCACTCCGAAGTGTCAACCGGTTTTGAGGCACATACTATTGACGCGAGTTGGCTCGTTTGGAGATAAGTATTGATCTGTCTACACCAACGGCATGCTAGTGTAGACGCCAATTAGCACCAGATGACTGCGGGTCGGGAATAAACCGGCTGCTAGGACGCTTTTAGTCTTGACATCTCGCTTCACACCCTATCAGTTTCTATAGGCCAGTAGAGTGCTGTATTTTTAGAGTCCAAGTCGCTGTACTTTACCATATGCATGTCTACAACTACTGGAAAGATGATAGCAGCCTGTAATCTTTGACAATGTCAGCAGTTTAATCGCCCGGTAGAAGCTGATGATCCTGACTGCGCCCTCCAGGCAGAAACTTGTTGTAATGTTATTCGCAGTGCTCCATGACAGTCGCACCGGTAAGGACAAAAGAGAAATGGCATTGCGCTGCTTAAGAAAGATCCTCTGGCATTGTGAATAGGGTTCGAGACCATGTGCAGACTAATACTAATCCAAGGCTGTGCCTACAGCTATTAATCGTACAGCTACCTGTAGTCCTTGTAAGCTAGGATCTACATGCTCTCCTGCAACGGTGCGCTTGCGCGGTGCGGAGGTACACAGTAGACTTCTTTTGGGCTATGATGTCATTCTACCTTCCCCGGCCGCGATTTACATCAACCTGCCTTCCATCACGACAATAACGAATCAAGGCCACGCGGTGATGCGCTATGTCGTGTTGTGGCTGTGAAGATGGTCGAGCACAAGCCCTAACAACTTCCGAACTAGCATCGATCTCTAATGTCAGATTATACGACTCCAACACTGGCTTTCAAGCTGCGCCCAGGACACACACTGGATCAGCCCCAAGATACGCTTCTTATGACGACGGGTGAAGAGGCTTAGAAAATGATCGCAAGTACTTGAGCTTCCTTGGACAAGCCTTGGTGTTCACTACAAACAACTCTACTTCAATCACAAGACTTCAGAAAAGCCCATAAAGATTGCAAGCATCGTTCACATTCTCCATCAGTGTTCTACCGATACCAAATACCAAACCCCAGTCACAATGGGTCAACGCAGCTCTAAGCAAAACTACGGAGAGTCATACTACTCCGCACCTCAATCGTACAACGGACAGCGCTATAACAGTGGCGGTGATCCAAAGTACGACCAATACGCTCAAGGACAGTACCGAAAGGAGCAGCATATGCGGCAGCAACAGGAGAAGAAAAAGAGGAGCAGGATGAACGGCATTGTTGCGGCGGCAGCGGGGGCAGCTTAGCACACTTCTGCGTTGGTCGAGTTCAGCTCATAATACCCCAACTACGGTCTAATACATATCCAACTGGCTTTGCCCTATGCGCATGTCTTCTTTACATCTATCAATTTAGTTCCAATAAGCACGATCATCACGCCGTTCCTTTTACGCTTCCTTATAAGCCCCTCTCCTTGCACTCCTTGTCATATGCTTCCAGATCCTTCATCTTCGTTTCAATCAACTCTTCCATCTTTCTCTGATGTTCCTCGTCGAGCGAATCGTCCCCTTCTCGATGAAGCGCACCCCAGTAAATATCATCTACATCCAGGCTCTTCCTAATCCCGTAATCGAACCAAAACCGACCACTCTTCCAGGATTCTCGCATCTGAGTCGATAGTTTGGGTTCTTTCGGTGGTGATCTCGTCTCCACGCGCTCTAAGGCGCGAAGGAACTGCTCCAACCTAGGTTTATAGCGAGCTAGGAACTCTTCCATGCTATAATTTTCTAGCCACATATCTGGTCCTTTCAAAATGAGCCACCACGGAGGATCAGAGGAGAATTGTGCTGGCATTGCATGCGTGAATTCCCAGTCTAGTATTGCATGGACCTTAAGAGTTTCTGGGTCAGCGAGTATGTTTGAGGGCTGTAAATCGTCACAGAAGAGCTTGAAAGGACCATTATTGTCTATGCAATATTTTGGAATGAGCTGTCGGAACCGGTGGCGCGCAATATACCTCCTCTTGATATCTTGTATATTTCTTGCCAGGTTACGTTGTACGCGAAGGTGAGTAAGGTTTTCATCGGATTGGTATTCGAGATACTCTTTGGTGGTCCGGAACGGCGCAGCGGGAAAAGTGTCCACAGGGTAATTCAAGACTGTTACCGCCATTTCGTACATGTTATAAGTAAACGGCCTCTCAGTTGCTAGCCACTTATCCGTGTCCGAGTTCTTAACTATGGCTCCAATGGCGTCGAAGTCCAGCCGAGACAGTTCAATCATAAATTCCGCCAGTTGTTCGTAGACGTAGTCCAGTTTGGCAGCATCTATATCTTCTTTCAGAATTATATCGTCCTCTTCAGACTGAATAGGCTGCCTCAAGAGGGTAGTAAGTGAAGTGCCATCGACAAGATCCATGATGATAAAGGGACCAAGATTTTTGGGGCTTTCGTGCGTTAAACCCCAGCTGGTTACACGAGGTACGGGGAGTTTTGTCTTTTCTCTCAAATATTCTAAAACTTGGACCTCGCTCTTTACCTTCTCCTCTCGTCGGGCGGTGAATGTGTGGCCTGGTTTTGGGAACCGGATGATGGCCTTCGGTCCTCCATCGTTGAAGCGAACGGAGATGCAGAAGTTGAAAGAGCCCCTCAGATACCCATTAAATTCCCCTTCAGGACAACCTGTACGGCGGCTTGATACGAAGGCTACAATTTCGTCCTTTGCGCTAAGAGCTTTTACCAACCAAGCTCTGCACTCGTTGTCGGCCTCGACCTCGGCAATTTCGTCGTACGCTGTCATTGGGAAGAATTTCAACAGCTCTGAAAAGGGTGATGTAGGTAGTGAATGATTTAAGATGACTTCTGTTAGGATGTGGTGGCTCGATGAAATTGTGTTGCTCCAGAAGCAGCACTGCAGGTTGAGGGCTTTGATGGAGTGCAGACACGCTATCCTCATTAGGAAATAGCGCTATGGAGTCGCAGAGATTCCTATTAGGTGCAATAAGATATATTGTACCTATGTATGCAACATTCAATGGAAACGTAATTAGTTTTTATGTTGATTAGCTCAACTAGGGCGTAGGCACTATTGAGGTCTTCTCTTAAATTTCACGTCAACCTGTTACCTTGACTAAATGAACGTAAATTTTGTCAAGAGTTAGCACCCTTCCTTAAGAGGATTTTCAAAGCGCCTACGCCCTAGTTGAGCTATCTCTGGTTCTGTGAAAGTACTTTGAGTGCGGAGATGTTTGTGATTACATTGATTCTTCCAGGATAGGCTCCTCGAGACGGTCGCCAACCATCCTGTGAAGTCCGAATGAATATCACTGCCATAAGAGGAGATGAGTTGCGAGAGGTATAAAAACTGCATACTGCCCAGGTCTAGGTAGCGCCACGGGGTACGGTTTGTAGGACGGTTTGTGGCTCAGTTTTGTCTGTTTTCATCACTGCTGCCCAAGCTAGTTGACGAGAATCAAGACAAAATCTTTTTGAGCAGTGCTTTCAGAGAGGGAATACAGGCACAGGCAATGGCCAGATTTAGTTCAATGGCAGTCCAACATATAGTAATACTGTCGTAGAAGGTTCTGTCAAGTGGGTGTTTGAAAGCTTGAAGGAAAGCTTGAAGGCGGATGCCCGAGACGATGCAGATGCTATCACTATGTTAGAACGGATTTGAGTCTAGACGCTGAGGGGAAACGTACAACCAGCCAATGCTAAGATTGGCCACTAAGACTGTCCTTTGCCCTCGAGGTATTCGTAGATTCCATATAGCTTTAATCGGAAGAATTGCTACGGTTAAGTTCGTCGCAATATTAATGCCGGCGTTTAAAATAAAGAAGCTAAAGCGGCGTCAAAGTTGGGCAATTAAAGGGATGGGAGGTGGACAAACGCTTTCTCATCAAAGCACTTTGCTATGGGTTTCTTTGATATGTCCCAGAGAGCGTTGATTGGAATACAGCTGAACAGCCTTATTACAACAGCCGCAAAACCCCATACAGTACAGATACTGAGGGCGATTTTGACAGATATGCGCATGCAATCTGACGTGAATATCCGTCTATATGAAAGCAAGATAGAAATTCGCGTGAAAGCTAGGCCCAGGTTATAGGTAACGATGCCCAAATATATATACTAGTTTCGTCAGGCAATCTTCTAGAAGGTAAAGGTTGGATATGCATACTTTGAGCATACCTCCTATTTGCTCTTTCTTAAGGAACATTGTGTGCGTTCCTCGGCCCCATTTCACCTCTGTATGTTGTTAGAATTCCAAATCATACTTGTTGAATACGTCCTTACGCAGGCATTGGAAGATACCCGTGCATAACGATAGACACTGAGGAAATCGTTAGTAGGCAGGTTATCTGACCTAGCAAATTTACCTGTGTCTGGGCGAATGTGCAGTCCAGTGATCAGAGCGAGTAAATCATGAGATGAAGAGTTGCACGAAACAGGCACTGTCTCACCATTGATAATACGATAAAGTAGTCTTCCAGCCCAACAAGATGAACAAGTCGCATGCGGGTATATACTCTCAGGCAAACAGTAATGAGTGCAAGAAGAGTAAAGACTACCACAATAGCGAATTGTTGTGGTCCCAGATTTTGTTCCCTCAAGCGGGCAATCTGTTCAGGAGTTAGTTCGCCCATGGTGGAATTGCGAAATAAGGACCTAAATGGCAAAAGAGAGAGCGCGTGTTCAGCAACTATAGCAACGGTGGACTCGACGCTTGATAGAGCCTTAAATATTAGGAAGAATGTTAGCCCTTTGTGTCATGTTCTTTCCCAAGATGTGTGATTTTACGCATGCGTAACAATGTCTCAGCCGCATATAGTCAAGTCCCGCAAGCTTAATGGCATCGAAAGGCGGCACGATTGTTTCAAATATACCTGCTAGCTTACGGTCACTCGGTACAACCCGCAATAGATCACCTGTACGTGAACGGGCGAAGTACGGTTGATTCGCAACGCAACAGGCAGAAGCAAAAGCAAAATTTGTAGGTGTCAAGTGAAATCGAACTGTAATCAGAGGGGCTATATCGAGCAGATCAGGTGGACGCGGGAAGGATGGTGGATGGTGCCAGCAGTGGAGTTTCAGACGAACTGACTAGGCCAAGAGGCGCTGTGGGCCGGATGACGACAGGTCGGAAATAGATCCGAGACAGCTGCGACAAATAGTAAGAATTAGCTAGAGGTGTGGGTGGACTGATGCATAATAGTTATATCAACAGGCTATCTAGGGTTTATAAGCCTTTCCCTATCTAAGGTTAGTTGTATTTTTGCTGCCCAGGTGGCGCTAGCCCGCTTTTAGATAGCTTCTGGCGATCAACGGAGCGTGTTATTTTACAATCTATCCACGTAAGCCCTCGCTGCCTGGCATTCATAGCGTCACTGTGTCTGTCCTATTAGCGCGCAATCGTGCTTGAAACTGCTGTAAATTGAACATCCTCACCAATTTCATGCTAACACTGCATTAACCCACCGTCCTTTCCAGATAGCTCTTTTGCATCATCGATCATCCGAACCCACGAGATACCGCCCACCTATACGCAAGAGACAATGGCAGTCACCGAGTTAGCACTATTACACCTCTCTTCGAGTCTCACCGTTGAGAATGACGACCTAAGATCAAAACTGGCACACGCAAAGAATGTCATGCAGGAATTCACTAAACGAACATTCTACTACCTCCAACAGATCGAAGACCCTTCATATGTTTACATCGTTGGCGAATGGGATTCACTCGATCAACATATGCATGACTTTATCCCAGGGAAGGCCAATCAAGCCGTGCTAGAGAGCTTGAAGGATATAGTCTCCGTCAACTGGCTTCTACATATCGACGCGCCGCATGCCGAACTATCGATGCCAAAGACCGATACCGAGAAAGCAAAGGCGCATAGTGGAGAGCTCGTTTGGAGCATCGTACGCCATTTCATCAAGGAAGGTGAAAAGGACGGTTTCCAGCAAACCTATGGGGTTAATAAGCATTTCCTGCAAGAGTATGTTACTGAAGGCATAATAGGCGGCGGTTGGCGTGTTGACAAGGACGATGTCAAAGAGGAATTTGTTTTAATCTGCCCATGGACGAGAGTGGAACAGCATTCTCAATTTGCGGAAACGGAAGGTTTTGCGAGATATGGCAAGATTCGGGAATACATCACCGGCGCTGAAATCAAACATTTTAGACTTCTGGATCTCTAAGTCTATCCAACGCCACCCTGAATCACAGCTGGGGTCTAGATTAGCTTATGAAGCTTCTGATATTGCTCTCGGTTGCCGTTCTAAATTGCCGGTCTTGATGCATAGTGTCTTCTACGGCTGGACAGGATCGGTGCTTTCTCAAAAGATCATATAAGTAACAATAGCTCCGAACTAATTGGTCAGCGAAAAATGTCATCGATGTCGCGTATCTGATTGCTCCTTGAAAGTGGGAGGCTCTACTGATAAGGCCCCAGTTTCGTTATCGTCGGGAAGGATCCGAGGTGACCCCTCACTATATGCGCCTTAGTACATTGCTGCAGTTGACACATGCGGCAACCGTCATGCGTTATGAGGCATTATTATAAGGCGTGGGATTGTACCCCTCTTGCTAATACAATCTCTCCTACCTCGACCTTACTTCCGTCATGGATCAGCTTCCGGGCATACTTCAAACTGTTGTAGAAAAGGCACTTGGCCAACAAACAAGTTTACTCGTCTTCGCTGCTCTGGCAGTCGTGATCTACAAGGTTAGTTTCTCTGCACGTTGCATGTGAAGAATTCGAATTGACCCTCTTCAGTTGCTGACTCGTACCGATATACCCTACATTCGCGGCATACCAGAAATACCCGGTGCTCTTCCAGTCACCGGCCACCTTACCCAACTTGGGGATGACCACGCAACAGTATGTGAAAAGTGGTGGCGTAAATATGGCAATTCAGTCTTCCAAATCCGACTTGGAAACACTCGAGCGGTCGTCGTCAGCTCGTTCGAGGACTGCAAGAAGATCCTAGTATCAAACTCACAAGGACTGATTGACCGGCCCAAGCTGTATACCTTTCACGGAGTCATCTCTTCTACACAAGGATTCACGATCGGGAGCTCACCATGGGATGAAAGTTGTCGGAACAAGCGAAAAGCCGCTTCTACCACGCTTAGCAAAGGCATGATGAAGAAATACTACAAAATGTTCGACTTGGAATCGTACTGCATCGCCCGCGACTTGACTCGCGACAGCAAGGGAGGCTCAATCGAAGTCAGCCTCCGACCATATATTCAACGCTATGCACTCAACACCACGCTCACTCTTTGCTACGGGATTCGAATGGACGCGGTATACGATGACCTATTGCGCGAGATCCTCTATGTCGGTTCTGCTATCTCGCTTCTCCGCTCAGCGTCCGAAAATTATCAAGACTACGTCCCTATCCTACGCTACCTACCTAATAATGAAAAGAACCGAAGGTCCAAGGAACTTCGCGAGAGACGAGACAAATACCTGAACGAGCTACTCGACAAAGTCCGTGAGATGATCAATAATGGCACTGAGAAGCCTTGTATCAGTGCCGCGATCTTAAAAGACGAGGAGACGCGCCTCACAGGCGTGGAAGTCAGTTCAATCTGCCTCTCTCTTGTCTCCGGTGGCTTTGAAACTATTCCAGGCACACTCGTTTCCTGTATTGGCTCACTCTCTACTCCCGAAGGCCAGAAGTACCAGGAGCGTGCGTATCAAGAGATAAAGAAACTATATCCAGATATCAAGAATGCTTGGGCGACCGAGTTTGAAACAGAGCACGTCCCATACCTTAATGCAATTGTCAAGGAGGCAGGAAGATACTACACAGTCTCCAACATGAGCCTGCCGCGCAAGACAATAACTGATGTGAGATGGGGGGAAGCGATCATTCCGCGGGGCACAATGGTACTGATCAATGCGCAAGCGGGAAATCATGATATCGATTACTGGGGACCTGATGCCGCCACATTCAACCCAGAGCGCTGGCTCGACTCTCCCTCCTCTTCATCCGATCCTTCGTCACTATCTACCGAGAAACCCGCATCAAGCACAGCACATTTATCGTTCGGTGCCGGCTCACGCTCATGTCCGGGTGCCACAATCGCGAGCAAGCTCATTAATGCGGCTCTGTTCCGCTTGATCAGTCTATATAAGATCGAAGCATCCGAGACTCATCCGCCAAATACTGACTACGTAGACTACAATGAGATCAAGTCAGCGCTCGTAGCGATTCCAAGGGACTTCAAGATCAAATTAACACCGCGGGATGGAACGGGAGATTTGGCAAGGAGTGTACTGCGCATGGGTGAAGAGAGGACGCGGGACTTTTACAAAGAACAGTAATATAGATGACAATATTGTCTATGGTAGAGTATAGCATCTTGCCTCTATCAAAAGAATGACTTGTGTGGTGCGCGTTGCCTCTATTCCTATGGCTCTTTCCACCTTCACCTCACCGCCCCGTGCACGCCGTCAAAGTCATGTAGCTAGTGCGCTTTCCACGCAACACTTCTTATCCTCCACCCTTTCCTAACTTTGCACCTCCCTACCCATACGATATCGCACATCGAGTGCCATGGTACTCAAATGGGCTTTCGCAATGGCCATGTGCCTTGCTACTCTTGTAGTCGGTAGATTCATCTCTTCTTCTACGTCGTCCGTCGATGTCGCCCGGAGACTGATCGGAGAGCTTGACAACTACAATGCGTCCTTCGGTATCGTCAGCGCACCCCAGTTCCCCGCGCCCGTACCTGAACTGGCTGGTCTCGACTTCGACCCTGCTAAGTACGCGAACGAGGATATGTGGAAGAGATATGTGGAGGCCAAGGGCAATCATCTTGTGTGTCTCATGCAGGCAACGGATAAGGGCGCCGGGTTTTTGAAGGAGGATAAAAGAAGTCCGCCTTCTGCTGCAAGCCCGTGGTCTGGCGACCTTAGGAGTAAGTGTGTCACAAATAGAAGCAAAATTATCGGCTAAAGTGAGCAGGCGAGCTAGCAACATGGTTCTGGCATGACGGTGATTATGATAAGGGCTGGGAATGTGACTGGGAGCGCATCGGATTGAAGAAGGCATTTCACGCTCTTGGGCTAAACGCTAAGCCCGCCTTTGATGATGATGGGGATCCCGCCGACGGGCATAATGACTGCCTTTCGATCACACACTACAATGGAGAGGACTACGAGGACCCCGAAGCCGTATGGCCTCAGATGAAGGATGTCAAAGATCAGAAGTATAAGGTCAACGGCAAGGAATATACAGTAAGTTCTTATGTCAGTTCGTATGTCTGGTACCCCTACAATGTTTAACGAAAGCGTGTAGGCAACAGGTGCTTACTACCAGTTCGCTGTCAACAAGATTGGGGGAGGTTTGTATTCTCCGGGTATATTTGCTATTGTACTTGGGATCGCTAACATACCTCAGCCATCATTGGAAAGAATCTGAATAATCCTGCAGCTTCAGTTTTGGAGGGTCACAACTGGGGCAGAAAAGCCGCACCAGGAGAGCTTCCAGATCTACGCTTTTGTTCCGATATCTACTGGGGTCACTGGGCTCGTGACAACCCAAACGTCAAGAATATACGAGTTTATGGGGCACATCACGTTGTCAATGACGCTACGGTGCTTCTAGTCGCTCGCGCCTTCAAGAACAAAGGGGTGCAGGCTCTGGCACCTTGGCCTGGAACATCATTCCCAGCGAATACAGATGAAGGCAAAGCACTCATTGGTGAGAAAATAGATCGGTAGCCATAAGGCAGTTGATAACATATAACAGGTTCTCCAATCGGTGCCATTGTAGCCCACATGCTCATTCAACACAAGGCCGAGCTTGGCATCAAGCATATCAGCAAGATCACAGTCGTCACTAACGAGTCTAAAGAAAATCCAAAGTTTGGCGAAAAGCCAAGAAGGGACCTTCATCTTTTCTTTGAGATCGAGGACGTTCCAGTCGATGAAGTCACTAACGGTAGCATAGAGGAGAAGCTAGAGCGGAAGTCTAGTCCGGCAATCAGAGAATATAAGTACTTTCGGAGCAAGGTGCTTCGTGTGAGGAATGAGGGTAAGGAAATGCTCAGGGAGCACATCATGAGGATCTAAGCGTGGGCAGAGAGTGCATTAAAACTCAGGACTATATTTCGTTAATGAGCTATCTACCTACGGAATTCTAATAATAAAAGTTCGAGGCTCTCAAATCTGGACTGGCAATCTAGGCCTACAGAAAGGCGTCCACGCGTAGCACCACTGACAGGAATAAACTGAGTTCAAAGGAATAAAACCTCGTAGTGTACGGACTAACTCGTTCAAATACGGAGGGAAAGCTGCGTGAAAATTGGATAGGCCTCAAGGCTATTCAGTCTGACCTTGGCTGACGCACCATTTGCGCATGCAAATCTTTGCCCTGGCCACCCCATGGTACTCTATCCCACTCTGTGATTCTCACCAACTTGAATCCTCTTTTCTCGTATATCGGCCGCGCTGTAGACGTGGCGGCCAGATAAGTCACCAAGCCTTCCTTGTCCGCCTTGTTGAGTCCCCAGTCTAGCAGTAATCTGCCTGCTCCGCGGCCCTGATGATCCGGATGTGTCGCAAAGACGTTCAGCATGAAGTACTGTTCTGATTTACCCATGATGTCCTTTTGGGCAGCTCGAAGAGGGTCTAATAGCGATCCTAGAGCGTCGAGACGGACCTCTGGTGGTATAAATCCCGGAGTATCGTCAGCCTTTTCTACGGGTATGGATAACGAGTCATTGCTCCCGTCCCTTTTCACATTGTGCATACTCCATACCGCGATCGCAATTGTTCTACCGCCATTGTCTTTTGGGTCATCTTCGCTTGGATCCAGGCTCGTGTCAACAATCTTCCAGTGCCATGTATTTGGCTTCTTGAGATCACATTTTCTGTCTTCAGCTATGCTGCGGATGGAAGTTTCGCGGACGGGTCCACTATGTATAAGGTCGTGCGTGGGTCCGTAATATGCGACTGAGCGAATGCGCACCCAAGAGAGAGTGTCGTTGGAAGTTATCGGGTGGAGTTCGAGCGGCATGGAGACTTTGTATATGGATGTGTTGCAGGGTTAAGAGTGAGGATAGAAACCAGACGTACAGAAAAGAATGTTGGGTGGGAAAATTGGGAATCAACGTGATTTATAGGCGACTTTATTGGTATCCCTTAATGGGAGGCTCAATGCAGCTAAACATGTATCATCATATCGATGAGTCAGACAATCACTAGGAGTTGTGGATCCGCTAGGGGAGTTAGATATAGGAACAAGAGCGCAAGGAATCGACCGTACTGTCCACCTGCCATATGCAGAAGTGGCAGTAAAATACAGTAAGCGCTAATACGCTGCACTGACCTTGTGTATCTTCGCGCGATCTAACACATGAAGATTATCGATTGACAAGTACAGAGCGGAAAGTAGACGCTGCGGAGAGACAAAACGGAAGGATGTCAAGGTGGGGTGGAAAGACCCCGGGGCACTGACGGAGCGTGCCTCCAAAAGAGCCTCCGACCCTATGCTCGTGGTGAGCTAGCATTACCAAGAAGTCCTAGTTAGGTCTCTAAACATGCACACCTACATATCCTACAAGAAGCGTTATATCCATTGACAAGTTTCCTCACCTGCATAGTCAAGATTTTCGTCTCGATCATGTTGTTGGCACCAGCTTGAAGCAACTATTAGCAAGGGATCATGGATTGTGAGATTCGAGCGACTTCATCTATATCGTAAATATACAGCCTCATCCTAATCCCCTGTTGCACGTTGTTTAATAGGAATGCCGCTCTCATAGGTGCTTCTGTAACGCCTCTCCAATCTCTTCAAACACTCGGATGCCCTTTCTGCCCAACGCTGTGCCAACACCCACGGCTGCTGCGCCCACTGCTCGCATACGATTATATCCATCAACGTCTTCTACCCCGCCAACTCCAATGACCTGAACTTGCTCAAGCTCTTGGTGCTGGAACAACAATCCTTTGATCGTATACACATTTCCTAATGCTAAGGGGTGCAAAGGTGCACCTGCCAAACCACCAATTCCTGTCCCAGTCGCCGAATTGAGTGTATGGTGGAAAACCGAATACGGTGGCTCATGTGATCCTTCGAGTTTTGGGGCAAGGAGAAGGCAAGAGCCTAATGTATTCGTCGCGGTTATGAAGGATATAGGGCAGGGCAGATGTGTTGGTTGGACCTTCGCGCTGGACAATAGTGCATCGACTAAGCTCTGAAACTGATCATGGTACGTATACGGTGGTGTTTTGATTCCGATCGGGACATGTATGTGCCCTTCATGTGGGTGTGAGGCCTCCAGTGGCTCCATTTGGCGGCCTATCTCTGTTTTTAATGCCGACAGGTACGCGAGAAGCGATGCCGAATTATATGCTGGCGGCGATTTTCCAGGAATATTCGGACATGAGAGATTTACTTCCATGGCTAGGACCATACGAACAGTTCTTTGGTGCGATATTATGAGCTTGTAGCATTCGACAACTTCATCGACTGTCCCGGTCACAGATATGATGAAAGGTTTGTTGTGTTTACCGTTTGGTACATCACAAATTTCATCACTTATTGTCTTGATAAATCCCAAATATTCTTTCAGCGGGGTTGGGCTGTAACCTAAGGTGTTCAAGCTACCGGTTGTTCCCTCATTGCCTTCTTGATCTTTATTCGGCCCGGAGGCAGACGAAGTCGTGTAGAAGACGAATTGGTGAATCGAGGGATCGTGAGGGAAGCCATTGAGTAGTGATGTGCGTGTCGTTACGGCGCCTGTGTGGGGGCTATTGTAGAGCGCTTGAAGCTGTTCCAACGTGGTACACCATGGGTTTGCAGAGTTGAGAAGCGGCGGGGAGATAGTAAGGGGTTTCATCATGGGCATTCCATACAAGTAGACGTTCTATGAGGCTTGTAGATGTTGCAATCGGAAGTCTGGAGTTCAAAGGTGGTTTATCTTGCTTGTGCTTGTCCAGGTTTCGCGGGGTAGCTTTCGATGGTGGGGTGATAAGCTGGCCGCTTTTGAACTTCCGTTATGTCCGACAGCTGGAAACTGACAGCAGTTCGCTTTGGAAGCTTCTAGACTACCATCTTAAGTTTGACAAAGCTCGCGTGATAATGCCTGCCGGAAAGTATAGTGTATATGAGTCCGACTGGGATAGCTTCACGTGAACACGTAAAGAATGCGCTAGCCAAAGCTCCCGCTTACTATCCCTCGGCTCAGCGCTTCATCCTTTCTCCCAATGCCATACAACCAATCGCTGCACAAACAAGAATAACTCACAAGCCTCTAATCACCTCAGTGGCATATTTTCCTTTGGTACCCCCTAGACCTCTCCATCAAGTCAAACATGAATGATACACCGCCCAAGAAAAAGCGAAGAGGTGGACCTCGACGAAGAACAGGTGTGTAGCACGCCGTGGCTCCATATAGACTTTTTCTCTCCAAGTAACTGACAATATCCCAGGATGGCATGTAGCATATTTTCAGTCTCATTACATTTGGTTGACTTTTAACCAGCGACACGTGTAAACGTCGACATACCCGCTGCGATGAGAAAAAGCCGGTCTGTGGGAATTGCGAGCGCCTAGATCTTGAGTGCGAGCAATCTGACGATGCAAGCTGGAAAATCACCCATGCAGACCTGCCACAAGATCAGCCCGGTCAGGCTGGACTTTCATTACTGGACATTTTCAGGTCAGATATGAGTGGCCTAGAGGAAAACTCTGAAGTAGTTGCATCGTATCGTATCACTACGCCAGCCAATCTAATATCGCCATCCGCAACGGTGGACTCTAATAATCTAGTCGACAGTATATCCCTAACTACGGAAGCAGCCTTTCTTCTGCAAACCTACGTACGAACTGTTGCAACTTGGATGGACTGCTTTGATCACGACAGCACCTATCAATTGAAGATCCCAAAACTTGTCACCAAATCTCCGCTGCTTTGGTGCGAAAGTCCTACCACGAATACTGTTCGAATATTTTGCTAACATACGGATAGTAAGTAACTAGCCTTCTGTAAGACGTTCTTTAGACTGTCTTAGGTAGTATTTGTATTATCTATTAAGAAAAGTGCTGATCCTGTTGCTACTTTCAGTCCATTGTGTATGCGCGTTCACAGCTAATCACCTTGCACTCTCTGGTTCGAGCCACAACCCGGCTTGGAAGCTGGTAGCAGTGAAGCACTACGGCGAAGTACGAATACCCCGGTACAATGTGAATGTTTTCGTGTTAGACCTGAGCGCGCTTACCTGAAATTGTTAGGTACTTGTGCTACAGCTTAGATACAAGACAGACATCCGCAATGCTCTCTCTATCAAACCATGCTAATATCCTCCAGGGTGCGTTGACTTATCTCTAAATTAGCCTGTTAAAGCCCTCGGTCCCGATAATATTGAGGTACCTATCCCTACACTGGAAGCTTTGCTGACTTTCTACCTTCACGTTGGGCAGCATTGCGATTACTGATCGATGCCTTGAGCATGTTCTCACATGAACATACGTTGACAGCGAGTATACTTCTACTCAGTTATGAGATTCATGGAGCTCAGCGATCGGAAGACTATAGACGCCACTTTCTAGGTCTAGCAATCTTGATCAAAGAGCGCGGCATCAATGCACAGTCGACTGGTACCGATAGGGCGAATTTCTGGATCTACATCAGGCACGAGATTGTAGTGGCAATGGCAAGCGAAAAACCACTGATCTCCGATCCGTCGGAATGGGCGGTATTATGGGACGAGGGCGAGACGAGAGAAGATGTACTCGGCAACCGTGTTCTTTGGATTCTCGCAAGAGTAGTCAATTTGGTCTTTGGAGAGAACGGCAAGAATGAAGTTGGCAAAGCGCAACGAGAAGACTTCCTACATGAAATAGAGATCTGGCGCGCAGGGCTCTCAGAAACCTTTGTCGGTATCCCTTACGGCGACAAGGATGAAGATGGCTTCCGCAGAGTGTACTTTCCTGTCACGGCAGCGGCAGCTGCTGCCTTTTGGTACCACATTGTCCACATCCTTCTCTACACCGAACCGACTCTCCAGGACGAGAGCTACATTCCTCTAATCCAGGAGCAGGCAATGCAAATTACCAACATTGCTATCTCAGATTTTCCACCAGCGTTGAAAGTCTTTTCCACGCATGGATTGTTTTACGGTATGTCTTCGATCGTCGTCTTTACAATCTTTGCAGATTTTTTTTCATGGCTGCCACTGACCTAGTGCTATCGAAGCTGCCAAACACATACACGGCATTTCCCGAAAAGCGCGCATCTGGAAAGTTCTAGACGATGTCGAAGCACATACTGGATACAGTACACGAACTACCGTAAAGCTTCTCCAAGCTCTTATAGAGGACGAGATGCAATAATAGACTCCAAAATCTTGGCAATGGAAAACCGGATAGTAAAGGCTGAACTCAAATTTTCAAGTTGGAAAAGCTTTGGCCTTCCTTAATGTTCTCTCGGCGCAAGGCTGAGGCAAGATATCAGCCAGCTCGCTTGCTGTGCTGCCGGGATGCAGGGGGTGCAGCCACGGCGTTACAGAAGAGGGGGCTTCGGGCGCGTATCCTCAACTCATCGCACGCAGCAATGAGGCAGATTCTCGAAGCTTCCTTACCTTAGGTGATAACATTGACTGCATGCTGGATTTCGAAGGCATCTATTACCTACCTTTCTATGCATCGGTCCGCGATCTGTTGCTGAGATTCATCAACATATTTCTCAATGTCACACTAAATCAACGAGGCTGTACACTCACACCGTAGGCAGCAATATTGCGACTGAAACGATTCTCCATACAACAAGCGACGTGGCATGCAACGCAAGACCAGATGAACGCATTTCAACTCAGACCGCATAAATATTGATGCTCTTTCGAGGCCGTCTAAGCCACAGTTTCACGCCATAAAAAGACACAGCCACTCAATGCAAGTCGCAGCCGCCTAACGCTTCAGCTGAGATACCGGCCTCTACTGCGTGGCATTTAACCCATATAGCAAGGCTGGTGCACTATCGCCGTGTGGCTCTATAGTTGCACCTCTCATTATGGCTCCTCCAACAAGCACTCCCGACGAAAACGCAGCATTCCTTGCTGGTTGCATCCATAAAACAAGGTCGGTGCGAGACGTTTACGAGTCCCTTGGCCTCTTTAGTCAAACCACCGACTTACGCAAGGATCCTGATTTTCTCAAGAACGAAGCCAACGAGTTGCATTTCGAAATCAAGAAGATCGCTCAGTCGTTTGTGGAACGTAATCGCGAGGATCCAGAGCATCTACACGCATGTCTATCCAAAGACGAGACATTCTCTAAAGAGATATGCGAGCTCGAGGGCAAGTATGGGCAGGCACTCTGGGGGCGAGCAGATTCCGGACACACACTCCCTTTTAGAGAGCAGGAAGGGCCACCAGACGAGCTCAACTGGGACAAGAGTAAAGACCGAGAATGGTGAGTAGTACCACGCGCGCATTGAGAGACAAATTGTTGATCGTGCATGTAGTATTCGGTTTTATATTCACTGCTGGATTGCAAGAATTGCCGTACGGGATATCAGCCCAACACCACGCAAAGGGAAAGGCAAGAGCAAGTCCAAGGTGACCTACTTGTCTGATGGAGAGGAAACAGACGTCGAAACCCCGACGAGATCAACCAGATCCGATAGTAGTGCGTCATCAGAAGTACCCTATCGTGCCCCAGAACCACCAAATATGTACTCAGCTCCCGAGAGTCGTGGAAACGATGCTCAATCAGCCGACTTCCGAGCTGAAAGCACAGATACACGGATTTATGCTGACGACGCGGAGAGCATAATCACCAACAGTCAGGTGGCGACCGATCCGCCCTTGAAGCGGACTCCCCCAGGACCTTCAAGCAAAAGGAAAGCGCCCGATGTCCAAGGTCCGTATTCTAGCAGTAAATTGCCGAAGGTATCCAGAAAGGCGCGAATAACGCCAGCGCTCTTCCGCGAGCGACAGCGCGACGTGTACTCGGTTCCAAGGTCACCTACCTTACCTTTGGATGCGGCACCATTGACTAGCCCAAATAGAAGGCCAAGATGGAAAGAAAGTACCCAAGACAGTGATGCGACATACATGCCGCCACCTCGTGGTTTTACTGCCGAGACTGAGACTGTTGTGGATGGAGACGAGGCTGTAGCAGACGCAATGAGTGAGATTCCCGGCTTCAAAGCTATGTAATGGCCAATTTGCTAACGTCCCTTGTAGACCTGGTTCTACAACCCCATCTCCTTGATGAAGAGGGCATACAGTATGAGTTTCAGGATCAGCCCGTTGCTGGGCCATCCGGCACCTACCGGCACCCTCTCAGGCAAGACTCAGTTATACCGGATACGCAAAACGATACAGTAGGAACTGTACCGATCAGTACCGAGCCCCACACTAATCTCGGTCGGAATCTCAGTAAGAAATTGCTTCATACCATGACTATAACGCAACTCAGCACAACGACACCAGGCCCTCAAAGTTGGCAAGTGAGAAAGGACCGAAGCGAACTCTTCAGGCTTCTGCTATCATATCTGAACAGTATCAACCAATTCAGCATGAACTCATACGATGTGGATTCCGAAGAGAGAATGGACTTCCTCCTCGACCGGCTCTGGGCCTATGATGCGGAGAAACTACGCTCGGATTTAGGCGAAGACTTTGCACGATTGCACGCTGCATTGGAGACTTGGATGAACATGCGCGATCGGTTGACTAGTTTTCAAACCACCACGGGCTATTTAGGGCAGCCTGGCGAGGAGTGGAAAGCTCATCTGCGCCGTATGCTTGATTTACCCGCACGTGCGCAGGCGTGCATTGCATTCGGTGAACTGAAAGGGCCCTTGAACAAGGAAGGCGAGCCTCACCATGTAGCTGAGACCTTTGATGACGATCTTGCGATGATCTTTGATCTATTAACCAGGGTCAAAGGGTGCAATGGTGCGGAGGAGTTCAAAGCCATCCGGCTATACAACGAGGCGCTACTGAAATGGGTTAGAGAAGATTAGACAGCGGAGCTAACTGGAAACTTGTACGCGGACACGGGTGTTAGTACCCTCTGTTGTTTTGCTAACATCTTCTCCGGCGCATCTGAGTAGTCATCTTCAAAATACGGCAGCCACAAATAGTGTTCTGAGAGCTCAGACCCTATGAATGCAGCCTCGAGGACCTTATTGTGTTGCTATAACAAAAGTTTAGTACTGTTTACTGCAATACCCTGTTCTGCTTACATTCATGGACACTTCCCCTAAAACGGAAGCGCGAACGCGGGACTCGACCACATTTTACGTGCCTGACAGTTGACGTGGATAGTTGACATGCTCCCCCCAATACCACAACGACTGCACCACATGGTTCGTAATCAGGCTAAGAGGGTATCCATTCTAGTGCGGGTCTGCCTGCATGGCTTTGGACGGGAAGCGAGGCACGGTCCATGCTGCCTAGAGCTAAACAACTCACACCGGCCTCGCTGACTTTGCAACCTCCACCGCGCTATTGTTATTCTCTGTGTCCTAGATCGAATCTTTTGGATGAGACACTTTCCATATTTTGGCGGGCCTTGACCGCTTTGACGGTTCCGAGTAAGACACACCCTCCACCAACTCACTCTTCCTTCCAATAGCAACCGACCCTGGCTGTGTATCAAGGATTTGGTGAAATGGCTGATGTTGAGGTCAAACCTTCCTTTCCACGGGCCAGCCGAGAACGAATCGAAGGGGGGTTTCTTCCATGGTTTGAATGAAACATTACACTTTTTCTTCGCCGTGTTTCGGAATCCCGGGCTAGCCCCATGAGTACATCAGCATTCGACGATATAACACCCGCTACTGCTGTTCGTTCCTCGTGCCTGCAGCTGGTTGAATACCACCCTCGGCCCTGACCCCGTGAAAGTGGACTCGGCATTTGGCGCAAACCGGCGACTAACGGAAATCAGAATGGATCCCTTTCGATACCGCAAGGCATATGAGGCGATGCTACACACCACCCAGCTCATCGAGGAAAGACTGAATCAAGATGATGAGCTTAACGGGGAGAACTCCGAACAAGATGAAGCGCCAAAGAGTGCCTTCCAAGAGTACGACGAGGATAGTATGGACTGGACGCCTACTGAATCTACGACTCCACCTCCAGAATGCGGACCGCCACCTGCACTATCCCAGAAGATACGCCATTTGTTACCTGGTGGTGGCGAGGGTGATTATCAAGCTAGAGATCGAGGTGAAAATACAGTGCTGCTGCACAAACTCAAGGAAGGGATGATTATCGACAAGTGCATTGACAAGCTTGTTCAAGACCTACCCGATGTGTTGAACTATGAGAATTCTGTTTCATTCACTCCATCGACGATTGAGGTGCCAAAAGACTTCGGCCTGCAGTTGAGCATCTCCATCAACCACCATTTGGCTCAGGTCGCGGACCGCAAGGCGTTGGAAAAGTACAGAAGGTTACTCGGTCACCGCAAAGATGCAGCAAAACGGAAAGCGTTTAAGCTTGGGTTCGACCCTATTGACTTGATTAAAAAACAAGCTGTGGCGTTTGCAGAAGACGCACCTACGCCAATCTGCACGCTTGAAAATGATATTCACTCAATCTTCCGCCTGGACAACTGGCACGGTTGTCCAGATGCCATATATGAGGTACTAAGGCCTGGGTTACAGCTCGCAACTCTTCTCCTGACTTCACAGGCTACAGCTCATTTCTGGCACACGCTAGTCTTTGGCAAGCGAGAATCTTGCGAAGCAACTTCAAAAGCATATGGTCAGCATTGTTTTCGCATCAAAGAGGATGTGCCCTGGTCAGAGGAACACCATACGACTTTCAAGAGCTTCTTGAACAACCAGGTTGACACTGTTCACTTTTACTTTCATCACGACCCGTTACCACCAGAGACGGCTTACGCCTCGATGGGTCTAGTGAAGGACTATAAGAATGGTCTATTGCGGAAGATCAACCACAAATGTCATACAAGCCGTATTTGTCTGCATTCTGACTTTTACACGACTGCCAAGAAGCTTAGCCTGCTAAAATTCCGAGAACCAGCTATGGTGTTGCGATTCAACATGTTCCTTGCCACTTGTATTACACACGAGATTGCGCACTTCTGCGAGGTATCAGGCCCGCACCACGACCATCCTTTACTGTCGGAGCCAGAGGTTTTCTTCGGAGAAAACATGTGGACCGAGAGTGGAATCGCCTTTGAGACCAAGATATTTGGCGGGCGCATACATCCTCTTTCTAGCCGAATCGATTGCAAGTTCGGGCTAGCTTGTCTCGACTACCCACTGAAGGAACTCTACGACAAAGACGACAATGTCTTGTACGCCCTACCAATGGATTACATCTTGAAGCTGCAGCAAAAGGAGACGTGGGAGCGGGATTTTAGCGATGCAAAAGCTGATATTTTTCATGTCCCTCGAACTGGTGGTCGATCGATTGAAATCAACGGAACAAATCTGATGATCTGGGAAGATGAGAGCGACGCAGATATTTCGGATCATATCGACAATCAAGACACGGAATGGAAACGCATGGATGATGGCTCCATCTCGAGAAACCCAAAAGGTAACAATCGCAAGCCTCAGCGGCAGCCGATAGTACCACGCTGGACTCCATACGGTCATAAAAAGAAGAACACGGTGGATGATGGAGCTTCATGTGTGTCCACAGAGGTGGCCGACGAAGTGAGTGATAACTACAAGGAGGAAACAAAGCTAGAAATTCCAAAGGACACTGAAGGAGGCAAGGGTGGATCGGATCAGGATATGCTTTGATGTAGATGTTGAGGGCTTCAGTGAAAGAAAAGGTGGGTCTGCTGCATTTGTATCTCACAAGGGCATTTGAAAAATTACTGCATCTGGCGGATGGCGTTGTTGCATTGCATTGCCATTAAAATGATCGTTCAATTGAGAAGAGCAGCTTTATGTTCCTTCATGCCCCGTCTAAAGCCCTGTTCGCCAAAGCATCTGCTTCCCTATTCATCTCCCTCGGTATGTGCCAGAACTGCACCTCCCTACCCCCGCCTTCATCACTATACTCCATATAATCCAGCTTGTCATGCAACTGCTTTAGGACCTCGAAGTGCGCGACGCGCGTTCCCCTAGACCCGACACCCTCGTTCTCAATCCACTGCTCCATCCACTTGCTCATAGAGTCCACTAGGAAACTCGAATCCGTAGCGAGCTTGATCTCTGATAGCTTGAAGTCCCGATCCGTGACTTCGCTGATAATCTTGAGCGCCTGACTGAGAGCTTCGATTTCTGCGAGCGTACTGGTCTGAGGGCGAGAAGCGGGCAGAAGTCCGTACGAATTGTAGGGAGAGTTGGGGCCAAAGTAGACGCCATATGAGGCTCGGGCGGTGGGAGTGCCGTTGTTGCGACATGCCCCGTCGATGTATACGACCATACTGCTTGGGTTTGGGAAAGGGTCTGGTTTTGCTAGGACTTTCATTTGTAGTTGCGAGATCTGCTTTGAGGTGTCATAGACTACGAGCTGTTGTAGAGGTACAAGCCGTGAACATGGGTCTTCAGAGGGGACGAAGAGGCGCCGGATCTCTTCGCCATACTCGTCATAAGCCATCTTAATCAGTCAGTCGACTCCCTCCTCGGTTGTTGTTGATACGACAACCCGTGGACAGCAGTTCCAAGGCCGAGCGATACACATAATGTCTAACCATATTGGCGCTAGCGTTCATCCTTTCGCTTAGCAAAGTGAATCTTGGCAAAGTCACCGAGTTTCGAATTCTACTTGAACACCGACGAGCCCAACGTCAAAGCCCCGCCCAACACCTCCACGCGACCTCTTCCAACAACTACATCATGGCGGACGCCCAGAAAGATGCCTCGTTCAAGGCGGTGCAAATCGACGCTCTGGTACGTGCGAATTTCGCAACACAATCCCCCCGCCGCGCCCCGCCATTGTGCTTCCCGCACTTTTTTAGGAGACGCGCTTGGGAAAGCATGCTGAACTAACTGTACTGTTTAGGTCGCAATCAAGATTGCTACCGCGAGCGGCAAATCCTTCCCGTCCCTCGCAACCGGCAGTATCGTCGGCATGGAGAAGAATGGGGTGCTAGAGATCACCAACTCTTTTCCTTTCCCCGAGGTGTCCCATGTACCGACAGAAGACACTCGCCAAAACGAATCTGCGGCAAATCTCGCTGCATCGGCTCCTCGCGCTAAGCAAAACATCGCCTACGGCAACGAGATGATCAAGTTCCTGCGAGAAGTCAACGTGGACGCGAACAACGTTGGCTGGTACACAAGCACAAGCATGGGCAACTTCATCAACCTGAACACCATCGAGAACCAGTACTTCTATCAGAGCCAGCCCAACGAAAAGACGGTAGCTCTCATCTACGATGTGAGCAGGAGTTCTCAGGGTACCCTGAACTTGCGCGCGTACAGGCTGTCGCCCTCGTTCATCACAGCCTACAAGGAGGGCAAGTTCACAACCGAGAGGTATGTATAGACAGTTATTTCGGCAGTAAGAGTGGTCTAACAAATGCAGCCTTCAAAAGAGCGGACTCCGGTACCACGATATCCTTATCGAGCTTCCTGTGACTATTCGCAACTCACACCTCCTCACTTCTCTCCTCCACCAATTACCCTCAGAAGCGCCGAAGGAGGAGCTCTCCTTCCCACCAAACCTAGCTGCCCTGCAGCAGGACCCGAACACACCGCAACCCCCTCTCTTCCCGAATTACGATGCGCTCGACCTCTCCATCGACCCCTTCCTTGAAAAAACATGCGATCTATTGCTTGAGAGTATCGAGAACCATCATACGGAGATCAACAACTACCAATACTACCAGCGTTCGCTTGCACGTGAACAAGCTAAGATCACCGCTTGGCAACAAAAGCGTAAAGCTGAGAATGCGGCACGCACAGCATCAAAGCAGCCGCTTCTTCCGGAAGATGAGTGGCAGAGGCTGTTCAAGCTGCCACAGGAGCCCAGCAGACTAGAGACGCTCCTCAACTCAAGGCAGGTTGAACAGTACTCGAGGCAGGTGGATGGTTTCACAGCAGGCGTCACTTCCAAGATGTTTGCTGTGAAGAGCAACTTGCTGCCCGGAGAGTAAGGTTAGATAGGATTTGTGTTTTCATGATTATGCTTCTCTTCGTCAAGGCATGGGCACGGCGTTGGGGGTTCGCAGGTTCCACTTGCACTGGGGCTGAGGTATGGCTTTCGTAGATGGCAGGAACGAGGCGATGGAACGAGGCGATGGAACGTTCGCAGGCATTTTAGCGCTTGCCTCTGTGCCAGGTGAGATAGAGGCTCCAAAGAGATGCTATATAGGAGCACTGAAGTTCAAACGCTGCTCGGCCGGCCGGCTGAACTCTTTGGTCCCTTCCAAGCGACGAAGGGATTATCGCCACTGGAGTGCTGAATCAGACAAAGAAGTAATCAACACGCTTTTGCGACATCATCAAAGTGCCTTGACCGAAAGTGATAATCTGCAACAGTAGGACCCTCCCCACAATCGTTCCGGGACCCCGGTTTACGCTCTCGGTGATCTTCTAACCCTCAGAAACGGGTTGGCCCGAATCGCTGTGTTAAAGCAGCGCGACTATTTCGACGCCATCATGCAACAAGCATCGTCGCCTGTGCTCCAGCAGCTCCGTTCACTGCACCCAGGAGCACTTCAAACCCTCCACCAGTCGCCAGATGGAACGTTATATTCCCAGACACTCCCAGAGCTGCAGAACCTACACACGAACGATGTCTTCCATCATCACCAACAATATACCCTGAGCGGGCCCCCGCCCCCGCAACCACCGGCGCACGCGATACATTTCCAACAGCATGGCCTGCCTCCTTCAGCACAGTTTCCACCCTTTCCAGCAGACTACCAGCACGCTGGCAGTCCACGGTTTGCCTTGACAAACCCACTCCCGCTACCAGGACCCGCGCAGCAACAATTCCACCCTGCTCAACCATTACCTCCACCGCGACCGATACAGCAGCTACCACTTCCACTCCCGCCGCAAACGATACAGCAACATGCTGAGCATGTACAGCTGCCTCAGGCTCGAGCGCGGGCGCAGGTCTACGAAGGGTAGGTAGTACAAATCAAGGCTGTCTTCGGTGGCTCTAGAGTAGTTCGCACAGCTTTCCAGTTGTCACAAGAATATGGGAAGCTCTGCGCTGTATTCCAGCAATTCAGCAGTACCCAGGATATGCATAATTATTATATTGACGCGCTGCTAACTATATCGTTAGGGACGATACCACCCCATCCACAGGTCATGGCCAGTTTCAAGGCCTAAAACTGATTGCAGATCCCCCAGACCTCGAAGAATGGAGGAAAAAGCTCTTCAATGTAGATGACACAATTACCTTGACAGAAGAGGAGTAGGTCTCACTCTTTTCTATCTCTGAAGATCACATCTAACTCTACCTCCAGGTTTCAAACCTACTTTCCCCATATCGATAATGTCTACTCGCACCGCTCGACCCAACGTCACAAGCGAAAACGTTTCGTATCACACTACTGGGATTGTCGGCTCAAGGGACGACCTCCAGGCACTAAAAAGAGTACTGATCCTGACAAGAAGAAGAGAAAGAGGGTTGCTAGGGAGAGAGATTTGTGTGATGTTAAGATTAAGGTTACCGAGTACTTTGATGGGAGAGAATATGAGGAGCAGATGGGACAACCGCCACCAGACTTCCAAGATGGCACAGCAAGCCCAGTAACGACGAATGCGCCGGGGAGTACTAGCGCACAAGTGGGACCGTATTATGGGCAACCGCAGATACTAGGGCAACAGCCTCTCAATGCGTGGGATATGTCTCCGCCAAACCTCGGTCAACCGAGCATGAATCTGGTATGTGATCGCGGTACACAGGTCTTCGGGCCTCCTAGAGTTTTCCACAGGACTTTTCAATCACTAAAGAAGATCTGGAAAGCTCTTCGAAGTACTCTAGGTGTCTATGACCAACGCTTTAATCTTGCTTTCCTCCGCGACTCCTTGGCTTACTGACATTCAAACATAGACTCAATTCGCGCCAGGCCCACCGCTCCCACCAGGTCCTCCGCCGAAGAAGTTCTACACATTCCAGAGGGTCAATGGAAACGGAGGCAACGGCAAGGGCGACGGGGTCGCGGGGCCGCATAAGCATTCGCTGGAAGAAAGCGATCGTGTGAAAAAGAACAGCGTACTTAGGTGGCAGGCCAAGTGTAAGAAAGACGACAGGAAGAAAGTACCGGTGAGTTAATTCGATTTCTTTGTCCTTCCTTACGCTTCTTTTGCTTGTTGATTTCATGGCCATCCGGGATACGCAATCATCGTTGGGTGCTCAAAGTTTGTTGCTGCATCTGGCGACGATCTGAGCCGCCAATCAGGTGCATACGTCATCTTGAGCGTCACCGGACGACGTGCCGAGCTCTACCATTATATTCCTTCTCACGTTAAACACTTTTCATGATACTCTTTCATATCTTTCATGAATCCCAATCGCTAGATTATCCTAGACATATTCCCTGCACATATCTTCTATCTACGCTAGTCCTTCCGTTTATAAGAGTTTCGTCTCTCTTAACCTACTATCGTCGCAAGCACCATATCATTTTCGGCCTGCGCTGTATCTGTTCGATTCCAGATGTCTGATTCAAACCAGGGTGGAGATTCGTCGAAGAAGACCTATCACAAAAAGGCCACCGGCAATGCGTTGACGACAGTCAAAAATCACTCAAAAGACGACGACTTGAAGCTTTACGGGAGCTGTTTTTGGTAAGTCCGATGCCTACTTGTCCGGTGAACTCAAGACACCTTAACAAGAGACTAAGTAGATGACGTCATACTCAAAATGTTAACTATATCAGTCCCTTCGTCCAGCGTGTGTGGATATCCCTCGAGCACAAGCAAATTCCCTACCAATACATCGAAGTCGATCCTTATAAGAAACCCCAGTCCCTCCTCGACGTTAACCCGCGAGGGCTAGTCCCCGCTCTCCGCCACGGCCCAGCATGGTCAACCCACGAGTCCACCGTCATCATGGAGTACCTCGAAGACCTCAATACCGGCCCTGCACTCTTGCCTCCAGATGTGCAAACGCGCGCTACATCACGCCTCTGGAGTGATCATGTGAATCGAAATATCATTCCATGCTTCTACAAGTTACTCCAAGCACAAGACCAAAACGATCAAATTGAACATGCCAGCGAGCTTCGAAACCAGATTAACAAGCTCGTCGATGCGGCCGACTCTATCGGCCCATTCTTCCTTGGCGATCAGATTTCGTTTGTGGATGTACAGATTGCGCCTTGGATGATCCGGTTACGAAGAGTGCTAAGCCCGTATAGAGGCTGGCCAGAAGCGGTGGAAGGGAGCAGATGGAAGAAGTGGATTGATGGTATCGAAAGTGATAGGAGTGTGAGGATGACTACGAGCACTGATGAGTTGTACATTGAGAGCTACGAGAGGTATGCGGAGAATCGGCCAGGGACCAGGTAAGATGATCGCACATCTACTGGGTTGAGTACATGCTAACAGCTCGACTTAGTCAATTAGCTGATGCGGTGAACTCCGGAAGGGGATTGCCTTGAGAGCGGGTCCACAAGCGTTCACGAGTTGACGATAGGATCATGATGAGGGATGGGGAAACAGGCCCATGTTTCACAATATTCCTCTACAGCCTCTATCGAGTATGAATGATTATGCTAGTAATGATATTCCGAGCGAAACGTCCTCAACTACTTTTGCGGTCTTCGCATTCGTCTGAAACTAACTAGGCTACTGCTAAATGCGAACATTATGCATCAGGTCGGCACTACCATACGTGCGGGTAAAGTGCTTTGCTAGATGTTAGATGCTGGGAAGTAGACGCGGAGTGTACGGTAAGAGTGTTAAAGAGTATGCCAGCTTATACGACTGGCTGCTGACATTGAGCGTAGACCCTGTGTCAATGGGTTTTCAGAACGTGAGAGACATCTTGGTTAGAAGCGTAGTGCTGCGTTGTAGAGAGGGTTAAAGCAGAGGGGACAAGAAAGCAACGTAATGGCTAGTATTGTATTATCCAAAGTTGAAGTAGAGATCTAACGAATACCATCCTAGCTGCCTTCAAGTCTACTCGTCATCATCGTCATCACCAAAAATCGCTTTGAATACATCGTCCGAAGCACGCTCATTCGAAAGAGCCTCGTTCTTCTCCACATCCACGGTAGCATGCGTGACCGGCAGTGAGGTGGTAACAGGGCCAGTCTCTTCCGTTGCCTGTCCCATCCATGCTGGACGCTGGATAGCAGGACCATTTGTGAGCATCTCGTGCAACATCTTGTCCATTGCCGACTTGGAAACCGCATCCTCTGTCTGTGACTTGAAGTTGCTGTCGCCAGCATCAAACTCGGGAGGCATGTCAGGAGGTGGTTTGACATTGAAGCGTTTGCACAAAAGTCGTGATGGGTGGAATGGGAAGCTGCTTCGAGTCATGGGACCGTACATATTTAGCTTGGCAGCCTGTTCAGCCGGATCCTCTGGCTTCGCTGCAGGTTGTCGCAAAAGGTTATCATTTGAGGCGCTTCCACCACTTCCGCCTTGGACAGAGGACGACGCCGAGGTGAAACGTGATGCCATGATACCGGTAGTCGGCTTGAAAACTTGCGCAGCATGCGCAAACTCCTGGAGTTCTTTGACCCAATCAGAGGTTGATATACCATCAGGTCGTTCAAGCAAATCGTCCTTCAAACCTGCCCGCAGCTCCAGAAATCCAACGTATCGTGCACGCTTCTTCAGGTCTTCTGCGTAAGGCATCCAGCCAGTTGCACCTTTGGCAAGAGCCCCTGCAGCTAGACTCTTATCAAGTGGAGGAATTAAGTTCCACAGGTCTTTAGGCTGCGCTTTGTTCGCCGGTAGATGTCCCTCAGGAGCCGCTTGTCCAAGGCCTTGAGGAAGGTCGACCTTTCCAGATAGTGTTGCAAGGCGATCTCGAGCCTCCTTGGGGATGAAGTCGAAGATGGACTTGCCAGGCAGAGCTGTTTCCCCAAGAAGAGCTGAACGCCCTTTTGCGTCTAGAGTGGAAGCTTTTGCAGCGTCCGTAACGGATTGATAATTGGTAGCATCTGGAACAAGAGCCGTGCTCTTTGAGGACTTCCACCCAGGAGGAATCTTCGGTGGCGGATACTTTGGTTTGATCGAAAGATCTGCAAGGCTAGCAGCCAGAGTGAAACCTTTCAAAGGAGGATTTCCATCCATCGATGGTCTCGTCACCGACACAAGTGCCTTAGACGATCCCTTCTTGGAAACAAAAACGTGCTTGTCCCCGGCCCCTACTTTGGCAAACTTGCTGGGCTTCTTTGCCTTCTTATCTTTGCCTAGAGTCTTATTGAAGGTAATCTTCGGGCCCAGCTCGTATGGATCCTCATCGTCTGAGCCAGTGTCATTGAGCACGCCAACCCCAAATGATGACTTTTTCAATGCAGGCTTTTGCACTGTTGACGGGTTCTTGAAGCTCTCGAGATAATGTAGATGGGTTGTAGGACGGCCCGTCTCTTTCTCTTCCACACCTGCCAAACGAGCTTCCGACAGATATCCTAGTCCCTTCCGACGCACTTCCTCTCGCGGAGTCGTCATGATTTGAGCGTCTTGCGGGGCGAATAGGTGGGTAGAGACATGCTTGAATTCGGCGTCATCTTCGAGGCGAGCGTTGCGGCGGACTTTGCGGCCAATGCCCTGGTCACGCCGCCAGCCCATCTTCTGTGCGATCTTCACACCCATGGTCTCTTCTTGGGTCAAGAAGAGTCCGAAGGGGTCGGCATCAGTTGCTTGCCCGGCATCTCCTATACCGGCAAAAGCCTGTGCAGTCTCCAGTTGACGCGACTCGGCAGCAGCAACCAGATCCTCGTCGTCCATGAAGTCTTCGGCTCGCTGTGTTTGGCCATTGGGTTGATCCTTGGTACGGTTCGTGCGGGAGGAAACAAAAGTCTTGGGTGCCCATCCTTCCTTAGATCCAACTGTATTAAAGTATCTTAGCATAGTCAAGAAGTCTTGAGTTCGGGGAAAAGATGGCTCAAAAACTTACCCTGCACTAAAGCCTCCAGTAAAAGCACCATGCAACCTCCTGCGGCCTCGCTCGTCCGTCACAGTCTGCTTCCAGACTGGCACGAAAGCGCCATCGTCGCCGTCCTCGTCTGGAAGCTCGGTGCCCAGAGATATGTAATTTGATGGTCCGCCGCCGCGAGAGCGCTTCTGCGAGTTGGTTGGAGAGGGTGCGCGAGCTCGTTTGTATGCCATTGGATCGGAGGAGGCGCCTTCTGAGGGTTGCTGTCCGCTATCTCATCGCTTGGACGCGATGGGTGAAGATGCTGGCAGTAGGAGGAAAGAAGGATGACGAAAGGGCAACTTTGGGGTGACTAAGCAGTCACGGGGTCCAGCTAGATACGCCAGCAAAAGTGCGCAACAACAACTAATAGCTCTAGTCCATCTAACCTAACAGAGACTTCATTGACATGCTAAGGCCAGATCAAAATCTTATGCAGCTGGACACATGCACTGGTCCTCTAGGCCCGCTATTGCGAGTAGATTCCCCTGCTGTGTGGGACCGATGATGTAGCCCAGCAGCTGGTCGAAACGGCCTAACCACTGCGACTAGATTGGCGGCGCGGACCCTGGAGAGATTGCTTGCTCTGTTGTCACTACTTGGATCCCGGTGGACGGAGCTTTACGATACATGTCATGGTATATATACCACGTACCTGAACTAGAGAGTCGCCTGCTACGTGAAAGTAATTAAAAAACAAACAAACGAAGGCTCTCCAGCACTCTCCCCAGATGGCTACCTACTTTTTACCCCACCGCGGCCCAAAGCGAGGCGGTATTGGTGGACGTCTGGGGGAGCTAGCTACGGCTGGAGTAAGCTATCGTACAGGTGAAGGCGGGCGGACCATAACAAGACACAATCCACTCTCTCGGTCGACATAGTCTTGACGACGCATGCTCTTCTTCTTGACATTTGCCCGTCGTCCTGCCGTGACCCCGATCGCGCGTTTTGCTGGAGAGCTGCCCAGTGGACCTGCATGAACCCTGACTGCTGCGCTGACCACGACGACGCCGCCGCCTCGTCTCCAGAGGCTGCCAAGTTTCGCGACCGTCGCCCTCCATCGGGCCCCCCTAACGTCTGCCAGTAACGCAGCCATCGCCCGACTCCAGATATAGCCAGAGCAGAGCACTGCACAGCAAGCATCTCTTCGCACTGTCTGGGACCGCCTGACTCGCTCGGATCCACGCTCGCTCGCCGCGCAGTGCGTCAATCCCCTCGCAGGCCCGCATCTGCTCCTTGCGTCGCCCACGCCAGCCAACCAACCTCGCCATGTCCGCCGCAGCCCCAACATCGCCCGCCGTAGTGCGCACTTCTTCCACGTCGCGCAGGTCTGTCGACAGGCCCCATCGCTCCCAGAGCACCACCTCACGTCCCAGCGGGCATGTCCATAGCCGCAACCAGCAGGGCGGCCTCAACAACGTTGCCAGACGGGATTGGGAGCAGAGCAACGTCGCCCAAGAGCAGCCATCTCGACGCAGCGAAGATCCAAGTCGCACCGAGTCGACCAGAAGAGGGCACTCACGGTATGCGTCTGACGCGTCTGCTACTTCCGCAATGCCTATCAACGGCGTAGCTGCCGACGCGAGGCCGGGGCAGGTCCAGGCCAACACGAAGCGGAGGACCACCATCACAGCCCCAAGCACAGGAACATGGGCGCTAGGGAAGACCATTGGGGCCGGCAGCATGGGCAAGGTGAAGCTGGCCAAGCACCAAGAGACTGGAGAGCAGGTACGTGCCTACACCCTTCTCGCATGAGCGTCATACAGGGATCTCTACTGACAACCCCAGGTTGCTGTCAAGATTGTACCGCGACTGTCCCAGGACCATCATCAGAGCGCCGCTGACCGCGAGCGAGCCGACCATTCAAAGGAGATACGTACCGCCAGAGAAGCTGCCATTGTCAGCCTGCTCAACCATCCCTATATATGCGGCATGAGAGACGTTGTCCGCACCAACTACCACTGGTACATGCTGTGCGAGTATGTCAATGGCGGACAGATGCTCGACTACATCATCTCCCACGGCCGCTTAAAGGAGAAACAGGCCCGCAAATTCGCCCGCCAGATCGCGAGTGCTCTGGACTACTGCCACCGTAACAGCATCGTCCACCGAGACTTGAAGATCGAAAACATCCTCATCAGCAAAACTGGCGACATCAAAATTATAGACTTTGGCTTGAGCAACTTGTTCTCGCCCCGAAACCAGCTAAAGACATTCTGTGGAAGTCTCTATTTTGCTGCTCCTGAGCTACTGCAAGCTAAGCAATACACTGGCCCCGAGGTCGATGTCTGGAGTTTTGGCATAGTCCTCTACGTCTTGGTGTGCGGCAAGGTGCCATTCGACGATCAGAGCATGCCACAGTTACATGCGAAGATAAAGAAGGGACATGTCGACTACCCTCCGTGGCTGTCTGCTGGTGGGTTGGACCGCCTCTCGAGCATAGATGATATACTAATGTTTGCACAGAATGCCGTAACCTCATCCATAGGATGCTACAGACGGACCCAGCTCAGCGATTAACCCTTTCCGAAATTATGAGCCACCCTTGGCTAACCAAGGGGTTCAACAGCCCTCCCGAAAACTACCTACCCCATCGCGAACCAGTGCAATTGCCTCTTGACAAAGAAATCGTTGAAAAGATGACAGGGTTCGACTTCGGTACTGCAGAGTATATCACAACTCAGTTAACCAACGTGATTCAATCAGAGGAATACCAACGCGCTGTGCGTGCAGCGGCTCGAAGAACCACTGCCCAAACGCCAGAGGCCGAGAAGAAGAGAGGCATTCTTGACTTTTACAAGAGGCGGACCTCCATCTCTAGCCGGGAACACTTGACAGCCTCTTCGTCCGAAGATATCCAACGGGGGCTGGATCCTGTCAACGCCTATAGCCCTCTTCTCTCTGTGTACTTCTTAGTGAAAGAAAAGATGGACCGTGAGAAGGTAGAGGCTAATCCAGGGGCTCTTGCTATGCCTCAGAGTCCAGGCGAAAAGCCTTTGAAGATGCCCGACCTCCCCGCACCAGAGGCGGCATATACCAACACAGCCACTTATGAAATGGCAGGCGAGAAACCCACAGGAGGGAGATCGCGGCCTAGAGCGAGGACCCATGGCGAGGATGAGATTGCTGATGGACTCAAAAGGGTGGATCTCAACAATCCGCCAGGCGGCGTGTCGCCAGCCATTCTGTCTCCGCCCGTTGAGCATCCGAAGAAAGAGGGTACAGCTGCGGGTCTTTTGCGGCGTTTCAGTACTAGGAAGTATCGGAGTCAGGATAAAGACCGGACAGAGCCTCCACCCACCCCAGCTCTTGCGATATCTGGCCCGCACGACTCAGCCACAGCTCCGAGAAAGAGTTTCAGTATCCGTAGGCCGCGTGAGAGAGACACTGGATCATCGTCTCATCTCCAATCGAGTAGTGCTAATCAGCCCGAGCTGCTTTCTCCCCCAGGCTCCGGTAACATCGCTAGTCGAAAGTTCAAGGCTCTCGGGCGTTCTACAAGCGTCAACTCGGCTGATCTTCGAAGACGACTCAGTCGACGAGGACGCTCCTCAGAAGATCCTGGGAACCCTCCCCCAACAAGCGGTTCCGACAGGTCTGATCTTAGCGCACATAAAACCCGATCGACCACCGACGCTGCCTCTGAAGATCTTTCCGCAAGCTCACGCCCTGTTCAAGCGTCTCGCGCCAAGTCTTTAGGCCATGCACGCCGGGAGAGCATACAAGCTCGGAGGTTGAAAAGGGAGCAGGCTAAGGAGGCGAATGTCCCAGAGGAGACCGATGCGGAGCTTGCACAGGCACAAGCGGAGGCTAGCCGAAGTCCAGATGCTGTAAAACCCGTCTTTCTCAAGGGCCTCTTTAGCGTTTCTACCACCAGTACCAGACCATTGGCATACATCCAAGACGACTTGGTTCGAGTGTTAGATCAACTTGGCGTTGAGTGGACCGAAATCAAGGGTGGCTTTAGATGCCGACATGCACCGAGTATTGACTTAAATAAGGTGGTGGACTCACCCGCATCTCCACCAAGCGGGGGCCATAGAAGGAGAATCAGCTTCGGGGGATTCATGGGTGGTGACAAAGACCGTGACGAGTTCAGGGACCAGAATCGCGCCCCTCACACGCCAAAGTCGCGGTCACGACCGTCGGGTGCGGATCGCAGCTATCCCAATACCGATGAGTCTGATACAAGTGAGGAGCGAGACGAGCGGCGACCACGGCGAGCAGTACCAGCTGGCGAGACTTCGACACATGTACAGAGCGATATGGGCGGGAGTATTGTCCTTGTGTTTGAGATTCTTATTGTCAAGGTTCCGCTTTTGACGCTACATGGTATTCAGTTCAAGAAGGTGGACGGCGGTACATGGCAGTACAAGAATATGGCCCAGACCATTTTGGCGGAGCTCAACCTGTGAGTGTATCGGCTGAACAGGCGTTTTGGAATCCCAGTTGTTTTTGGCATCAGCGACATAAAGCCTTGAAGTTTGTTGGTTCGTTTATCCGGGCTGTACTTGTGCATGATGTGGAAATTTTGTAAAGTGAGGACTTTGGGACACAATCAATGCCCACGAATCTCATTTGTCGTTCATAATACTGTCTTTCGACCCTTGATTGGAGACGAGATGGAAAGATCTTTAGATCTTATAGCGCAAATACTAGATCTCACATTTCAAGTTGCGCGTGCGCTACGTCCATGACCCTGCGTGAGAATGTGGGCAGTTTATATACAATTAAAGGCTATTTCACCGCTGTAGACAGATCTTGAAGCCATTTTGTCAATATCACTATTGTCTGAGTTTCTATTACTGCAAGGCTGCCAGACATGGCGCCGATCTCCGTCGAAAGCTCGAGCTCCCGCGAGGCGCCAAGACGCTCGAGCCAGTGGGGTTTCGCGACCTCACCTCTCAAGTGCTGCTAGAACAATCTCACACACTCCGCGGCCTTCACTTTCTTGACCACCAGATCCATTAGCGCATTCTTGAACCGAGTACTTTGTCCACAAGCCTGATCACGAATCCCTCCCCCAGTTTCCGCACTTATTCCACCCAACATCGGCACTTGCAGACTTCGCCCACGATAGCACCAGCACTCGCAACAAATGCAACACATCTTCACGCACCAGCAGCAGTACCCGGGCGAGTGGTCGCAAGGGCACCACCAGCAGCCCCACCACCATGTAGCACAACATGGCCAACTTCAAGCGCAGGCACAGGCACAGGCTCAGGCACAGGCTGCCGCGGCGGCAGCTGCTGCTGCCCAACAACAGCACTACAACCGAATCGCAGGCAATAATGGTACAGCTATACCTGGAAATAACGTAGTTCCCCGCGGCCCAGCAAACGACGTTCAAGCAGCCGACATTGGCATGACGGAAGAAAACAGGCGCGTCCTCGAGTGGATAGCGCAGCTCATGAAGCCTCAGAGTCGCGAGGCGGCTCTTCTGGAGCTGAGCAAGAAGAGGGAGCAGGTCCCGGAGCTAGCATTGATACTCTGGCATTCTTTCGGTATGCGGGCGGCTCTACTGTCAGTATAGTTCAGTGCTGACAAGTGCCAGGTGTCATGGCGTCCCTCCTCCAAGAGATCATATCCGTCTACCCGCTTCTAAACCCCTCACAATTGACCGCTGCCGCCTCAAATCGCGTCTGCAATGCTCTCGCGCTTCTTCAGTGCGTCGCCTCTCATACTGAGACCCGTGGCCTCTTCTTGAGCGGTAAGCCTTCCTATCCAAGGAGACGTGGCGAAGCTAATGCAGTTGCAGCGCACATTCCGCTCTTCCTTTACCCGTTTCTTAACACGACGTCTAAGTCGCGTCCGTTCGAGTATCTTCGCCTTACTTCTCTAGGCGTCATCGGCGCTCTCGTAAAGAACGACTCTTCTGAAGTCATCAACTTCCTCCTGACCACCGAAATCATTCCGCTTTGCTTGCGCATCATGGAGACGGGATCGGAGCTCAGCAAGACCGTCGCTATCTTCATCGTACAAAAGATACTCCTAGATGATATTGGTCTTGCGTACATTTGCCAGACCTACGAGCGCTTCTATGCTGTGGGTACTGTCCTCAGCAACATGGTCAACCAGCTCGTAGAGCAGCAAACTGTTCGTTTACTCAAGCACGTGGTACGCTGCTTCCTTCGGTACGTCAAATTCTCACACTATAATCGAGGCACAGTTCTAACTAACCTACTAGCCTGAGCGACAACGCCCGCGCCCGCGAGGCCCTCCGCCAATGCCTTCCAGAGCCTCTCCGTGATGCTACCTTCTCTTCTGTATTACGAGATGATGCGGCCACGAAGCGCTGCCTCGCTCAACTCTTGATCAACCTTTCGGACAATGTCATCGACGCTGCGAACAACCAGCAACTCATGCACTAAGGAGTTGTCCTGTGCCATCTCTTCGACAACACTCGACTATGGCTCGAGCTTCTTCAGCTACGTCTCGAAGCTCACCTTTGCCTTCTGTATTTTAATGACTTTGGTCTCTCCTTGTGCTTCTGCTTCGATTTGGTGCGGCGGCTCACGTGTGGCGGTTCCACGACATACCCTCTGATTCAAACGGATTTGACTTAAGAAAGTGGTATGGGTTTGGCGTTCAGGCTTCTCTGGTGCGATACCCGTAGCAACAGTGTCCTCGGCATGTTTCTACCTTCCATATGCATCTCTTATCATCCAAGGGCGATAGGCATGGCGAGGAGTTTTGGGCATTGCATGGCGTGGCCCTCTCGAAGGGAGATGGGCTTGGTTCGAAAAGTATCTGTATAGTATTGCGGTCTTTTCCATTTCAAGCGAGCGAGCCATGTAGGAATATGCACTCTTTACAACAATTTCCCTTTGCGCTTTGGAAGTTCACACAAGGCCCATGATATTAGAGGAATATTCTGCTGGGCGAGACCCTTCGGAGCCTCTCCCATTAAAGCTGTGTGTAAACTATGCAAATTATTATCATGGTGTGCACGATCATTACTCAAAGGTGATGGTGCAGCTTTGTTCCCGAGGTCATGCAGCTACACCTGGGCTCAAAAGCTGCGAGCCCAAAAGCGGCCTAGTGCGGAATCGCGCCCACAGTGCGACACCTCGAATTCCGGCGCCCGCACTCCGATCTTCTTTTCTTCAACCACCACCGCACCAGAGCCACCAAAGGAAACGAATATCCTCTGGGAGACACATTGCCAAACATGTCGAAAATCTCTGTTGCCGGCGTTCGTACCAACGTCCAGGAGCTCCTTGAGTACTCCAATGAGACCAAGAAGCGCAACTTCCTCGAGACCGTCGAGCTCCAGATCGGCCTCAAGAACTACGATCCCCAGCGTGACAAGCGTTTCTCCGGAACTGTCAAGCTCCCCACCGTGCCTCGTCCTCGTAAGTACTGCCTTTGAAGTGAGATGGAGTGGCAGAAGTGGATTTAGGGACATGGGCTAATGGAACTCAGGCATGGCCCTCTGCGTCCTCGGTGACCAGCACGACATCGATCGTGCTAAGCACCACGGTGTCGATGCCATGAGCACTGACGTAAGTCTACCTAATTTTTTGACGCGAGAGGATGTGGCTAACCCCACCACAGGACTTGAAGAAGCTCAACAAGAACAAGAAGCTCATCAAGAAGCTCGCGCGCAAGTACGATGCCTTCCTCGCCTCCGACGCCCTCATCAAGCAGATCCCGCGTCTCCTCGGACCCGGTCTTTCCAAGGCCGGCAAGTTCCCCACGCCCGTCTCCCACGCCGAAGACCTCGCCAACAAGATGACCGAGGTCAAGTCCACCATCAAGTTCCAGCTTAAGAAGGTGCTCTGCATGGGTGTCGCTGTTGGTAACGTCGGCATGACTGAGGACGAGTTGATCGGTAACATCATGTTGGCCATCAACTACCTCGTCTCCCTGCTGAAGAAGGGATGGCAGAACGTGGGCTCCTTGACCATCAAGGCCACGATGAGCCCCCCCAAGCGTCTATACTAGAGCGTGACTGTTCTTGTCCGCTGGGTCATGTCTGTAGTGGGCTTTGAAGCAAGGTCCGCGCCGGTTAATGATCTTATGGAATCTCGACAGAAATGAACAATGGACAGTAGTATAGCTTCACTGCAAATGCGAACCCCTCAACCTCACCAATTCTCAAATCTCTTCGTGATGCGCGCCTGCCTGACCTATACTTTGAATTAATAAAAACCGCGTCGTATCGCCTCAGCATTGAGCACCCATCTGCCCAGCCCTCGAAATAAATTCTCACTCCGAGGCTCGCCCCCACTTTTCTGCTTAGTCACGTCTTACGCTAGCGCCGTCGCATTTTCCATAAAAGCCGTCGCTCCCCCGTCCCCTTTTCTTTTCCTTATCATCAGTTGGTAATTATACCTTCATCGTGGCTTCGCGAAAGCGACTTGCTGAGGGTTATCCCATCTTTCCTTGGATAGTCTTCCGTTCCCGGCCCCGTAGAGTGAAATCCGCCCGTCTTTCCTACCAATTGCACATCCGTGAAAAGATGGATTGGAGTTGTGGGATGGTGTGGGACATACCAACATGCCAAGTTGGTACCTTGTGTGTGTCTGCGTGTGATGAGTTGCCTTCGTGTGCGCAGTCTACTTTTAAGTAAAGAAGGCTTTGCCTACACTGAGGCCTTATTTTCGCGATCTGCAGCTGCAAACCTTTTTGTGGGGCAATGGAGGTTGTCCGCGTCGTTGAAGGACAAGCCCCACCCACCGTAATGCGTTCGCTCGCGTGAACTTTTGTCTTATAATAAGTCATTGCGAAGGTCGTCATGGGCCAATTATTTGCGTTGGCTCTGGATTGACAGATCTATGGCATTTGCAGCGACGTCGGCTTTCGCTCGTAACATCGACATTATATCACAACAATAGTCTCAACTTCGCAATATGAATGATGATATGTTAGTTGATCTATTCAGGAGAATGCTTCCTTGACTGCGCCCAACATGCAGAGTAGAGATAATGCACACTACGCCTACCAGTACTACGTGTGTTCATGACTATGCGCACCCAACTCATCGCTTCTGCGTCGTCCTCCACCTGTCAAATGCGATCTCCGAAGACTCGTTGCTTATACCACATCGCTCCCCAAGCAAACTCCACGTCCTCATCCTAATAATCTTCTCCACGGCCCTCTCGTTCCTCATGAGCATAGCCAAACTCTCTGTCCTCGCCTCGGTCGGAAAGTATCTTCCAGAGTATGGATCGAGCCTTTCATCTATCACTCTCTCCCTCGCCTTCGAGTCCTCAATCTGCCTTATTACACTATCAGGGTCATCGGGATCCGGGCTCGTTGCTACCCCAGAGCAGTAATCGAGTACATCTGATCGCACGCTCCAACTCGGGAACAGCAGCCGCTCCTTGAACTCTTGACATTGTTGTGGTGGTAATGAGCGCCCGTGATCGGGTGTGGAGAGCTGTCTGGTCGATGTAGAGGACGGATCGAAGCCTCGCTGCGCCGGTGTCAAAAGCGCATTTAGGTTTTGTGTTATCGAGTCGTCGATGGTGCCACGAGATATGCGGAGAAAGTCTGTTTCAGCCGGCTGATTAGTTAGTGAATTGGCACGCAGGTAAGGTAGGTTGCGGACCTCGTAATGCTGTTTGGTTGAAACAGAATTGTGGCGTGAGGCGAGGCCGTGGGGAGGGTTGTGACATCGTGGGAAGTGGTGGAGGAGAGGGTGGCTCGAGAGGAGAAGAGTGTTTCCAGAAGAAGGACGCCAGGCTGATGACAATCTCGAGAAATTTACTCGAGTCTTTCAAAAGTTTTATGACAGGAAGACGACAGTGTTCAAAGTGATGATGACGGAAGCTAATCCATGTCGGCTCAATGATGTCAGCACGGGCCGGTCAACTTTCGCGCAACGCGAGGCAGGCGCGTCGCGCTCGAGGGTGCCAAAGCTAAGTGCCTACGCAACGCTCTTACTTCACAGTCAGAGCATGCCCCTACGCTTCAATGCTTCTTTCTGCACTGCTCTAACTTCACCTCAATTCTCCATTTCCTCTTTTCCAGTCCGGTCACTGCGTCTCTCTTCGTTTGTGCTGAACCACAATCACTACCACCAGGATTGCAACGCACACGGCACACGCACATTCGCAGCCATGCCGCCCAAGCAGGCTACTCTTGGGTATGTGAAGTCTTCTCAGATGACTCTAGGGTGCGGTGACGCCCTCTGACCTCTTCTGTCTATATTCATGTCAATGCTGACGATTGTCTTATAGCCGGTTCTTCGGGAAACAAAACGGCAACGCAGCAAAGCAGCAATCGAAGCTATCTTTTTCAACAAAGCCGAAGGTCGAGAAGAAAGATGCGGAGCTAACAGAGGAGCCCAAGTCATCACCCGACGAAGTGAAGAAGGAGCAAAATGGCGAGATTGAGTCCGAGACGGATATCAAGGACGAGTTAAATGGAGATGCGATGGAGGTGGAAAGCCCTGCCTCTGAGGCTGGGAAGAAGAGACCAGTCAAGGAAGAGGATGAAGATTCAGAGGATGAGCCTCCGACAAAGCGGCAACGAAGGAAACCAGTCGAGGAGACTGCAAAGACCAAGATATCCAAGGCCGCGCCGAAGAAGGCCGATAAAGCACCAGCAAAGTTAAAGAAGCCGGCTGCAAAAGCTAAAGTTGTAGATCCAGAAGACGAGGAGAAGGCAACGAACCCAGCCCCCGCTGCCAAAGGCAAGGGAGTCAAAAAGTCGCCCGCCTTAGAGGACGATGCCGATGCAGGAGCAAAGGAGGATGAGGATGAAGTTCTAAGCTCTGAAGAAGAGCCTGAAGAGGTCAAGACGAAGGCTCGAAAGAAGATTCAGACTACATTGACGTCTACGACGAAAGACCTATATCCCGATTGGAAACCTGGCGAGCCAGTACCATATGCCGCGCTCTGCACCACCTTTTCGAAGATTGAGATGACTACAAAACGACTCGAGATCCTTGCACATTGTTCACTCTTTCTACGACAAGTACTGCGCCTGACACCATCAGATTTGCTACCGACTGTCATGCTCATGGTCAACAAGCTCGCTGCCGATTATGCCGGGATTGAACTCGGTATTGGCGAATCGTTGATCATGAAGGCGGTCTCGGAGAGTACCGGACGAAGTTTGCAGCACATCAAGAGCGACCAGAACGAGGTTGGTGATTTGGGCCTTGTGGCTGCGAAAAGTCGATCAAAGCAGCCGACCATGTTCAAACCCAAGGCTTTGACCATCGAGGGCGTGCGGAAAGGCTTGATGGGAATTGCCATTGTCGAAGGACAGGGTGCACAAGGACGAAAGGTCGATGGTATCAAGAAGCTACTTTCAGCAGCAGATGCGCATAATGTTGGAAAGCATGTTGATATTGAAAAAGACAAGGGTGGTCCAAGTGAAGCCAAGTTCATTGTGCGAACATTGGAGGGCAAGCTCCGACTAGGACTTGCAGAGAGGACGGTCGTGGTCGCAGTAGCTCAGGCTATGATCTTCCACGAGATGTCGCAAGGCGGCAAAACACCATCAACAACAGATCTTGCCCAAGCCGAATCGATGCTGAAGACCGTCTACAGGTAAGCAACAACGACTTTTGCTTAGTGCATTACTGACAACGTCCACAGCGAGCTTCCAAGCTATGAAGTCATCATTCCGGCCATGCTTGAACATGGCGTCATGAACCTACGAGAGAACTGTCGACTGCAGCCCGGTGTGCCGCTCAAACCTATGCTTGCCAAGCCGACAAAGTCCATTACAGAAGTACTTGATCGCTTCGAAGGCAAGGACTTCACTTGCGAATACAAGTACGACGGAGAGCGAGCCCAGATACATTTTGTTGCGCATGACGCCGACATGGAGTTGGCAACGGCGGCGCCTTCTGCTGGTAAGAGTGATCGCGGTGTCTCGAATATCTTCTCGAGGAACTCGGAAGACTTGTCGAAGAAGTACCCTGATATCCTTGCTAAGCTGCCTACATGGGTCAAGGAGGGCACCAAGAGCTTCGTGCTAGACTGTGAGACTGTTGCTTGGGACATGGTGGAGAAGAAAGTCTTGCCGTTTCAGCAGCTCATGACGCGGAAGAGAAAGGATGTCAAGGTCGAGGATGTCAAGGTCAAAGTCTGCGTTTTTGCCTTCGACATCCTCTATCTCAATGGCGAGGTAAGCTATCCTCCCTGCTTTGTTTTGATCACTTTCTGATAGATCTAGGCACTCGTCAACAAACCCTTCCGTGAGCGTCGTGAACACCTCAACGAAGCCTTCATCTCAGTCGAGGGCGAATTTGCTTTGGCGAAATATGGCAACACCAACGAACTGGAAGAAATCCAAATCCTTCTCGAAGACTCTATAAAAGAAGGCTGTGAAGGCCTCATGGTAAAAATGCTGGACGGTCCAGAGTCCTCCTATGAACCCTCAAAACGCTCCCAAAACTGGCTCAAAGTAAAAAAGGACTACCTCTCCGGCATTGGCGACTCCCTCGACCTTGTCGTCCTCGGCGCCTACTACGGTAAAGGTAAGCGCACGAACTGGTACGGCGCCTTCCTCCTCGCCTGCTACAATCCCAATACGCAGAACTACGAATCAGTTTGCAACATTGGCACCGGCTTCTCCGAAGCTATCCTCGAAACACTACACACCCAACTCTCCGCCATCGTCATCGACCGCCCGAAACCGTTTTACACACATTCCTCTGGCAACAAGGACCAGCCTGATGTGTGGTTTGAGCCGAGATATGTGTGGGAGGTCAAGACTGCAGACCTCACTCTCTCGCCGCGTTACAGAGCTGCTGCTGATGAGGTCTCTGGCGGCGGTAAGGGGGTCTCATTGAGGTTTCCAAGATTTATCAAGGAGAGAGACGATAAGAAGACGGAGGAGGCGAGCACGAGTAGGATGATCGCGGAGATGTATTCGAGGCAGGAGAGCGTTAGTAAGACGAAGGGGCCGAGTGTTGATGACGACTTTGAGTATTAACCTGCGCTGAGGGAGATAGGAGAGGGAGGAGTGGGGAGAGCGCATGGTGGCATTTGCGACAACTTCTGTACATGTATACTTGATAACGGAATAGACCCTGAGTATGGTGGATTACTGCATGGCTCTACGAACTACACAGTCAACCCGTGTCCAAAGATCAGATAAGACAGTAGCGGGAATAGGCCAGAGCACGGGGATCGCTGTACACGGATTGACCATCTTCCGTGCTTTCTGTCTTGTGAGGGCTATCTCAGCGGTTCAAGGGAAGTGGAGCGACACTTGCGTCACAGAATGTGGGTACTTCTAGTTCGTTCTACTGCAGGTGCCGTCCGGCATCATTAGCTTGAAAGTGAGGCTTCGCAACCAGCGAAGAAATCAGTACTCGATCATCCTGACACGACACGCGCGTAAAGGCGGCAAAGCGCGCCTCTAGCGCCGTCGAATTATTAGTCGAAAGTCTGGAACCGATGGCGGGGTCTTCAACCACCACCCACCAAAACGTCGCCCGCATACGCCTTATAACCGTATCACAAATAGTTACGGTAGTCTAGATTCATCATACCGACTTCTATCACAATTTTATCACAATATTTGCAATTAAAAAGTGCCTAAGGCGTGGGTGCTGGTGTTGGGCGTAGGCTTACTCCCGACTATTTCCATGGCGCTAGAGCCCGCATGCAACTATTCCACGGTTCTATTTTTTGACTGCAGCTAACAATTTGCCCCCGAAAGCATAAGCAATCTTGCGAAGAAGACATCTGCGAGAATAGTCGCCTAAGATGGTGGCTTTTTTCTTTTAGCCCCGCTCTCCCTCTCCCCTCGTACCGCTCGTCCCTGCTTTTGTACGTTTCCACGCGGAATTAAATCCACGACCATGGCATATACAGACTTTGCCATGTCCACTCTAATGGGCCAAGATCGGCCTGGACCCTCGTGCATTTTCGTGCCTCGCGGGTCGCCAAGTGAAGCGAGTGGTCGAGACTCCAGGTGGCGGTTTTTGACTGGACTGATTGTGATTGGCGGACTGTGGGTCCGGTGCGACCAGACGCACCGTTACCGTATCCGAGAGTAGTGAGAAAGAGACGTTTGGGAAATTCGAATCGAGGTTCTTCTCTTCAACTTCTTAAAGCGGTTGCGTGGGAACGAGGGAAGCCTGTCATGAATCGGGCAATCGCCTCAGCTTTTCCCATCGTCTTGTTCGGCGCAAACTATGCACTTCCTGAGATACTAACCCTTTCGCCTCCCTAATAGCAATTCGAGTGCCCAAAAAATATTTTTGATTTTGTGGCCTGCCCGCTATTCCAACTTCGCCGCCAATGTCGCCTAGCTGACTAGATATCTGTTTGAATAGCGAGTCCCTGCTTCCAAAAAAACGACGGATCGGCATGGATTCACATCAGCGGCGTTCAAGCGATACAACACGACCTCCCCTACGCCCTCTACTCCCCGCAGCAGCACCGCGGACAGAGATCGAACGTGCACACTCGAAACGGGCTCGTGTGTCACTAGCCTGCGCAGCATGTCGGAACCGCAAAACCAAGGTATCAGCTCAGTACCCATGACACCACTAAACCCTGTCCTAATTGTTCCCACCAGTGTGATGGTGGACGTCCCCAATGCAGCGAGTGTGTGGCCCGCACTTCAGAGTGTCACTACACTGAGACGGAAACTACACAAACAAAGCGTAGACATGCCGATCTAGAGGAGTTATTTGAATTGATGAAGACTTTACCAGAGGACGAGGCTTTGACGCTTTATGGAAGAATAAGAGCGGGAGTGGATCCAAGGGAGGTGGTTGAACAGGTGCATCATGGGAGTATGCTAGTACAGTTGGCGAGTGCATCCGGGTCAGGGAGCCAGAAGAGTCGGAGGTCGAGTTTTAGTCCGCAGTCGGGCGATGAAATGAAGCGCGGGTCTCTACACTGAAGCCCTATTCGGGCAACGAGTCTTCACCGACTCTGGCGTTTTTGTCTTCTTTACGCCCCATCATCTTTCACGTTGAACACGACATTCCTGACGTGTTCCCACACAATGGCCTGCTTCTCGAGGTCCCACTCTTCAGCATCTACTTTGCATGAGTTCTTCTCTTTCAAATTGGTTTTCCAATCTTTGTCTGACCAAGCCCAGACGTCCTCCTCAAATAGGATCTTTAGTCCAATCTCATCATTATGATATAGAATTTTCATCGTGAACCCGGTTCTGCTCAAGCCCTTGCGTGCGCGGGCGACAAGTCGCAGGATTGGTACGAGGCTAACAGAAATATCGATGGCACATTCTTGCCGTATCACCAGTGTGATAATTCTTGGTCTGGACGAGAGTTGTTTCATTTGGCCGTCGTGAATGGTGATACGGTCAGAGTATGGGATACTCAAAAGCGCCGTTATGCCTTCTTCGAGCTCAGCGATGTGGTTTTGCCTCGCAAGTTCACTTGACATGTGGTTCTGCGTTTTATCATAGTTAGCAATGTCTTCGACGTCGCCATTGTCCTCGGCATATTCATCGAGAACATCGCATTGGAAGTTGATCCGGAGGTCCAAATTTCGGACTAGCTCTTCCATAGTCTTTCCCACGCCAAACGCGTCCTTCTTAACGAACGCCTCTATTGATGCGTCAATCAAGGAGAATTCCGCAATCGGATTCCTTTCGCAGGGTCGTAGATCCTTTCCAACGGTGTCCTGCAGCCGTACAAGGACTTCTCTGGCGAAGTCCGCACCAAAAAACGCCTGGTCAACGAAATATGGTGGTTTGAGATCCGTGGCGCCTGTCTTCCCGAATGATTCACATGGATGTATGCCCCTAATTACCCATGGCTGGTCAAAGTGTTCCCACCAATATAACAGATCTCTTTGAAAGTCTTGCTGCCCGCCACTATCCCAGAGGTGCGTATATATTGTGTCGCGGATCTCGCGGGGGAGTTTGAGGACTCGAGAAACGACTGTCAAGTTTGCGGCGGTGGCGTATCTTAGAATTGCATCGTACAATTGCGGAGCCCAGATGTTGTGCGCATTGAGTACGGTGGAGTATTTGCGTTGGTGTGTAAGTTGAGACAGCTCAGTATTGCGATCGAGAAGGACCCTGTGTGGTGGTCTTCAGTAAGGATTCATTCTTCAGACTAATCCGAGATAGAACTTGCTGTGAGAGCTGCTGCTCGGTAAGCTCGCGCGCTTCGTCGAGCTGCTGATAGCAAAGTGGAGCCATGAGAATAGTCTGAGAGCCTTCAGGGTACTCTGAAGTTGTGTTGATTAATTTTCAAAAATGTGTTGAAGGAAGACAGCTGGAGGCACATGTTGTTGTTGTTGTCTCCATGGGTGAGTCATAAAACCCTATCCGCCAGCAAGGATCAACATAACTCGGGAAGAGTATCCAATATCTTCTTGAGGCTCGAATAAGCTTGAAAGTAGATAGAGTTTGCTTCTGAGGGTGTTGATGACTGCTGTCGTGGAAACAATCATTTTGAGCGTATGGTACATAGTACCTCCAAGCTCAACTTGGAAGAGAGGCAGCTCAGACTTCGAGTCATAGTCTTGTTCGTCATATTGATACGCAGAAAACCATGTCAATCTCCCTTTTCTTACGCTTTTAGCTTCCGGATAGTGAACAATGCGTGGTGATGGGTCGAATCGACATCCGTAACCACGTGTAGGTGCTCGCCATCCTTGGACTAGACGAATCGCAAAAGGGGCTATTCTGTTTATAAAGGCAATACAATAATTAAAAGATCATATTTCATATTCCAGGTGTCTAAGGAAAGTTGTGGGGGATAGCTAGGTGATAACATGCAATCGCGTCGAGAAGCACGATCCCAGGTGGGTTATCGTCGCTCAGGAGCGGGAATGGCGACCGCGCCCTATCGCCTCATCCACTATCTACCAGCCCCTGCCTACCCTACGCACGGATTCAATCATGATTACTACTGGGTATGTGCATGCAGCGAACCACACAGTTGAAACTGGGATGTCCTTCCTCTCACAGTTTAAGCAAAGACGAACGCGCAACAGCGACGTTGCATTCGCAATATGTTGAGGAATGAGTACCGTAAGCTTAACTGACAAAGCCTATATCACTACGTGGCCAATCTACAAAACAAATCACCCTTGATGGATGCGTTTGCAGAGAGCTCTCCGAAGTTTACAACTATTTTCTCGCACCCTGGACGGAGTCCCAGTGAGTAGGAATTAATTAGTCACCGTTCCGACGGCTAAGCTTCGGGAATCCCCAGCGTCTTCATTTCCCCTGAACATCTCCACAGGGACTAGCAAAACCAACCGACACATGACCCCGCGTGTCGCCTTAAGCAGTCCAAAATGTAACGCTCCTAACCAGGAGCGCTCTGGCACCACGACGCCGCCCCACCAGGATGCTACATAATGCGTCTTTTGTTGGCAACTACTTCCGACGCGGGGAATGTTTCCCCATCTCACAAACAAGCACAGGGATTATTAGTTTATGGCTTTCCTGGGGCCGGTGGAGTCTGGGGGGCCCGCGATCTCACCATCATGCGGCTATGCGGGTCAACCACTCCATGTGCCTAAGAAGAAAAAAATCCTTATGGACGGCCTAACATGATGGGGTGACAAAAGTCATGTATATAATGGCGATGATCCTAAATCATTAAATGCCTATATATCATATTATATTACCAATCCCATTGCCCGCTCCTGTTGCACCAGGGCTAGCATCATGGACAATGCTTCAATCACATCGGCTCAAGTCCGCACCCAGGCCGCCTACAAGAATAGATGGAGGACTATAATAAACAACCCGAAGATTTTGATCATCGCATTCTTTGCCTCGTAAGGATTTGCTCTGTTAAAATCATACTCGCCTGCTAACGAAATCATAGCCTAGGTGGTTTCGAATATGGCTACCAGCAGGGTGTGCTTGGCCAATCTCTAGTCATGACGCGATTTAAGGACAACTTCCCTTCAATTGTAGATTCGCCTGGGGCAACTGGCTGGTTGACATCCATTCTCCAACTCGGTGGTATCCTCGGCTCACTTAGTGCTGGTGTTTTTGGTGAGGTATTCTCACGGAAGTACACCATGTTCAGCGCCTGCTGTTGGGTCACACTGGGCTCCTACTTGTACATCGGAGCTACGCACCACAACCCGGCCATGTTGTACGCTGGAAGGTTCTTTACTGGTATTGGTGTCGGAACCTTCTCTGGAGTTGGCCCGCTCTACAACGCTGAGATTGCCCCTCCTGAACTCCGAGGCATGATCGTCTCTTTCTATCAATTCGCTACTATCATCGGAATCATGTTGTCCTTCTGGATCGGCTACGCCTGCAACTACATCGGGGGTATTGGAGAAGGTCAAAAGAACATCGCCTGGATGTTGCCCTCCATCATCCAAGGTATCCCAGCTGCCATTCTTGCCGTTGGGATATGGTGGCTCCCCTTCTCTCCTCGATGGTTGATCAAGAAGGGCCGCGATGAGGAAGGTCTCAAGACCCTCTCCTATCTCCGTAAGCTACCGGTAGAGCATGAGCTCGTTCAAATCGAGTTCCTTGAGATCAAGGCGGAGACTCTCTTTGAGCACCGCAACTTCCAAAAGAATTTCCCCAACCTGGCCGCGAAAGAGCAGGGTAGCGTCTTTGTCCGGGAGTTTGCGCAATACTACCAGATATTCAAGACCCGGGATAACTTCAAGCGTGTATCCACGGCTTGGTTGGTCATGTTCTTCCAACAGTGGAGTGGCATCGACGCCATTATCTATTACGCCTCCAACGTCTTCCAGTCTGTCGGCCTTACTGGCGGAACGCAAGCGATGCTTGCTACTGGTGTGACTGGTGTCATCTTCTTCGTCAGCACTATACCAGCCATGGCTGTTATTGACAAGTTTGGTCGTAAGCCCATGCTTCAAGTCGGTTCTGCCGTCATGTGGTGCTCTATGGTCATCGCTGGTATTATGGTCGCTAAGTTCCGACACAACTGGGCTGAGCATGCTGCAGAAGGTTGGGTCGTTGTCGCCTTCATCTGGATTTATGTTGGTGCATTTGGTGCTACTTGGGGCCCTGTTTCGTGGACTCTGATCTCAGAAATCTTCCCGCTTTCTATTCGATCCAAGGGCGCGTCTATCGGCGCTTCAAGTAACTGGGTATGTTTTCTTCAACTCTTCATGATATCTACAGTCGCTGATCGCATTTAGCTCAATAATTTTGTAGTTGCCTTCATTGTCCCTCCTTTATTGAAGACCTGGACATGGGGAACGTATATCTTCTTCGCCGTCTTCTTGGCCGCGGGCATGGTGTGGGTTCACTTTTGCTTACCTGAGACTAAAGGAGCCACACTAGAAGAGATGGACCGCGTATTTGGCTCCCGAACCGGCGCGGAGGATGCTATCGCACTTGCGGAGGCAAGGAGGGAAATTGGATTGAGCATGCACCTGGAAAATGATGCCATCAAGGCCATGCATCATGCAGAGCAAGTCAAACATGAGAAGGGCAGCATTCGCACTGAAACGGTCTAAGCTACACATATAAATAGAAGATTTTAGGACAGTACAGTGTATAAATTTACCGTGTTCTTATGGTAGCAGGCTGTGCTGGTTTGGGCCAGTTCTATGTAGTGGTGTATAAACACAAGATACTGACCGAGGAATGCTCGAATTACAAAGGCCTGTCAACTACTAAGAAGAGTTGAGGAGCTATCGTGGATTCATCAACTCCTACTGTATCGAGTATAGTCACCTGTAGCTGACCCAGTTTGCCCTGCACACGATCGGGCCTCTATGATATATCAACAAGAAGCTTACAAGCATTTGAAACCGAGCTCTCTGAGGTTGTTAAATACTTGAATTGTCTCCAGGCTGTCTTAAAGTAGAGTAACATTTAAGCAATATGAACTGAAGAAGAAAATCAGCATAGGCTTCACTATCAGTCAGTCAAAAGAAGATTCAACAGCTGCTATTTTAATCTCTACTACAATAATAAGTTATTGGCAGTAGGTTGACATACTCGTCGTACTCCTCTGTCAGCTAATTCCTATTCGCGTCCTAATCGCGTCGGTCAAGCGAGGAGAAAACATACTGCAAAGGTAAAAAGTGCCGTATAGATCAGCTCACAATATCAAGATAAGGGGGCGATAACGGATGAATCCCATGATGATGGCCAATAAGGGGTTGGACGAATATGCAAATTGTTCGGATATTGAAGGGCGGGTGGCGGAGACCTGACGATAGAAGCCTGCGTGTATTCAAAGTAGCATAGTCTTCCCTAGTGTGATACAGATAGAACTTCTGGTGACAGATAGCTGTGCAAATACTGTGTGTTCAGGCCTCACTTGTTATCTGTAGTTGCAATAAAAGAGAGGGGCAAATGTGTCACAAGAGGGGCCCCCCCACATAGGCTCTAGAGAAAATCTAGATTAGCACCCGCATCACACAGCAGCACCGCTCGTTCTCTGCACTGTCAGTATATATTCGCACAAATTTTCCAACTCTTCAACAATTCACCGAAAGCACGTTACGGTGGTATGGTCTAGTGGTATGACGTCGCGTTGTGGTTTGGCGGTGCTCTCAAAAGCACCTGATCTTCGATCCGCGCCAGCCTGGGTTCGAGTACGTTGTATTCCAAAATATGCGGTCTGAGACATACTAACATGTCTACAGTTCCCAGTACCGCCATATAGTATCTTTTTTTGCACTTTTTTGCTCTTCCTTACAGGAAAAAGAACAGCAGCAGTCTTCCTTTTTGTAATATATAAGTCTCGGGGTAGAAAGGACATATGGCTGTTGTGGTGAGCTAAGACTCGCCTAGCCAGTTTTTTGGGAGCAGTCGGCTAGCTTGCTGCTCCGATTCAATTCCGCTCTCCGAAAACTTTGGCCCAAAACCTCCTACATCATCACACCCAGCGTCCGACATGGCTGAACCGGATGCGAAGGCTGCTGCAGCTGGCGGCGGGTCCACCGGGCCTAGCAAACCCCAGAAACCTCCGAATCCTGTGTGGAAGATGATGGGTGCGCATCACATTTTTATTTAGGCAACTCTATCTAATGGTATCCTAGGTCTACCAAATTTCCGCATGAAGCTACCATCGCGGAACTGGATGATATTCCTCTCCATAACTGGGTCCTGGACCGCCGCCGTGATGTACGATCGTCGCGAGAAAAAGCGCATACAGAAGAAATGGGCTAGGGTTGTCGAACACATTGCACAAGAACCACTAGACACGCAACAGCTCCCCCGGACGCTTACCGTGTTTGTGTCTGCACCGCCGGCAGATGGACTGGTACCTGCACGCGACCACTTTCACGAATATGTGAAGCCAATACTGGTTGCCGCGGCGCTGGATTGGGATGCGATTGAGGGGAGGAGAGAAGGAGATGTGCGGGCTGGGTTGGCGGAGAGAATACGCAAGTTGAGGAAGAAGAGGGGGGAGACGAGTAGTGAGCCGATAGAGGAGGGAAGTGAGGAGTTGCTAGAGGCAACGAGGCAGAGAGCTGGTGTTAAGGAGTGGGATGGTCCGGGTGGAGACATTGTTATTGGGAGGCACACGTGGAAAGAGTACGTCAGAGGGCTACATGAAGGCTGGCTAGGACCTTTGGACGCTCCTACACTACCAGCAGAAGCTATTGAGGCTCCAGCTGCTACGGAGCTGCCCGCCCCGGGAGCGACACTTGAGCCTCGCGAGCCTACCACTGAGGTCACCGCACCTCCTGTCGCGACTGACGACGCATCTCCTACCGCTGCTGCCGAAGCCCCCAAAACAGACGAAGCCGAGAAGCCAAAAGAGGAGGAGAACAAGCCCAAGAAGAAGAAGCAACCACCACCCTTTATCACCACAGCCGAATACGAAAATTCAACACTGTCCCGAAGCTGCCCTCAAGCGCTGGGTCCCGCCGCTATCATACCCTTCCCGCACCTTCTCGGCTTCTTCAATTTTCCGATACGTATGTACCGCTTCCTGAACAGGCGTCAAGCGGCGGATGTCATTGGCAGGGAGACTGCTGCTGCTGTACTTGGAGTATATCGACCGTTTGAAACATCAGGAGCGTCTGTCACCAGCGACGAGAATGGTCATAGTAGCGCTCAATGGGAGCAACAGCGGTTACTCGAGCATGAAGAACCTGATTGGCACAAAACAGCGCGAAAGCGCGAAGAGGACGACAAGAAGGAGAGGGTATGGTTAGACGACATGGTGCTCGACCCAAGAATCGCTGAGCGTATGAGGAGATTCGCATTAGATGCTGGTGTGGATGAGCGAGCAAACAATACATCTCCTGCAAAAGAAAGCTCTTGGATCGGTTCATTGTGGCCGCAAGAGAAAAAGAAGGGCGCATGGGAAGGTCTCAGCGACGACTGATCGACTGTATATTCTGTATTCTGGCATCTCACCTTCGATCTTGTGTTATATATTCTGGGGGGAGCTGTAAGAGTAGCTATGTACCATGGATGCATTAGGCGGCGCAACTATATCAACAAGGTTCTGCATAATGAGAATTACACTCTACTTGGTGCTATCTGCATCCATGCACGTGAAGCTAGCGGGCTTAGCTTGGCAGCCCCGCCAATGACCTAACGTGAAGGAAGCTTCGAGTCCAAATACACTTTGCGTTGCACGTTTGCCTTCTTCACATCGAACACGTCTTCCTGTTCTTTTGAGATAATCAGACTCTTTACTATTTCCCTTCTTACTGTAGCTTGCAACTTCGCCTCACACTACCACTCTAATTGCCATTATGGTGAGCTAGCTGCCCCGCCTCAAGCTAACACGTACCTATACAGTTTCTTACAGTTTCCAGGCAACCAACCAATCCAAGAAGCGCCTCGCGCTCGCAATCCTTGACTTCCTCCAAACCTCACAGACAGACGGATCAGTAGCTCCCGACGATGCCGAACAGCTCGAAGTTGCCGCGAACTGCATCACCGAAGCGTTTAAAGTCGATGTTGACGACGAGGCTGCAAAAAAGGACGCACTGGGCGGCCAAAATCTGCTCGCAATCTACAACGTATACGAAAAGCTCAAGGGAAAGACGACCGCCTCAACGGAAGGAAGTTCGTCTGCCTCAGAAGCGCGGCCCGCCACACCGCAGACACCAGCAGCCAATGCTCCAGCACCTGGAGGACCAAACAAAACCGAAGCAGAGCGTCTGAAAGGTCTGGGCAACGAGGCCATGAAGAAGAAAGACTACGACAGCGCTATTAAGCACTACACCGCCGCACTCGAAGTCGTTCCGCTCAATCCCATATACCTCTCCAACCGCGCTGCCGCATACTCAGGCCAGGGCAAGCACGAGCTTGCGAAAGAAGACGCCGAAATGGCAGTCGCTGCCGATCCAAACTACTCCAAGGCCTGGTCGCGCCTCGGCCTTGCAAAATATGTCTTAGGCGACGCAAAGGGTGCTATGGAGGCATACAAATCGGGCATGGACGCCGAAGGTGGTGGTTCAGAAGTCATGCGTAAAGGTTACGAGACAGCGAAGAAGAAGTATGAGGAGGAGGGCGGTGATGTTGGTGCACCTGATGAAGATACACCTCGAGGCGCGCCTGGCGGTGGTGGCATGCCCGACCTGAGTTCGCTGGCTGGTATGCTAGGTGGAGGTGGTGGAGGGGGAGGTGGTATGCCCGACCTGGCTGGTCTCATGCAGAACCCGATGATGAGGCAGATGGCACAGAATCTTATGAGCAACCCGGATATGATGAGCAATCTCATGAATAACCCGAGGATAGCAGAGATGGCACAGCAGTTTGGAGGGCGTGGAGGTGGAGGAGGTGGAGGAGACGGCGGCGGCGGTGGTGGTGGGATGCCCAATTTGCAGGATCTTATGAGTGATCCAAATTTGGCTGACATGTAAGTTGTGCAGAGGGTGCGCGGTGGTTACAGCTAACATTGAGATAGGGCAAGAAACTTCATGGGTGGAGGCGCTGGAGGAGGTGCTGGTCGAGGTGCTGGTCGAGGAGCGCCACAATAAAGTGCTAACGTGAGAGACAGAGACGGCAGTAGTACATATGCGGAACTGGGTAGCATCCGCATGGATTGAGTAGTCGACGTATCACGACTAGATCTATGATACCATGTTCACTTCCAGTATGAATATGCTTGATACCAAGTCTGCGAGCTAATCTGTCCTACTCATCTCGTGTAGACAGCCCTTCTCCGAATTCCCCGAACCCTCCATGGGCTCAGGTACCTCTGATCTACTCATCTTTAGGTCCATCATCTTGATCTCAACACTTTGAGCTAAGGAAGCTCATGTCGCCATTGTATGCTTAGCTACTTGTCTCAAGCTCTCCTACCTCTTTCGCTCCTCAATCCAACTTCAATGCCCAAAGCCCATCCCCCAAATAATGTCCCGCCTCGCACGCTTGTCCCTTCTTTACCTCCTTCATCTCCTTCGTACCCATCTTCAACACACCCACCATGCAAGCCGTATCCTTCCCCTCGGCTTCAATTACCACCGCACTTCCCGGCTCCAAGTCTTGCTCACCATACACTTCCTTGTCTTCCGCGGACAAGCTGGCGTCTGGTATTCTTCCTCCTGGCGAAGTGAGTCCCGGAGCCATAAGCGTAGCACCCGAGAGAACGAAGCGGATAGCGCCGCGATCGATACGTAGGCGGTTGAATGCGTGGGGGTATTTGTGTACGAGGGTTAGATGTGGGAGGATGGCGTCGTCCATGTGTTGGAAGAATAGCGGCGTGCCATGCAAAGTGTAGAGCGAGACGCGGTCCGGCAGCTTGACAAGGTCTAGTTGCTCCTTCTTAGGGAGAATGTCTTCGATGTAAGGTTCTAGCTTGGGGTAGGACTCGAGGACTTTGGAGCGGATGGCGCGCTGGGCGCTGGATTTTACTTTGGATTTGGCGCCCGAGGTTATACTGCAGGATATTAGATGATGATGTCCTACGAGAGGAGAGAAGGGAGAATTACTCTTTCTTGAACATTTTGGCGGTGAGTTGAGGGGTTGTGAGGAAGTGGTTGTGTTCGTACTTGAAGGTGGTGTTGAGACTGCCGTCGAGCCTGCCCCGCGTTCGCTGTTCGTGACGAGGAGGGGCACTAGAGTGGGGCAGACGAGCTGGTATGTATCCATGGGAGCCTGCAACCACCATTCCTTCCTCGTCTTTGAATATAATCTTCTACTATCATTACATCATACTTTTCCCGATAAGTGGCGCGTGGATAGGTAACAAAGTTTCACTCACACCAGTCCACGATCTACTCTTGTCTCAAAATCTCAAGTCGTTCAAGCATGCACCCGCCCGGCCTTACCGTTAAACTTGACTTTGAGAAGCCAAGTCAAATATACGACGCTCAAGATCGTTTCTATTCCTCTGCAAGCCGCGGTAATCACTCTGTCTCATTGAGTAGTGCGTCCCTTAATGCTGACACCATATTTACTTGTTTAGTTTGTAACGACTTCCCGCAGCACCTATACTTATGGGCTACTTCACGCAGTTTGAAGGAAGTAGCAGGCAATAAATGTCAACTGTGCAACCTTCTTTGACAAATGAGCGAGGTTATCTGTCGACACATGCCTACAACTGATTACGCGTATGTATTAATATTACAGTGGGTAGGGGTAGGGATGATTTGATGTTGTAATTACGCTAAGTCAAGTAGAAACAGTATATTAAGAATATATACCATTATTTTTAACAGCGTGAGTAAGACAGAATAGTGAGAAGACGCTGGCAGAAATGAAAATGTGAGCGATGCTAGTATCATAGATATTCTATTGGTAATAGAGACGGAGACCATCTGCTCAAATATTAAGATACAAAAGCCTTAGCTGATATGCTGGCACCTGTGAAGCCGAGCAACTATATAGCTATGGAAAGAAAGAGACACATCGCACTTACTTTTGATCAAGGTGCCACAATCCTTCGCCGGACTGAGCGTCCTCGTTTCCCATCGCGAAAGGGCAGGAATGCAGAAAACTTCTAGTCTTCTTCAATCTCACCCTCTTCGCTTCCGGACCGAATGGCGCGGTTTTCTTCTTCTTCCTTCTTAGGTGGCTCAGGAACGGGGGTCTTCGACTTGCGGTCGGCGCGAGGAGAGTGGCGAGCACGCTATATGGTCAGCATCATACTCATACACTCAGAACTGTGAACAAAGAACGTACCTTGGCGTCGCGATCGCGCTTACTCGTGCTCTCGTCGCTCTCCCGGCGGCGCCTGGTTGATGAAGTGCGACCGCCACTATCCCCGTAATCTAACAAGCTGACACTAGCCTCACGTGGGTCGGCTCTGCTAACATAAGATCGCTCACGCTCAGCCTCGCGCTCGCGACGCTCCCGTCCGTAATGATCACCAGCAGGGCTCCGGCGAGAGCGATCATACCGATCGTCCTCGCGCCGTTCGCGGCGTGGAGGTGGAGACAATCCTGTGCTATCGTTGTTCCTGTAACGCGCCTCCCTATCCTGTTGAGCTCGCCGACGCTCTGCAGCGTACGGATCATGTTCAGGTGAGCGAGTACGTGTACGATGACGACGGTGAGAGTCAGAATGTCCGTTGCGGTACTCACGATCTCGATCGCGCCTGTCCCTGTCACGGTCGCGATCATCACGTCTGCTGCGGTCCCGTCGATCGCTCTCCTTCTCCTTTAGACGGCGTATGTACTTGTCAAAGACGGATTCGCGAAGGGTATCTGATTTCAGTGCGCGGTACTCGTCTGCCTTTTCAACACGGGGACGTACCACTTCCCAAGTGTCTGAAAGCGACACTGGCGGATCAAGTCGCTTGATGACAGAACGTAGGCTGTCCATGGCATAGCGTTCGTTATGCTCTTCGTCTCGGCGCTCGTCCTCTTCTCGTTTCTTCACTTTGGTAATCACGTAATTGTAGATGCTGTGCATCGACTGCTCGTCAATGTTAGCTGTGCGAGGATCTGTTCGCATGACACTTAGGAATTCTTCCACGGGGGTCGATGTTGTGACCTCGAAGCGTTGTTGCTAGTGGTAGTGTTAGCAACTGTTAACATCAGGTGGGATAGTGTCAATTTACCTCCAGTACATCCAGGGCATAGCGGCGCAGGGTACGGAATTTGCCCTCTTCCTCTTCCAAAGCATCCCAGAATAGGTCGACTGGCGAGGATCCACTCTGCCCAAGCATGGCAATGTACCGAGGATCGTCCTGAATGTCGTCGTGAATGTCCTTCCACTTTGTACCGGACCTGAGTTTACGGTTGTCCCTCAGTTCATGTAAAAGTACTATAAATGCATCTCGATTCTTACGCTCCAAACGATGCTTGACACGCCTGTCAGCTTGCACCCGATCGTTGTGCTCGCGCTGAAGCTGCCTGATGTGCTTTTCGAACTGGTTCAGGACATCCATTCGAGTCAAGGACTGAAATCTCTCGTTGTTGAACTCATCGTTGTGCTCCAGCTTCTCTTCGGCGGTCTGCCAGCGCGTGAATGGTTCCAGATCAAGGCCTTGTAGCAAACCCAGGACCTCATCGAGTGCTGACCGTCTACTCTCCGCTTCCTTCTCCTCGTGTGCCTTTTTTAGCGAGAGAATGTATTCTTCGAAGAGCGATCTTCGCTCACTCTCATCCTTGGCGGAGCGGAAGATGGTCTCTTCTTCAATGATTGGCAGAGCCGTCCTCCAACGCGTATAATACTTGATTTCAGGATGCGAGCGGAGCATGGCAGTAAAGTCGGCACGCAGCTTAGCCTGGCGATCCTGCTCCTTGTGCTTCTCTTGGGCTCGCAGGTCTTCGCAGTATTTTTTAAAAGCTTCTTCACGCTTCTCCGGCTCAGCAATGGCGCGCCAATTCGGGTCGTGGATACCAGCGCGCACAGCTTGCTGCCAGCTCCAATCGGGCTGTACCTTCATTTGCCTAAGCACCTTCATGAATGCAGCTTCGGCCTCCTGGGGGGTGGAGAACTGGAGCTCGGTACCGGTTGTGAAGCTGATGTTCGGCCTGTCGCCGCCGAATCCTGATTCGCGGTCGCGGTCTCGCTCACGTTCATGGCGGTCTGGCCGGTACTCGTCGCGTTCGGGGCGCCTGTTGTCGTACGAAGGAGGGTGTGCAGAAGGCCCAGCAGCCCAGCCGGAAGGGCCTGGAGGAGGTGGGCGCTGAGGCGGCTGGTTCTGCCTGTTTCGGTCGATGTTCTTCTGGACAATGTCGGGAACGGACCAGGTCGTCTCTTTCGACTGCGTGTGGTAGAAGTATCTCTTGTCGTCGGCTTTGTGTATAGCCCATCCCGTACCAGTGATTGCACGCTGTGGGGAGTCAGCAAGGTCTTTGAGCAAGGAAGGATGCTGCATACTTCAACTTCGTCCTTCAATTCGTCGGGCTTGTCCCATGTTGTGAGGTTGGTAGCCGCATTAAAGTAGTACTCTTTTCCATCGTCGGTTCGCACAGCCTTCCAGGGGGAGACAGGCGGCGCCATCGGGGGCGGATACCCGTTCATCGCGTCGAGAGGTTGAGAGCGAAAAGGCTGTTGGCTTTCGCGATCTGTCGCAACGGCTGTGCAGATAAGTTTTGGAGCACGGGCCTTCAGCCGGTTGAACTACGGCTCAGCTCAGGCACCTCCCTGCACGTGAGCCTCACTTGACTTTCGTCATTCAAATATCAATCAATTCTTTGGCTAGTCTGAGGGCAAGAATGACTGAGAGCCCTGCAGAAACGCTACCTCGCGGAAGCGCCGAGTTTGTAGAAAGCTCCGTGCTTGAGGCCGTGGTACCTGCAAGCTCCGACATCGACATCGAGGACGAGTTAAGCTCCTGGGACGGAGTTATAGAAGACGATAATGGCTCGGTGTTACCATTCGTGTCACAAAGACAAGTCCTACTTCTCGGTACGTACCACACAGGCCACGCACCTTTAGCAAATATCTTACTCATACATAGGCTTCTAGATGAACTACTATCGGTATACGTCGTGTTCCGGACTCCATTGCTCGAGGATGACATTCTGAAATCATATCTTGCCAGGCTAGTGGTCATCGTGGAGGCTTTTGCATTCAGTACCGCACCGCCACTTGAAAATGAGCCCAAAACTGCTCCTAAAGAGATCATTTACTCAGGCGTTATCAAAGACGACGATGAGCCCACCGTTATCCGTCACGGAGAGGGAGACGATACTTGTACTTACGTTATTTGGAAGGTTGAGGTGTTCATATGTGAGTAAAACGAGTTGTTGTATGATCTTATCTGACATCAAGTAGCTCGACCGCAGGGACGATTTCATAGACCTGCAGTCTATTTCCAGCCTACGGCTACCTTCAAGCCCGCTGAGAGACCTAAGAAGAATGTCTTGGAAGACGAGTATTTACCAAGCGGAGTGCCTACAGCACTCAACCTGCTTCAGGCATTTGAGAACGATCCTGCCCTAGCCGGCATACATCCTCGATTGTCGGCAATGCGAATCAACAAGGTTACCCCAAGCGCTCCTTTCGCGAGAGAGATGGTTCGTCCGATTCGCAATGGACAACGACTTCTCTTCCGAGTACTGCCACCTTTAATATGGAGGATGAGGTATTCACGAGTGCAAACATCGCTGAGCGATTTGTCTTTGATGGCTTCGTTGGATCTGGAAGTTGCACAGTTTGCTGCATACCATGTCAAAATCAGCAAAGTAGCCCTAACATTGCACGGCGGCCAGGTCAAACCCTTGTCAGATCGAGAAAACACGACAGCACTCCATGGCCCAGGCGACCACTTGACATACCTATATAAGATCACTCCTGATCTAACCTCCGACGGGAAACCGGCACTCGGGAATAAAGAGTGCTTTCTGATCTTGAACATCGAGGCACAAGTTTTGATATCCACAGACTGCAGGCCAAACATCGCGATTGAATGGAAGACTCCTGTCGACTTCACAAACGAACAGATATCTAGCCTAATCAGAGCCCCCCAGACACTGAGCGGCTCCACGGCGCCGAATTCAAAAGCGCCGAACCCCGATTCACTTCCAGTACATGATACACAAAGTCAGCAAGATAACAACACATCGCATAACGATATCAACGTTACCCTTACAGTATCAGGACCTCCCAGAGTACGAGTCGGGGAGATTTTTACATGGGACGTTTTCATGGTCAATCGTTCGGACAAGATACGCAAACTAGCGGTAATAGTGATCTCGAAGAGAAAGAGAGATTATGAAAGCCACCAGTCACACCCTTCGATATCCTCCACAAGTGGCCACGCAACGGAAAAGAAGGATCTTCTCGCAGCTGCCGTGATAGACGAGAACATTATTTATGCAAAACAAAAGAGTGCTAGAACGGAAACAGCAGAACTGATTTGCCTGACCACCGACATTCGGCTAGGGTGAGTGACACTGAGTAAAACAGCTCCTTGGAAGTATGAATGCTGACTATGTAGGCAACTATCACCTGGCTCATGCTATACTGCTGATCTGAAGTTCCTTGCCCTCTCTACCGGCGCGTTGTCTGTAGAGTCGATTCGCGTCATCGATCTAGCAACGAATGAGACTGCAGACATCCGCGACCTACCAAGTATTGTAGCAGTAGAGAAAGAGGATAATAGTCAGAGCATATAACACACATATAGAGTTGTCCATCATTGACAAGCCTTGGAGCTATCATACGGGTGATGCAATCGGCTTTGGTGCTCCAGTCGAGAGCCTTCTGGCTCAGATAATACATGGTTGATTGCCGCTCTACGAAGACGTGAAGCTGATTAGCAACTGTTTAGGAACTAGATGGGAGGTAGAGGTATTGTAGGACGGGTTATGGTCTCTCGCGTAGACTACTGCGGACAAGGCGAGACTACAATCCAATGCCCAAGCAAGAATAGGCGACGTGCATATCCTGTATGCTTAACCGGAATCGCAACTCAACCCGAATGTCTTCTTCGCTTAGTCTGAAACTGGTCCCGAGGTCATGCATGCGTGCTTAGTCGAGCGGTGGCTTTCGGCCCGTTGTTACTACGCCTCCCCTTCATTCAGTCCCGAGACCCCTCCCGCTACTGTCCCCAGCACGCGCTTGACAGACTTACATGTGCTTTGTGACGACCTTGTTTCTTATCGCAATACCATTACTTATCTCTTACACTGCATCGCGCTGAGAGCCGCAATAGAAAGTGTGGGTAAAGGGCGCACGGGTCGCGCTCCACCTCCTAGCTAACGTTTTGTGAACGTCATTGCGATCTTCGATTTTCAACTGCGCTACTTTGCACGCACGACCATCATGGACAGCTCTCGCCGACGAGTACTATACCAACTCAACAGTCGCTGGATTTACGGAAAGATTGTGGGCAACCTACCTCATCATCGCCCGAATACCTATTAACGCCTAAACAGCCTCTACTCCACGCCGCCGTATTCCTCCTACAAATGGCTGCCGTATCGCTCCTGGCGCGAAAGTACAATAGCTACTATTCGCAACGACCAGGTGAGAAGACTCGGGCGTCGTGGGATATTTGCACCTTGACTAACAATATGTAGTCCTTACCACAATGATCACCAACGCTGTATGTACTCCATTCGTGCCACCGGGCTTCATCTACATCGATGCTATCTCGCGATCCATACCACAATCTTTTTCCCACACTATAATCGTTCATGTATATACGTACGGCGTTGGGGATTCAAGCTGACACAACTTCCAGGTGCTGGGTGGCATCGCAGATACCGTAGCCCAAACACTGACCGCTGTTCGCGAACGCGCCGTCCGCAAAAAGGGCGGCCCGGACAAGGACGACTTCCTTGCCATTGAAATTCATGACCTCGATAGGCGCAACCCCTTCTCCGACCACGATCTCATTCCCGACTCCAAGAAACTACCTCCACCCTTTGACTTCGAGCGCACAACACGCTTCATGTCCTACGGTTTCCTTATGTCACCTCTCCAACATCGATGGTTCCGATTCCTGTCGTCCACCTTCCCGGTTACAAAGACAGCGACATGGTTGCCGGCGCTGAAGAGGGTAGCGTTCGATCAGTTCCTGTTTGCGCCAGCGGGTCTGGCCGCCTTCTTCACGTTCATGACAGTTGCGGAGGGAGGCGGGAAGAGGGCCGTGCAGAGGAAATTCCAGGATGTTTATGTTCCTGCGCTGAAGGCCAATTTCATGGTCTGGCCGATGGTGCAGATTATCAACTTCCGGGTTATGCCTATTCAGTACCAGATTGTAGGTTCCTGAGCGGCTCATTTTAGGTTCTTAAGTACTGACAGTTTTGCCAGCCCTTTGTCTCGACCGTTGGTATTGCCTGGACAGCATACCTCTCCCTCACGAACTCCGCCGAAGAAGCCTAGATTCACCTCGTAGAACGGTATCCCTTACATATCCCATGTCTTGCTTTTGGTCTTCTTGTGCAGCGCTTTAGCATAGTTGGCTCTGGAAGTTGGCGTTCGGGCATCGTCACGGCATTGGGTTAGTCAACATGGTTTGGAGGTCGTTCTCGTCTTTGCCGGTATCTCTCGTTTGTTTCGATCGCATGCTATGCTTATGAGATTATCAGAAAATTATCAAGCCATTCTATGGGCCTACCTGTGGTGCCATCCAAATTCTCATCACTGATTTGTGATGCTAAAACCTCTTCAAGTAGTTTGCATTTCGTGACCAGAAATTGGAAAAGATATCGAAGACCTCCAACCCTGCGTCTTAGCCGGTGTACCTACTCCCCTCGGCCGCGGGAGTGTGCTTTGGCCGCGCTTAACGAAACAGGGCCGGAGCGGTCGGTATCTGGCGTGAATTTTTAGCAATTTCTTTACCGTCCGGTCACGTCAGGATCCGCTTGCGTTTCTGTGATTTGATAAGGTGAGATGGGAGCTCTGTTTGAACTCTGCCCCACCACCCAAAGCTCACCCCACCAAACCAAACCAAAGCCTATGACGCTTTAAAGCTCAACAACCAGCACTTCACGTCTCCCACGCTTTACCCTCACACATCCTCGAAGTAAGTGGCCCTCTCTCTGCTCTTCCTTGTATATATTTCCCAGTTCGCAACATTGCGAAGCTTCAAAGAGCTTTTAATTGACGGCGTCTATCGCACCACCAGAATACCTGCATAATGTCTCTCTCCAACAAGCTCTCGATTGCCGATGTCGACCTCAAGGGCAAGCGTGTCCTCATCCGAGTGAGTTAATGATCCTCGATTGCTAGTCATCACAAATAGAATATGTTCTGAACGCAGCACCCAGGTTGACTTCAACGTCCCTCTCGACAGCGACAAGAAGATCACGAACAACCAGCGCATCGTCGGTGCTCTCCCGACAATCAAGTATGCCATCGACAATGGCGCCAAAGCCGTTATCCTCATGAGCCACCTCGGCCGTCCGGACGGAAAGCCAAACCCGAAGTACAGTCTCAAGCCGGTTGTTGCCGAGCTCGAAAAGCTGCTCGGCAAGAGCGTGACTTTCACAAACGACAGTGTCGGCAAACAGGTCGAGGACACTGTAAATAGCGCTACTGGCGGACAAATCATCCTATTGGAGAACTTGCGCTTCCATGCTGAGGAAGAGGGCAGCTATAAGGATGACCAGGGCAAGAAGCAGAAAGTGGATAAGGCGCAGGTTGAGGAGTTTAGGAAGGGTCTTACTGCGCTGGGAGATGTGTACATCAGTGAGTATCTACAAAAGGCTGGGGTTTATAGGGCTAATCAATTGCAGACGACGCCTTCGGCACTGCCCACCGCGCGCACAGCTCTATGGTTGGTGTTGACCTCCCCCAAAAAGCCTCCGGTTTCCTTGTGAAGAAGGAGCTCGACTACTTCGCAAAGGCGCTCGAGGAGCCCAAGAGGCCATTCTTGGCTATCCTCGGTGGAGCCAAGGTCTCCGACAAGATTCAACTGATTGACAACCTCCTCGGCAAGGTCGACAGTCTTATCATCTGCGGTGGCATGTCCTTCACCTTCAAGAAGACGCTCGAGGGCGTGAAGATTGGTGACAGCTTGTTCGACGAGGCGGGCAGCAAGACAGTCAAGGACTTGGTTGAGAAGGCCAAGAAGAACAATGTCAAGATTGTGCTACCTGTGGACTACATCACGGCGGATAAGTTCGACAAAGATGCAAAGACAGGGTATGCGACGGATGAGGAGGGCATTCCGGATGGCTGGATGGGTCTCGACTGCGGCGACAAGAGTATCAAACTCTACAAAGACGCCATCTCCGAAGCTCAAACCATCCTCTGGAATGGACCTGCGGGTGTGTTCGAGTTCGAAAAGTTCGCAAAGGGTACCAAGGAAACCCTCGATGCGGCCGTCGAAGCAGCACAGAGTGGCAAGATTGTCATCATCGGTGGAGGCGACACTGCAACCGTTGCTGCGAAGTACGGTGTCGAGGACAAGTTGAGCCATGTCTCGACTGGTGGTGGTGCGTCGCTTGAGCTGCTTGAGGGCAAGGATCTGCCTGGTGTGAGTGCGCTATCAAGTAAGTAAATCATTTGCGATCGAAAGGATACAGGCTCAAAACAGCGTGGAAGGCATATCTGCGAAGTTATGATTATGTAGCTCTAGCTCTTCTCATTCAATACAGTGGAATGCATTCAGCCGTCCTTCCTATGACGGTGTGCTCCATGAGCCTATTCATGCTCCCACAAGTATACCACTGGTGCTGATGCTGCTTGAGCGCCATGCTATCCTTCCTTGGTGCTCATAATCTCGTGTCGTGGTGGCCGCCTTGCGCTTGGAATCGTGCCCGTGAGGCGTCCGTTCATTTCCCCAACTTCTTCAATTCCTCCCTACATGTTGTCAGTTTTGCTTCGAATCCATTTTTGTATGTCCTCCTCACCTCAGCTGTACTGCAAAATCTTCGTTCGTGTCATCGTCATCCCAGCTCTCTTCCCAGAGATGGGCATTGCCACCGGGAATCTGTGTCTCTTCTTCTGTCCAGTCTGGTAGATTGTCAGCTTGCGCTCTTCAGCGATTCACACCTCTCTGGACACATGTCATATTTGAGGTTGGACAAGTTGTATTTGTATGCGGGGCGTGGGTGCAGCATTGGAAGGGCTGGTATCTGTACGTGTAGGTGCGTGGAGCGAGGTAGGTAAGCTGGTATGCTTGAAGAGAGTTTTACCTTCTACAGGGAAATCCTCAAACTCATCATCTTCTTCCAGTTGTGCGGCGGGCTTCTTGTCTTGCGCCAGCGGTTGCTCGCCATTCTTGGAGTCGCTAACTACGGCTTTCGTGGTTGCGTTCCCTCCTTGTGCTGCGCCGGACATGTTTGCTGATTCGATTATGTGTAGGAGGTGACTGTAGCAGCTGGACGGAGTTTGGAAATAGGCGTTGGCTAGTGATTACTGTGTTTCGGGCGTAGGTGAGTTTCGTGAGGTGTGATGCAGCGGAAGCGGCGATGGCAGGCTTAGCGTATAAGTCACGTGGGTGCAGCCTCCCCCGCGGGGATAAGAACTTGTTGATGTCGCAGATCAAAGCAATCTTAGCCCCCCAAGAGATTGCACTTGGTACTACCCGACGTCTTGCGGGAACCTCTTCATGCGTAAAGAAGTTCCTGCTCGTTTCAAGATCTAATTGAGGCTTCCACTCGGAGAGTACGGCCAGTAAGCCCCGAAGAATGGACCTTTGTGGATGACGTACGTTGCTTAGCTCCGAGCGACCGCACGAAGCTATAAGCAGTAGGAAGCGGATCCTTGCGCTGCGTTGGTTATTAGGCATACGCGCACGGTAACATGAGCCTTTACTCCACCTTTTGCATGAGTGTTTGAGTTTGGTCTCTCTCGCGTTAGATTACCCACCTCCAGAGCTCCGCGTGGAGTGCTTGTCAGCTTCAAGATGCTAAAAGTTGGGGGGTGGCTCAAAGGCCACACGCCTATACATACGAAAAGTTTAAACGCTCTCGATGAGCTTGCCCATAGTGAGCACCTCCCACGCGAATGACCAGCAGCAACTGATAATCCTTAGTACAGGATGCCATGAGTGGTATGGGATCCCTCACCAAATACATCCCGAATAGGACTAATAGCACGCGAGTATAGCTGTCACCCATATCATGGATGATGATGTCGAAACAGCCGAAGAGCTTCTGAGCAAAGGCAATTCGCCTTTCCACCAGGTGCATATTCTCCGCGAGTGGCCGAGCACGGCTTACTGAGTGCCCAAACTTATGACTCGCAGTTAGGAGTTGGAGTGTGTACTTTCATAAGGGCAACACTGGGCTTTGAGCAAGAGGTCATGCGCGAAGGTTTGACTCCGTACCTTTTGGCAGTATACAGGGAGGGGGAGTTGACTGTAGTTGTAGCTGCGAACGCCCTGTCACAAGCTGAGAACTCCGCATACGAACAGCAAAGACGGGCGCACAAGGACCCGAACGCATACCAATCGCCGATATATCCTCCTGGGACCGAGTACGCAGTATGCCAGGCAGAATCGCAGTTGATGAGCGCAGTAGTGGGCGTGCTCAACGAGTCTCTAACAGAGGCCATCAAGAGTTTTTATAAGCTGAGGAAGGCATATCTTACGTTGGAAAACGTCATGGAAAACGAGAAGAAGTTTTTGAAAGAGAGGAGCATGAGTAGTTTGCAATCCAGCGGCTCCGCGAGTTCGTCGAAGCCGGGATCAATGCGCTCGAGCACGGGAGGTAGCACGCTCAAGAGCTCGGGGCAGCCTGTTGCGGCTGGAGTATGTGCTGCTGGATCGACCGCGAACCTGCAACAGAGTTATGGAGACGAGAAGCCTACACCGAAAAACGCGGTTGTGGGCTCAAAGAATGTTACCAACGACACCGATAGCGATGATGGCTTCGACTTTGTGGATGCTGAAGAGGTTCATAAAGGTGATGAAATACCCGTAGAATATAAGGGCCATCTGAACGTAGCGGTCGGGGAAGGCGCCTACGTCGATCTGGACAATGCACAGAGGACGCTCAACATCAATTCTAGCTCAGCGCCAGATCTACCTTCAGCGAAAAACAACCCATCGGACTCGATACCAGACGCCATTGAAGACTTCGAGCAACTTACCTTGACTGGTCGAGACGACCCCGAAGCAGATATCTCAACATTTAGTGACCACCCAGTTGATCTCTTCATACTTTCGGCGTCAAACTTCTGTTTTGGTATGCTCCTCTTACTCCTTTCATTTATACCGCCTTCATTTGCTACGCTATTGAAGATTGTCGGCTTCAAAGGCGATAGGGAACGCGGTATGCGGATGCTGTGGCAGGCTACCAAGTTTCATGATATCCATGGAGCAATGGCCGGCGTCGTGCTCATGGGATATTTGAACGGATTTACTAACTTCTGCGACATCCTCCCGACTACAGGTGAAGGATCATACCCCAAGGAAAAATGTACAGCGTTATTGGTCGCCATGCGCAAAAAATACCCAAAGAGCCATCTTTGGCTACTTGAAGAAGCGCGGATGTTGGGTTCAGAGAAGGAGCTAGAAAAAGCCGTCAAATTCATAGAAGACGCGGGCGAATCACCACTCAAGCAACTTGAAGCTCTCAGCTGGTTCGAACGCAGCCTGAACGAAATGTACATGCACGACTATGAGAAGACGGCCTCGGCGTTCGAAAAGTGTATCACGCTCAACAACTGGAGCCACGGACTGTACCATTATATATGTGGAGCATCTTACGTCGAACTTTACCGGCGAAACATGAAGTCAAACCCTTCCGAGGCTGAGAAGTATGCAGCCAAAGCAGAAGACATTTTCAAGACGAAGGTGATTCAAAACACGGGTAAGAAGAAGTTCATGGCCCGCCAACTTCCCTTTGATGTCTTCGTCATTCGTAAGATCCAGAAGTGGGAAGCACGGGCTAAAGAATGGGATTGCGACCTTGTCGACGCAGTAGGCGTCTCTCCAATCGAAGAAATGATTTATTTCTGGAATGGGTATAAGCGAATGCGCGATGATCATCTCCAAGTTTCACTCCAGAATCTCGCATGGAGTGAGTCAGCCGCAAACCCGCATTGGGAGAAGGAAGGTTTGGATGAACGGTCGATCCTTGTCCTCCTCCGCGCCGCTACGCTTAGGAACATGGACCGGACCACCGAAGCCAAGGACCTTTTGAAAAAGGACATACTGCCTGTCGACAGGAGCCTATTCAAGGGTCCCCTGAAAGACAACTGGACCGCACCCTGCGCACGCTACGAAATGGGCGCGAATGTCTGGCGCGAAGCTGATGTAGACGGGCACCCTGAAAATCGACCTCACATGCTCGATGAGTGTCGGGACTGGCTTGATGAAGTTACGAAGTGGGATGGCTTTGATTTGGATGCAAGGTGCGTACTTGGTTTTACTCTTGTGTGTAACATGTTGGGGGTTTTGCTAACGAACATGCGCATTACAGAATCGGTATGAAGATTACGACGGGAAGGGAGACGCTGAGGAAGTTTGGCGTGCAATGCTGAGGCCTTTGGGATGGAGAGGTCTTTGGCATGTTTGCTTCCACTCTACTCTCTCCCAATCTGTGGATAACGATACATGAATGACCGGATTGAGCACGACCCAGACATGATTAGATACAAGATGAGATCAACGATGTAGAACATGTACGCTGCGAGACATACAGCAGATGCGGCGGCGGCAATACAATGTGCAATATACACAAGATGGGGAAATCTATTGGATTCCCATATTTGTTTCAGTTCAATTTGAGCAGGTTCAGTCTCTCATCCAAGTCGTCTCTCAGTGACACACCGGCTGGCTACCTTGGTCAAGTCTCTGCATGCAGGATTATGACACTAGGATTCGCAACCCATGCAATACCTGAGCGCTCTAATAGAAGGCGAGGAGAGGAGAGGAACGTCATCGAGCACCATATTGTCTACGTAGCATGTGCTAGTCCCGTCCAAGAAGGCAGAAGTTGGCAACCAATCGGTGCCCCATTCGAGCAAAGGTGGAATGGTGACGGCGAAAAACAAGCCCCGCAGGTGGTCTTGTGCATGCAGATCCAGCGACAGACAGCATTCAGCATCTTCCGAGTTAGCCGCCTGGGCAAGAACATGAGGGCAAGCCCATGGAGCTGTTGGTTTGTACGTACTGTGGGCTGCTTGATACTGTAGAATGTGTACGACGACAAACGTCAGCGTGGCGGTGGGACAGGGTCTAACGTGCGTGTGGCGCGCGGTTGCTTGCGGGGCTAGAACAGGGGCAGGTGAAAAGGGCCCACGCGACCCTCGATCCCCAGGAAAGCCGCTTTGTGGTTTGTTCCTGCGTAGTAGCACTGTTTCTTCGCATCCGCTTGTTCAAGGTGACAGCATTATACACTCTCAGTATTCACCTCCAGCATTATCTCTTGCCATTGGTGAGTACCGCCCTTGCTCGATTGCGACTGCCGCTGGACGGGGAGCGACTGCCCTTTCACATGCGACAGCCGACAGGTGACATTTTTTGACGGCCTACACTCTTTGCCGACGACACCACCACCAACTTGACAACTGACGTGAAACAGCATGTCACCATGAGCAAGGCCCAATCGCCCTACGATTCGCTACGGCACATACCGCTGTACTACGATAATTCAGACTCGCACAACTCGGCCCTCAACCTCATACTCACACTACGGCCGGAATGGCGAGAGACCAAGGATACGATTGAGTTTGTGAGATTCACCGACGGCATTACGAATACGGTATGCACATGCAACACGCTTCCTCTCCCTCCCGAGACACATGGCTAAGAAAAGGGTTAGCTCCTCAAAGCGGTGAACACGCGACCAGGTCTCTCCAAGGCAGAGGTAGAGGAGGATGCCATCTTGCTGCGCGCATACGGCAAAGGAACAGACGTCCTCATAGACCGTGAAAGTGAGTGACCATAGCAGGTCAGATCGTGCACACGGAGCTAACCTGCTGCAAAGAGGAGACTCGGTCCCACTCCCTCCTTGCCCGCCACGGCCTCGCGCCCTCTCTCTACGCCCGGTTTGAAAACGGTCTCCTATACAAGTTCATATCAGGCAGCGTATGTACGCCCGCTGATTTGCGTCGGCCAGAAGTATGGCGAGGGGTAGCTCAAAGGCTGGGAGAATGGCATGCCACATTACCTATATCGAGTATTAGCAGCACATGTCCCGCGCCATCCCAACTCTCTTCACACAGCAGCAGCAACGACAACAAGCGTGCCTCTCTGGCCGCTATGGCACAACTCACGCCAGGCAAGCCCATTCCGAATGTGTGGACTACTATGCAGAAATGGATTTCCGCGCTGCCGATAGCGACCACCGCGCAATCGAATCGACGAGATGAGTTGACGCACGAGTTGGAGAGCCTCACGAAGATGCTAGGCGATACGCCTGGTGTCGGTGGCTCCAACCCGTTTGTCTTCGCCCATTGCGACCTCCTCTCCGGCAACGTGATTATCGAGCCTTCGCCCTCGTCTGCCGCTGCCTCCCGCCGATCTAGTGCATCCAACGGGTCTGAAGAGCCCGAGACGGCGGCTTGCGTGACTTTTATCGACTACGAGTATGCTACGCCGGCACCTGCGAGTTTCGATATTGCAAACCACTTTGCCGAGTGGGGTGGCTTTGATTGCGATTATAGCGCCATGCCCACCCGCAGTGTTCGCCGCGCCTTCCTCCGTGAATACCTACACAGCTTCAGCGCGCATCAGAACCGCACATACAAGGAGTCGGAACTAGACGAGTTGTTTGAGCAGGTCGATCGATTCAGGGCCGTGCCTGGATTCTTTTGGGGTATCTGGGCCTTGATACAGGCGCAGATTTCGTTGATAGACTTCGACTATGCGAGCTATGCCGAGGTTCGACTAGGAGAGTACTGGGCCTGGAAAAAGGCGGTGAATGGCAAGGTCGAGAAGCAGACCGAGAGGGAAAAGCGATGGGCTCAAGAAGAATGAGTGAGGGTCTTGGTGAGGGGATAGAGCTGTGGCAGCTGACATTCAACATGCGAACAAGGCGCCAGGGGCGTCATAATAATTCCTTTCGTACTACGGTACATTCGATACTTGCACTTCCAACTAACATGTTTAATATACCAATCAAGAGTTTTTGTCGATTCAAGCCCATGGTCCGAATACTTTCTTCCACATGTCTCCACCAATGCTCAATCCTCCCAAACGACTTGGTCAATACCATCCCTACTGTTGATAAGTCAAGGATGGGAAGAACAACTCCAGATCGTGCTACTCGGTCATATGGCTCGGAAGTCTACATCCGCCCGCATTCACTTGTCCACACAAAGCTAAAGGCATAAGACAAGAGATTTTCCCCGCGGAGAGGGAGACATGGACCATCTTGAGCATGGTGCACGTACAAATGACCAGGGGAGAAGGGGGCCCACGAGAATAGCTACTGTAGCCGACTTGGTATTCTGGGGTTTGGTGGTTAGTGGTTGTTGGAGGCGGAGGCGCAGAAGAGAAGAGGGGTAGATGAGCGGATAGCTGGACGGCTCATCCTGATGGAGTGAATGTGCGTCTGTGGACGAAGATCATGGCTGCTTTGGAGATTTGCAGGGATTGTAATAGTTGACTGGCAGCAAGGTAACGGAGTAGAGCGCGCGGCAAGGGAAACGATTGCATTTGTATGTTATGGGATTTTATTCTTCTTTCGTGTGTATTTTGAGATCTAATATTCCCATAGTGAACTGCTTAACTTTGATAACTGAAAGCTTTCATTGATTCCTGGCCCTGCCTCTCTAATTCTCCTCATACGTTGCGTTGCGTTCGTGATACCAGAAAAAGTCCATCCAAAATTGAAATCCGTGTGAAACCATGTGCCCTTTTTGCCGTGACTGTGTAAAGAAAATGGATATCTTTGCAAAGACAAAAAAACTGTCGCAGATCCAGAGAAAATTCAAACAGAAGACTTTTGCCCAACCTCGCCTTCCCTAGTGTCGTAAGTAAAGAAGAAAACCCCCGTTCATCATTTTCAATCATCCATCTCTAATCCTCAAGCCAAGCTCGCATCTCCAGTGTTCAACCAGTCCACTTCTCCAATCCCAGCAATGTTCATATTCAGGCTGTTGTCTAGCGTCCGGTCTTCAAAATTGAAAGCCTCTCCAACAGCGTCCAAGTTGAGTAGACTGTCAAAGTCGCCTTCATCAAACTCGGTATTGAGTGGTAGGCTCGAGAACAGCGTTTCATCGTCCTGGTGGGGATCGATACTCGTGAACGAATTCGGTGGTAGAGCCAGGAAATTCCACTTGTTTGGGAAATGCAAGGCATCGTGTCCGTTTGCTGCGTGCGCAGTAGCCATGGCCGTGGGCGTCTCTTCTGAGATTGTGATGCTTGGCATATGCTCGTGATCGCTCTCAGGAGGTGTAGAAGCAAGGAACGTTTCCAGTCTCCGTGCAACTTCCTCGTCTGTAACATCGTCATCATATTGTTTCTCAAGCGCAAGCATATTCGTCGTCCCGTTATCCGGCGGCGGGGTAAGTGTCGAGCGGTGCAGAGCCTGACCCGCCGTCGTCGCTGCATTGACGAGGTCGAGCCGTCTGCCGGCATCCACGAGATCTTCCACGGTTGTGACAGGTGAGGGTTTGGACATTGGCGACGCGTGGGCGGCTATGGGAGCCACATGTATGCCTGCTTTGCGGATAGCGGCTTCGAGAAAAGCGACCGAGTAATCGGCTGCTGCGTAGAGATCGCGTAGTTGGCCCATGACAGCCATACATTGGCAGAAGCCGCGGAGAGAGGACCGGCGGTTTTCTTCTTCGGGAGCTTTGATGTCGAGGAGGTGAATGATGATGGCTGGTAGGAGGACAGTGACGCCGGTTGTTGGTAGATATTTGACTAGACCAGCCGCGTCGAGACGCTGTGCGATTGAAGTAATGGCTGATGCGGCGCGGCGGACGTTGCGGCGAGAGGCATCGAGGAGATCGGACTCGATGTTGGCCGCTGGAGTACTGGCTGGACCCGCCTGGGAGTTGGGCAAAACCTGAGGTCTGTGTAACGCGGATAGAGTGGTGAAGAAGACCATATGCAGCAGTGACCGATTTAGGTCAATTGTCGCCTCACCAGAAAGTTGATTTGTATATCTGGCTTCCTCGGGTAGCTCAGTGACCCATTTTTGAAGCTCATCGTCGCAGACCTTGACCTCGCTCGTTTCGGGATCCAGCTTCTTAGGAAGCAGCATCATCGTTGTGCGGTCATTCTGTAGACCGTGGTTACTATTCAGGACGCAGTACTGCTTCGAGAGCACGTGGGATATGCAGAGGCAAAGTCTAGCCTTCTCGATGCACATGATGGCCAGTTGTCGTTGAACGTCGACATCCCGGGCGACGCGACAATCTGCCGGAATGCAAGTGATTGAGTCTGGAATAGGCGCAACTTCAAAGTCGTCCAATGTTAGCATTGGCACGTCGAAATCCTCGGACTTAATTCGGGTCGGTCGTCGCATGCCGAGCGCGATGAGTCGGTCTCGCATGTATGTCGACCACCATATTCGCTTCCACAGCTTCACACGTCTGCTGTCCAAGTTGGTGTTGTCAGGATTGCGGTGCAGGCCGATGGTATGAGCCACTGAAGTTGCGACACCCATCCAGTGCCATGTGTCTTTTTGGTCATCAGGTGTCTCATAGTAGTATGTCAATAGTAGCAGGGCCTGAACGAGGGAAACGCGGTCAGACTCGTAATCAAAGTCATACAGAATCTGTTCACAAGCTCAGTCAGCCTAGGTCACAGACCACTAAGACCTCCAAGAAAGGGGTTTGCTTACTCTAGTTTTTTGGAAGAAATCCTTGCGCGCCTCTTTTCGTGTTGCATAACCTGCAGTGCGTAGATGTTGCATGTCGACGAACGCAGAGCCCGCAAACATGACAGCCTGAAAAAGAATCAAGCTCACTTTTCCTTTGCTTCCATCCGGTCGGTCGATGACTGTCAGGAAGTCGTGCAAGTCGAGGAGTGGCATATATGGATGCACAAATTCGATGTAGGCACGGAGCATCTCACTGCGCAGGGTTCCCTTTGGCACTGACAAGGCTCCCTTTTTCTCAAGGTAAGATATCTCCTCCGGTCCAATTTTGGCTGGAAGTGGTTTGATATATCTTGGGAATTCAGCCATGGGAGATTTTCGGGGTAGGTGGCCGAAGAAGGGTATCCGGTTCTCGTTGCTGAAGGGCGTGAATGGCATTGTAGGCAGGCCATTGATTTGCGACGTAACAGATAGGCGTCGTTGCAAGTCGGAAAGATGCGTGATCGAGTTGACGCGATGTCCATGGTTTTGATCTGTCCAAACGTCAGTACACTTGTACGAATGATTTCTCATTTTTGATTGGACCACGCACAGATGGAGTGAGGCACATGTTCGTCCCGTCGCGATTCCGCCTCATGTGACGAACGCGATGAGGCAGAGTTCAGGGCTTGACTGTTGTCCAGGGCGTCGCGTGACGCAAGTTTGCGCGTGGCGTTTGTCGCCGAGCTGGTGTTCTCGGCGCTTTGCTCGTCGTCTTTGCTCCATTTCCTGCTGACGTCAGTAAGGAGTAAAAGTCGCGCAGTGGTAGGGTAGGTAGAACGGCAGTTGTTGGCGAGATGAGCTCGGCGAACGGGACAAATTTAGCGCGCTACCATTGGCTATTCCACCGCTTTGCACAAGGACATTATTCGACAAGACGTGGAATAAATGACCAGTGCCTGCGGACGGAGAAGGGTTGCCAGATGCCAAACGGGAAGGATTCACTAACTTTTTGCGTCTACTCTCCGACACAATGCATTCCACTTCATCCAACCTGCAATTGGTGCACGGAGCGCCATGCTCGGTGACATTGCACCTGACCTTGCGGGCTCGACAACACTGGCATGCCTTTGAAGCCCTTCTCTTTACTGACCGTCCAGTGGCATGTCCGTCGAGGCCAGCCTGGGTGGCCTTGCGTTTCGGCGGGGGTATTTCGTGGTGGTGGTCGGACGGCGATGCAGAGTAGTCCGACATGGCTGGGAATCGTTGTCGTCTGGAAGTAACTGCTGCCAATATGGGTGGTGTCAAAAAGCAAGCAAGCAAGACAGTAGGGCTACTACGCACGCACGCGAGGGTCTGGGGGCACACGAAGATTATGTACGGCCCCAGTTTCGCAAGAGTGGATGTCACCAGGGCTTAGCCGTGTGCTTAGGGCACTTGGACAGGCCGCGATTCACGTTTTGGTGCGATTAACGCTCATGACGCCGCCTCTATCCCCACCGGGGATCATTAGTGAATACCCCAGTCCCCAGATGCGGATGGTCGGCGCTTTGCTCTTGGCGTCTGAACGGCGCCGGTCCTTCTCGGATGCCCTCGGGCCCAAGCTCCCCTACTAAAGGCGATACGTGTATGGCCGTCGTCAGCTGGTGGTCCCCCTAGTCCGGGCGCAAAAATGCCGCGGTTCATACAAGTGACAAAGCCGACTCTGCCCTTTGTTCCAACGCTGTGATGTACTCTGCGGCTTGTGAACGCCAAGGTAAACGATTGACCAGGGCAGTTTCACGACACTCCCAGCAGGCTCTCCTCGACCAGCGTGCCGAGTCGAGTCATAAGGGATGTGGGGTCAATCATGCTGTCCATTCACACACATATTGTCCATTTTGTCCAAGAATGAGTCGTCTGCAGCGGAATGGTTTGTGGAGGCACGCGGAAATGGATATCCCAACCAAGTGCAACGTGATTGGTGTCGGACATGCACGAGTTGGTGTGGTTACCAACCCAAGCAGCTCTGGACTTGATAGCCGACATGGTACCCGTCTTCCGGCACGTGATGGCCACCATCGGCGTTTTGCGTTTTGTCACAGTTGCTGGAGGCTTGTTGGGAGCGATCGGAGATGTGTCAGTCCTCCGGCGCAGACTCCAATTAAAACCTGCGCCCTAGACGTTAGTGCTGCGTGTTTGCTCTGGCCCGGGTCCGCCTGACAAGAGCTGACCGCCTTCAGGGACTCTCCCTCCTTTGGTGCGGAAGAGAGACAGCTGGGTGGGATGGCTGCATGGAGAGGCCGGAGTGCCACTGGAGGGAACAGTGCCACTGCCATGGCCATATCGGTGCTCGGAGGAAGGGCAATCCGGCAGAGTGGTGGCGGTAGATGGTGGACATACACGTAAAAGGGCCAGAGATTGCAGGTGGCATTGTTCAACGAACGTGTGGAGGTGTGCCCCAGTTGTGTCCCACCATTGCGGGGAGCGCTTTCCCTTCTCGGTGAAGACTCGGAAGAAGACATTCACCCCCTGCCGCATCGTCTCTAGCCCACTCGGCAGCATGCAGTAGTCTGTATAACATTATTGACGACAACGATCGACTTATTGTCCGCGGCCGCACTAGCAGCTACGTCTTGTTTCGCCCATTCCCCTGCGGATTAATTCTGCGGTGGACATGCCAGGGAACAGTCTTGCACCATCTTGCAGCAAGCACGAGGGCGGCCCAAGCCTCCGATGCTCATCAGAAGCCATCTTGGTGCATCCATCACAGGACGGTCCCACATCCTGGTTCTAGCGCCTCTTCTCTGTGACGCTGAGCTCGCGTGTCATTATGCGAGCGAGCGTTCAGACATCTTACCCGACTCTCGACATTACCAAGCATTCATCCAGAATACACTCAAGTACACTCGGGAAAGACCGGCATGCAAGCTACTTGGTGCTCACTCAAGGGCAAGTTGCTCTTTGGGCACACCTTGATGGATGCACATACGCAATGAGGCTTGCAGATTGCTTGCATGCATGCACGTATGCATGCGAACTTTGATGACGTTCTAGAAAGAGGCCACCATGGCTTGCCCGGCACCTGGAAATAGCTCGTCAGCCCACGGCATGATCAGAGAGACTTTGAGAAAATCTTCAAACATGCTCACACTCTATGGGCATAATTTTAACAATAGGTGGCTACAGAACGGCAATGCATGGTTGGGATGTGAGCACTAAATATCCGGACTACTTTTCCCAACTTTTCGGATATGTACCGTGCAATTTACTTCTCTCACCAAGCGAGGTCGCTAGGCTTCTTCAGACTATCGCAACTATCTAGGCCTCATATACTATAGTTGAGCTATCACTGCTTCTGTAAATGTACTTGAGTCAAGCAGCTCTGCGATAAGAACTAGAAAGGTACATTCCGGGTCTGGTAGTAATTACATTCTCTTACTACTAGTTGGATGTTAAAATGCTGAAAAGGGTAATATGAAGATCACACAAGAACTCTCAAAGGTGCGGGAAGCACCTCCTGAATAAAAAGGTAGTTTTGTCAAGGGACATATACATGGGATATTTATCTGAGCGAAAAGAAGCTCATTAGCTGCTTACAGCTTTGACGAGCCCGACGGCCTCTGCAAAGCCTTGGTCTTATTCTTGAAGTTCTTGACCAGTTGTCGCACTCCCAGGTCTAGCATCACGTCCTCAGAACCACCCGGTATCCTAACTCCAGGGACTTCACGGTAGATACCTAAAAAAGAAGCTATTAGTCACATGCACTACACTTGATAAGACATATTTAGAACACTTACGCTCAACCAACTCGCCCTGCCCACTCTTCGTATACCCATTCCCGCCAAATAGTAATTGTGCAGTCTGTGCACATTCATTCAGCACAATGCCACTCTGCGCCTTCACCATGGCTGTCAATCCACCTAGCTCAATATCCGCTGTCGCTTTGGGTAGCTTTGTCATCTGATAGACAAACTGCTCTACCCAGGCCCATTGGCTCTCTAGCAGGGCGCCAGCTTTTGCAAGGCGGTGCCGCACGACGGGCTGATCGACGAGCGGCTTGCCAAAAGCTTCGCGCTTCAGGACGTATTCCATGGCTGCGCTGAGGGCGACGCGGGCTTGGCGGGTTGCGCCGATGGCGATTGTGAGCCGCTCGTGGTTGAAGTTTGTCATGCTGTGCTCTGTTAGCTTTGCATATAAAACCATGCAACACTATGCTGCGTACATGTACTTCATGCCTAAGCCCTCTTCGCCAATCAGATTCTCAACCGGAACCTTGACGTCGTCGAGCTCGATGAACGTCGTTCCTGCAGAAACCTGTCCGCCAACCTTCAATCTTCTCATATTAACCCCTGGGTACCCCTTCAATGGCACCACCAGCATCGACAATCCAGAGGGTCCTGGTCCACCCGTTCGTACAGCCATGGACGAGTATTCCGACCAGATACCATTGGTAATCCACTTCTTCGTGCCATTGACAATATAGTGTTTCCCATCTGGCGTCTTCACAGCCGTAGTAGTAATATTCGCGACATCTGAACCAGCTTCGGGCTCGGTAATCGCAATGCAAGTCCTCTTCTTGCCCGTCAAAAGCTCAGGGAGGAAGCGCTCTTGTAGTTGCTTGTTGCCGAACTTGATGATGGGCGGAACGCCAAACGATATACCGGTAGTGAGGGAACCTGAGGGGCCTGCGAGACCAGTTCGTGCCATCTATCACATGCAATGAATCAGCCAAGCTCTTGAAGCCTCAGAGCTGGGACAGTAACGCGTACCTCGTCAGCGTAGATCATAGTATGAATATAATCCCACTCCTCGACCTTGACGACACCAAGGATATCATGTATACCCAGCTTCTTCAACCACTCCACTGGCAAAGGCGCCGGGAGAGTCGGAAGCAGCATGCCGTTCTTCGCAAACGTTTCGAAGACATGCTCAGGTACCGTTTCCGCCGTGTCCCATTCCAGCGCATGCTCCAGCAAATGCTTGTCCACAAACTCCCGACACGCCTTTTGCCATCTTAGATGTGTTTCCTTGTAGTATGGTGAAGGTAAGCCGAGGACGTAGGGTGGTTCGGAGAAGGGGACGAAGGCTGTTGAAGACATGGTGCCGGGACAGTAAGTAACGCGATCGAGGGGCTGTGGGTGGGTGAGCGACTGAGCTCTTGGTATAAACGGCTACATGACGGTGGTAGTGGTGAGCTCGGTGTAATAAAGCGCGCTACTGACTGCGGAGGTAGAAGGTGGAGATCTGGGGATGCTGAAGTACCGAGGTTCGCTGAAGAGTCCTCGGGTTACAACCACCAATATGCCAAAAAGACGAATTGTGTTTTATTAAGCTTCACAAAGTCAATACCATGGCTTCATAGATTCTTGACTTGATCGTAATCAAGTCGGTACAGTAATGTACATATAATTAAATCTTTTCCCCGGTCACACAACTATTGAGAAGACTACGTTTCACTCTATTTCCTTTCAACCAAAGCCCTAGCCCCTCGTTGTAGTTATGCAACTATCGTGACATGCTCCCAGAGGTGCCCAACCGGCAGTCGGGGCTTGAGCAATCCGCGGCAGAAAGTGACTCTAGAAGTCGAGTCATCACACGCGTCGTATCTTCGTGATAGTAGCGTCAACTCGTGTGTCGCACTGAGGCCGTAAGCCCTGGTGATCGCTAGCCTAGCAAAACATGCAGTGGCGCAAAGAAGAGTATTTGGCTGCGCGAGGTGAACCCATCTCGAGGGTCATGTAATGACATTGTCATCTACGAAGAGAGCAGGCTCTGTATCCTTCATGAGCCAAATCTTCAAAAAAAAAACATCTCAAGTACGCCGCGCTCATGTAAGTATAAAGAATATCGAACGCTGAACTCAATCCCATTTTTCCCCAAATTTGCGCCAGGTGTCCCAAAGGACCATTATCATTGAAATTTCCGCCCGTTTCCCTTGCGAGCTCTCCATTTGTACGACCCTATACCAATCCCATCTTCGGTATTTGTCAAGCCATCGAACGACTCCTTGCCCAGGGTGATGATCTTGACTGTATTGCCAAATCCCACAGCGATACTCCGCTTGCCCAGTTTGGAGATCGGCCCAGGAGCTGCTACGAAAAGATCGTCCTCAAGTGAGGAGACTGTGGTGTCCTCAAGGTCGTCCGGCCCAAGCGGCCGTGAGCGAAACTCGCCTGTACATGACAGAGTCCATGCTTCCCATGTATCAACATCGATGGCTGAAGGACGTGTATGGTTGCGGCCGGTAAATGCGGCATCGAGAGATCTAAACAGGCCATTTGAAATGGGTTGTTTTCGGGCACGCTGCTTCAAAGCAGAGACAACAGCGGACGGGTCAGCGGTATGATCGCTATCATCAGACTCTGCCGACGATGGCGTTGGCGAACGTATGCATCTCCTGATTCCGACAACACTGAGTGCATTTGTGGATTCCCAGACGCCGGCCGGTTCAATATAATGGACGGCCTCCTTTGCGCGATCCATCCCGTGACATTTTTCTCTGTCGGGCGCTTTCCCCAGGCAGATCTGCGAAGTGACCGTGTCGCCAAGCGTGAACGTCTGCATAATCACATGATCTGTGTCTTGCTCGGCGTATGCAACGGATAGTGTGTGTATGGCAGGCGCACCGCAAGGACACAAGCGTCGTGCCGAATGCATGACTCTGAAAGAGTGAGGTTTGATGTGGCCGATCTGGAAGGAGTGAATCAGCGCTCGGCTGGTGAAGTCAAATACTTCTGCCTCTTCATTGCGAAGTGCAAAGATTAGCCCAAGGCTAGGTACACCTTGTATGCATTTAATTTTCGCAGGGTTGCTGCCTGGTGGGGGCCCAGGATCAAGGCCAGCGACTACCTCTGTCGTCGAATCACCGTTCTCTTTCAAGGACAATATATGCACTTCTCCAGGCGCTGTGACAAAGACGAGACTATTGTCACCTTTGGTGCAGGTATAGAGCGTGGCGCAAATAATTGGACTCGAACTTATCCGCTTAGTACGATGTATGCCTGTGCGTGCCTCCAGCTCGGTCAAGTAACCGTCTGGGCTGACGATCATGAGACATATTTTCTCAACATCCGTACGCGTGGTAAGCGTGACGAATGCGAACAGGATGGGCACTTGTCTTCGGAGGTCGACTTTCGGAAACATTAGGAAACGCGAGGCAGATATGCCCCAGAGCCCGATCTGACCGGTATCGGCACACAGGGCGAGCAGTGTTCCACCGTCGTCCATAGCACTTGCATATATGGGCCAAAGCTTTGGTTTCATCGTGGCTGTTTGCAGCATTGTATGTAGATAGCTGTTCCGGCCATGTACCCATACTGCCGTGGATCTATCCAGGGAAATGCTAGCCAGGTGTCCTTTCGAACAGGAAGCTAAACGAACGACGTCTAGCGTATGCGGCGTTGGTAATGTCCTGACAGAGAATCTATTCTCCTCGTCCTCATTGTCATCCTCAGCTTCGGGAACTCCAGTCCACAGAAGGTAGTTCATGAGTAAAGTGACAGCAGCGATTAGAGAGACGGCAAGCAGGGCGGCAGGGAAGGCGTGTCCTTGGGCGAAACGATGGAGACCATCGAGTAGGGAGGTCGGTGGTTGAGGTCGGTCTCGGCCATGCGCCCCTTTTAATACTACTAAGAGTGGGTCGTAAATTCGAGCTATAAAGCTATGAGCACCAGGTTTGATGAAGTTAAAGAGTTCCCGGGCAGTGTTATGATCTTGGATCCTCAGCCAATCGGCGGGGGTTCTAGCTTGGTTGAATGGAGGTGGATTCCATGAAATGTCATTGCTTCGTTTGCGCCTCCTGGACAAGAACGTCTGACGGAGGTTATTGAAGGACAGCTGCTTGTCGTTGCTGTCAAAGAAGTGCCAGTTGATGGCCAGAATGATGGAGAAAATGGCGACGGTCCCCGCAAAACGCGTACTGAGTGGTAAAGTGCCCTTTCGCAATGCAGCAAGCCATACTTTGCGATCCTGACGGTTCTTTTTCTTTGTCTGACTGACATCTATCCGCCCCAGAGAGTCGGACAGTTCCATGCGTTGTACGTCGACACTTAAAACGGCCACAAAGAAAGTGAAGTGGAAAACGAGATCGAATACGAGTGTGACCGCTGCGAACACACAGAAATCGGCGACCCATGGGGCGACAAGCCGCGAGCAGAGGTAGATCAAAGCGAGATTCTGGAACGCGATCGCAAGAGATAGATGGCCGACTTCCCCCAATGCATTTCCGATACGCTGATGTGGAGGCATCTCCGGTGGTGTCTCCAGGACGACATTTATTAAACGAAATCTAACTGCGATTAGCAACCATCTTGGATCCTGTTGGCCTGAACATACATGTTGCCGAGGCCGAAACAAAAAACCACGGCAGGGAACCATGGTCTAGGTATGCGTGTTAGATCGATCCCGAGGTGTGTACAAAGTGTGAAACTGGCAATGATGCATGTAGTCATCTAGGATGTTGGAGTTAGTAGCGGTAGAGGCGTATGGGAAAGATGACCTGCCTTGGCACATATCGTAATAAGCAGCCCAAACCAACTTTTGACAGCGCGGAGCTGCGACATTCTCCATATGACGTATATTGCTGTAACAAAATAGGACGCGGCCAGGAACAAATCATCACTCAATGTCATGGGTCTAAAGCGGAATTCGTAGAGTCGGTTGCGCATGACTTGGCCATCTTTGGGGAAGATGGTCCAATCTGGTGAGAGCTCTTCAGCTAGCCGTCGTGATCTCGAGTCCCAGACATCTCCCAGGCTTGAGTTGGTATGGTCGATGAGGGTGATGACCAAGGCGTCAGCGGCGCGAATCTCTGTGCTCGAGAAGGCTTTGCCTGCGAATACGGTGCTTGGTCGAAGTGTGATGTTGAGCGCCGAGTGGCTCCTCGTGTGTGCGTTGATGGTTGCCAGAAGATCCCGATCCTCTTCCAGAGCAGCCATGGAGCAGTTCCAGTACATCAAGGGCGAATGCCAGCCCCACTTTTGGCCTGGCCCTGCCGCGACGCATCCTCGAGTGTCGCGAGCAAGCACATGTCGGCTTGGGTATGCGCCGCCTTGTCCATCGAAGCCGCTGCCAATGAGGACGTCCTGGACATGGATGGCTTCGCGCAGCACCCGGAGGTCGATTGCGTTCATGTAGTCACCGTGAACCCAGACCTGGCGCACGACGACATCGGCAGGCCGATCGCCCTCAACCGGAGTCGTCGAGGTCCAGACATGCTGGGGAATGTTGCGTAGCCTCGCAGCGGCGGAGCTGTTGGTTTGGAAGACAGCTGGGTAGCAGAGCAGGACCGAGATGGTGATGGTCAGGACAATGGAGAGCAGCCAATGCCGCGCAGTGGCAGTGCCGTGGGCCTGAAAGGTGCGGCGGATGGGGTGCGAGGTGGACAGCCGTGGTGGCTCAGTCGTACTGCGAGGTTCCGTTCAGCATGTGAAGAGAGGAGCGAGACGTGCAAGGCGTCCAAAGCAAGCAGCACTCACCCACGCAGCGGATAGAGGAGGTACCAGATCATTCGGCGCCGCGGTCCCTAACCAAGGGCATGCCCGGACTTGAACAGGAGGAGGCTCAGCTGCAGCAGCTGGGCGTTTGCGCGCACGACGCACTCGACGTCGACTGCGAGGTGTAGGAGGAGCGTGGGGCGGCTCCTTCATCTGTCGGGGCAGGCGCTCGCAGGACAGCCAGCAGGCGCTCGAGGGTGGGAATACGGCGGGCGGGCGATGGCGCAGCTTCAATGGCGGAGACGGCGCTGAACATGAACCAAGGGCGGCGGTATCGAGGTGCATCATGGTCCTATTTAGTGGCGTTGGCGGCGCCCATGTCGAGCATCCAGTTCGCCAAGCAACGTCCTGGTCGCGCATCTCTCTCGCTACTTGGGTGTAACAACACCGTGCAGCATCGCGAATGAGTGGTCCCAAGGGAATGCGGGCTGGTGCAGGCGTCCGAATAGAGCTGCAGCGACAGCAGTAACAAGCGACGTGTCACACAATTTCGACTTGTGCATGTCGTCGTCGCCGACCTTTGTCACCTCCACCAGCTTTGCGCAAAAGAAACGAACGAGGCCCATATGCGCGTCATAGCAAGTTTACAAGGCACGCATAGGAGCGAGGCTATGTGGCGTTCGCTTATTACACGGACATAGTTTGTCCATCTGTCTATCATTGCATACACAAGATATCCCTCCCACATCCCCGTGTGCATCAACACATGCAGGGCCTGCATTACGCCCTTCCACTGGGCTGGAAACCTTGGGGGACGACCTACACCCAACGGAACCTCTGCTCCCTCCATCTAGCCCACCCCCAGCATACCTACTCAGCCTGCTATGGCTATCACATCCACAAAGAAGTCGTAGACACTGGCACCGACAACAGATCCATTCTGTACCACCATCATGTCATCATAATGTCACACGATGACTGTGGCTGCTCGAGGCTCAGTAGTAGCTCTCAGCCGTAAAATCCAAGGTATGCACGCTCCAACGCCAGCATTCGATAACCGTGTCAACCTGAAAATGCGTGCACGTGTGTTGCAGCTCCGTGCTCCCTCCTCATGTACCAACCATGTCCTCGTCACCGTCCTCTTCCCCGTCCCCATCTGCATCTTCCCACTCTTCCTCTTCTTCCTCGCCAGTAGACGGGCCGAGCACATCGTTGAGCTCCTTCAGAATCTCATCCGCATGGTCTTTCAGTCGCTCGTCCTCATACTCGAGCAGAGCGTACAGCTTCAGGCAGTTCTCCACCCAGTCACGACTAGCACGGAGCAACGACGTCGCAGTCTTGTCCTCGGCCTCAGTCTTCTGCTTCCCCGCCAACAAGTGCAAGCACCAACCGCCCAAGTACCACGCTTCGACACTGCCGTCATTTTCGCCCACTAACCTCTCGAGAACCTCGATGGCTTCATCTTCCATCTCGGCTTCCATGAGCAGGCGCGAGAGACTGATCCGGGTCGAGTAGTCGGGCACCTTGGGGTCGTCTGGACTAACGTCTTTCCACAGCTCCATGCTCCGTGTCAGTGCAGATTTTGCCTCCTCGAGCCGTAGTTGCGAGATTCGTATCGATGCTAGTGTTTGTAATGGTTCTGGGTTTTCTGGCGCGAAAAGAAGAGCCTCTGTGACAGCCGCGTTGCACCGCGCCTCGGCCTCCTCCTCCCATGATAGATCCGTCATGTAGACCTCTGCAATGCCACAGAGCGAGTTTGCAATCTTTTGCTTCTTCTCCTCTAAGAGCTCCTCAATGTCAGCCTTCTTGACCAGCTTGCCCTCCAGATCGCTAATCTCCCTCTTGAGCACCTCTACTCCCTTCTCAAACCACCGTATACTCTCCGCACCTCCTTCCTCGTTCAACTGTGCCATCCATAAAAACTTCTCTGCGCCGTCAGTCGCGCCTTCTGGATCAATGACGATTGCTGCCTGAAAAGCTTCCCGTGCGCCATCCGCGTCGCCTAACTCTACGTTGATTTCGCCGAGGAGATTGAGTGCAGGCAGAACAGCCGCTGTCGGTTTCGAGGTGGGTTGGAGGAGGTTGAGTGCTCGCTTCGCTGCGACAAGCGCTTCGTCAGGTTGTGAGGTTTGGAGGAATACAGCCGCTTGTTCTAATAGCTCTTCGGGTGACGCCTTTGGTTTCTTGGATCCATTCGAGGAGCCATTCTTTGCGCCCTTCTTCGATTTCCGATCTGAGGGTTTAGTCTTCGCCATAACTTAGTCTGTCTTATCCTATCGGATGCGCTAGACAGAAAATATTTCAACCCGTGGACGTGGTGAGTATGGCAAGGAAGAGAAAGGCAAGTTCGCCAAAAATTATTTCTCCATGTCGGTGGTCGGAGTTACTGTAACGTGGGGAAGTCGCGCCCCGCCAAAGAAGCCTCAGCGTCACTTTGTACAATAAGCAACACCACACTTTCAACATGGGAATAGAAGATCAGAAAGAGGAGCGAGAGGTCCTCGAGTCCATTTTCCCGGACGAGATTACAGGTATTACCCCATGCGCCGACATTGGTGTCCGCCCCACCTGACAAAACCTCTGTAGATGTTTCTGAGACAGAGTTCCGAATCGCGATACAGCTCGATGATGGCCGACACGAAGATGATGAAAGTGAAGAGGAGCAACGTGCGTGCCCCAATTGTCCCCACAAGCTTCTACGAGGATCATCAGGCTCAAAGACTTATAGCAACAATCGTCCTCAACGTCCAATACCCCCCAAACTACCCCGACGAAGCGCCCAGACTTGATGTAACTCAACCCCCGAACGCCCCGAAACACCCCTACCTCGACATCCAAGAGGACAAGTCTCGTCTCCTAGACTCCTTAACAGATACGATAGAAGAAAACCTCGGCATGGCCATGGTATTCACGCTCGTTACCGTTTTGAAAGACAGCGCCGAGCTTCTCATCACCGAGCGCCAAAACGCAAAACAAGCATTGGCAGACCTAGAAGCCGCCAGAATAGAAGAAGAAGAGAACAAGAAGTTCCAGGGCCAGGCTGTGACTAGGGAGAGTTTCTTGGCGTGGAGTGCAAGCTTCAAGAAAGAGATAGAAGAGGAGGCGAAGAGGAAGGAAGAGGAGAAGGAGCTGGAGGATAAGAAAAAGAGGATTGCCAAGGAGGAGAGGAAGATGACGGGGAGGGAGTTGTGGGAGAAGGGATTGGTCGGCAAGTACGTGGATGATGAGGAGGAGGATGAGGAGGAAGTGGATATCGAGAAGTTGAAGATCTCAGCGACTTCATGATGTGAAGCCTGTGAATATTTTAAAACCCCGGTAGGCGTTATGGCAGATATTAGGGTCTCACACTGAATATACCCGAATCGCGGCAGCAATCATGAACTCAAGTTAATGACGGTGTCCTTACGGTTTGATTATTCGTATAGGCCTCTTCTGCCTACCCCTCACAATGGTCTGTCCCTCTTTGAGCGCCAACTCGGTTTCTAAATCTACGATTTTCTGCATCTTTCTACTCATCTCCCGATCCTTGTCCACATTCCTATCATACGCCTCCTGGTTCTCCTTCTCACTTAGATGAATCGCCTCCACCCATTTCACCTTATCCTCACGCTTCATAAGCTGCGCAGTCATATGTTCATCCCATCCATCCTCCTGTTTGCATAGCGGCATCCACCAATTGGCTAGAAAGATCTTCCTATTGAACAGTGCTTGTTTGCGTTCCAGCCGCTGGCGTAGGACGCGGCTTAGAGCAGGTGGTTGGGGTTTTGTGAGGCGCAGGAAAGGGACACCGTTGGCGGTGGCAATAATGGGGACGTGACGGGGACCCGAAGTCTTTGCGTAGGGGCGGACGTTGAGCACGGCCTGTTCTGGAGGGAGGCATGCGAGTCTTTCTTTCGGTGGGTCGGTCGGCGGAAGGAGACGACGAGGGCTGAGGGGCGGTGATCGAGTCAAACCTCGCGGTAAAATAGCGATTAACCGTGTTATGATGCCAACATTTGCGGTATCGCTGGTAGTTGCTGCATCAAGATGATCGAGTGCCTGCGAATCGTCAGTCAAGGCTCTGAGGCTCTTAGGAGGGCCACCGTACCTCGTAGCCAGCTTTAAAACTCAACCCCAACTGATACGGGCTTTGTATCTTCCTGTTCTTTCGAAACTTGTTGCGGATAGCATTGTGCAAAGAGACGCGTTCAGCATCGGGGAGCGGGACGGAGGAACATCGTGAGAGCAATGCTCGGTAGAGAGCAATCGCTGCAAATGGGTTAGTAAATATACCAGACTAGATTTGTAGATGACTGACCTGCTACACGATGTTGCGTTGACTTTTTAGGTTGGAGAAATCGGGGCATGCATGGGATAGCGTGGTTGTTGCAGGCCCGAAGCTTGAGAGACGCGAAAGATTTCGACCGTATCGCATGATCACGTGCGAGCAAAGTCCACCCGACCTCAAACACCATTTCGAGGCCCATGATTTCCTTATGTAATTGCCGTACTGCTCTAGGCCAGTGTCATCGATTGTGTTTCTCTTATGAAGACCGTACTTGTTCTAGCTTTGTAGAAACGCTAGGAAGGTTATACATTAGTAGCACGCATGTTGGATGATAATGTTGACAAGTCAATTCGTCTTCTACATAATCATTCAGCTAGCCCAGCAGACCAGAACTCCATTTCCAATGCACGTTGGTTATCTCAGCTATAGCATCATATCTGTATCACACATGTCTCTTCAAACCGAACGATCTCCTGGTGTCATGTTTACAGCTCTTCCATGCACTAACACTGCCTCCGTGACTGCTTAGAAAGTCGCTCCTTCCGGCGGTTGTGGGAGTTTCTTGTTCTGAGGGAGCGCCATGTACCTGACCACAGTTAGCCGCGTCCAAGACTTGCCCGGAGATATGCCGGACCTGCGAAGCTCTATGAGTATCGTTTCCATGGTGAATTCCCGTTTCCACTGGGCCAGACAAGGCAGCTTTGACGCATCGACCTACGTCCAGTCAGTAGATGCAGTCGCCTCAGTCCAAAATATATACCTCTCCGTTCTGTGGGTTGACGCAAGGAAGGTTGATCTTGGATGTGAACGAGATCTCGGGAGGCACGTCGGGATAACTTGGGCCGCAGTGAATCTTTACGCTGTAGATGCGGTTCTCATGGACGCTCTGAAAGTTCTGGTCAGGAGAGTGTTGGGCAGAGAATGTATAACACACATACATGTGGTGGACCGAGGATCGTGCCATTCCAGTCTGACATCAACAGGTCATCGCCGTGGTCAAGGCCATAGGAGCATGCCTCTGTTTACTATTAATTTCCATTGTCGAGTAGAATCGTTGCTTTTCGGTTCGGCATACCAGCACCAAGGCCCTTTTCTCCCTTTTCCAGCTCCTCTAGCAAGCGGAAGTTTCGTGGAACTTTGGCGCCCATTGTGGTGGTTTGCGGTTGTAAGGCGGAGGGCTGAGCGGAGGTGTGACGCGCGAGGAAGTGGGATGGACCCCGCTATCGAATGGGTAGTAGAAGACGCTTTATGCAGAGTGATGTGGATCACGGTCGAGAGAGGATACCGTGGTGAGCTGAAGATGCTATCAGGCCGCCAGTCCGTAAATACAAGTGTAAAGCTATTTGAAGAGTGAAAGCGATTGCGACTGCTGGTTTGCCTGTCGGATCTCTTGGCATGAGGCAAGCGCAAGGGTCTCGACTGCTAATGCGGTTTATTGTTTAACCGCCCGCCGTCAAACGTGACAGCTTTACAATGACAAGTAACCTTTCAACATTCGATATGCCAGCTTAAAACCATCAATACTCCCAGGACATTCCTCCGCTCACGAATACCGCCCAGATGTTCTGGCCTATCCCCGAAGCATGACATCACAGATTTTGGCGGCGGAGCTAGGCAACCTCATTCAGGACTCAAAGCGCAAGAACTCGGAGCTTCGAAATGCTGCAGAGAAAGCTCTACAGGACCTGAAGTCCCTTCCCAATACTTCAGAAGCTCAGCTCTCTGCCGGCAAGCCAATTCGTATCCAACGGATGTAATACTTTGCTAACTGCGCACAAGATATCTCAAGACGGCCCTATTTCATTACCCCCTTCCTCATTGCATGTAGTACCCACAACGCCAAGTTTGCATCGACTGGCGTCTCATGTCTTCAAAGGCTCAGTGTCTCTCGGGCTTTGCCGCGAGAGAGGCTGACAGAGGTTCTGGAGGCTTTGAAGGAGTCTGTAGCATCAAGTAATCTCCACTTGACATGACGCCACGAACCATGACTGATGTACCCAGATCATGACATCCAACTGAAGATACTTCAAGCATTACCTTCGCTACTTCAGAACTATGCCACGGAAATCCGTGGCGAGCTATTATCTAATGTGCTACATATATGCTCAAGCCTTCAAAACGCGAAAAACGTTGCCGTTAGTCATACGGCAGCAGCGACTCTGCAACAGTTAGTGATCACAGTCTTTGACAGGGTCGCATCTGAAGATGGTACTTGATCTCACATGAAGACTCGGATATTGACAGCTGACCGACCGTAAAGAGAAAGCCTTAGAAATCCCAATAGCGACTACGGTCAAGGGTGACGACGGTTCGGTCCCGGTCAGGCCAGCGGCACATGATGCCTACAAGGTTTGCAGCGCCCTAGCGTGTGTGTAACTTTTACTCACATGACGCAGATATTTAATGACCTCGTCCTCCTAGCTGTAGGGGAGAAGTCGGTATCCATGCTCGCTTCTATTCCAGCTTCTGGGACGCTGGAAGTGATTGAGGCCATACTATCGAACCATGATCGAATCATGACTACACACCCAGAGCAGATTTACATTCTGCGGACTTTCTTGATGCCGCTGATCATAAGATCTTTGTCTGATCGTCTGTCATTTCCGATAACAGTGCGCGTTGTTCGGATATTGAATCTGGTTATTCGGAACCACCTCGATATCCTTCCTTCCGAGTGCGAGATTGCACTTGGTCTATTGAACCATATGCTCGATCCCGAGGCCTCACAACTGTGGAAGAGAGCTCTGTGTCTTGAAGTCTTTCGCGGCATATACGCTGACTCGCGACTGCTTCTCGCAATCTACACCAACTTTGATGCAGTGGAGGACAAAAAGAATATCTTTGGGGATAATCTAGCAGCTTTTGTACGCCTGGCAGTGGAGAAACCTGCTCTGATAGGACTTGGCCAACACTCCACCGTTCCTACGACCCTTAATGATGGGAATGGGGCTGTATCCGACCAGGCTGTAGCTGAAGCAGGAGCCCTTGCTGGCCTCATCGGCGGTCATGTGGCCGACAGTAATAACAATGCTAAACCTTTCGGAATCAGCACACAATGGAGCTCTCTAAAAACGCCGTGTATCGAACATCTCGACAAGTCAGACCCGCCAATGCTTCCTGATACCTACGTATACAGCCTAGTGTTGACCTGCATTACAAACATATCTGAGAGTCTGGCGAAGTTCGTTCTTCCCCTGACTGTGCATGTCGAAAGTAAGAGTCGGAAGAAGAACAAGGCTGAAGACTTGACCGAACCCGACGTTGAGGCAGGGTCTCCAAGCCCAAACACCCGTCGACTTTCAAGAACACAGTCTTTTCGCAAGAAGACGATACCAGTAAACCCGCTCGATCTCACAGAGCATCCCGCTTATGGGCACATACAAACATCATCGACTCTTGTTACCGAATGCTGGCCTGCGGTGCTTGCGACTTGTTCGACGTTCCTCAATGCTGCTCTCGATACAAACTACTACCGGGCCTTGGTCCGGTCGATACAAAAGTTCACCCAAGTTGCTGGTCTTCTAAGACTGTCAACACCGCGCGATGCGTTTCTTACCACTCTGAGCAAGGCAGCGGTTCCTTCCAACTTGATTCTAGCAGGCGTTTCCTCTCCGAGATCAGCTTCGGCTGATAAAGCTGGGGTATTCTCCAATGCGAAGGGCTTACTCAGCGTCGATAGTCTCGTCAGTCAAGCTTCGTCCATGGCATCGGAAAAGAATGTACGACCTTCACACGAAGCGATGGTACCCGCATTGAGCCCTCGAAACCTCCTTTGCTTACGAGCTCTGCTTAATCTGGCCATTGCGTTAGGCCCGACTCTCCAGTCAGCTTGGTCTATCGTCTTTGAAACGCTGCAAGTAGCTGATCTTGTCATGGCACTGTCAAGTCAGACGGGCGCCCGTATGCTTGGAGCGTCGGGAAGTCGCACTGACCCGGATAGCTCTCCGGACAAAATGGAAGCCGAGACGTCTGCTGTGCAGGCAGCAGCTCGCAGATTGTTTGAAAGCACCGTCGATTTTCCAAATGAGTCTTTTTCAGAGGTTCTGCAAGCTTTATGTTCGCTGCTCCACGTAAACTCTTCCTCTGACAGTGGTCAAAAGACGCCCACGACTTCCAGTCGTCCACAAATCCTCCACCAGCGGAGACTAGGGAGTGTCTCTGGTCTATCTCTCAGTACTGAAACTAACTCCCGCGACTCGGCATTTGCATTGAACAAGATCGGTGAGCTTGCAGCCTTGAACGAGGCTAGATTGTCTCAGTTTGATCCCGCGAAAAGCGGTTGGGATATCTTTATCGCGGAGATGGTACGATGTTCGGCAGATGATCGTAAAACAACACCTACGAGACTGCTTGCAGCTGACGTTTTGTCACGAACGGTCAGGGAGATCGCTGAACTTTCCATGTCTGATGATCAACGTGAGGTGATTCAAGCCCGCATACTTGCTGCGCTACAAACTCAGATATCGGCTCTACATCGCAACTCCGCCACTGACGACGACGACTTCAGTGATACTAGCATAAGAGTTCATCAGGTTGCTCTCGAAGCGCTCAAGAGCGTAATCGAGCAGTGTGGCGATTCGTTGGTCGCTGGATGGGGATCAGTCCTCGACAGTTTGATGAGTGTATTCATACTAGAAGGACCCCTTAAAAGCACGAATCGCAATGGGCGAGTGGCTCCTGGCCAACACAGCTCTTACACAGTAAAAGTCATTTCTCGATCTCTGGCGCGATCCGCATTCGCGACAGCCAACCTTGTCTGCTCCGACTTCCTATCTGCCGTGCCGGATGCTTGCCTTTCGACGCTGTTAAACCTCTTGGATAGATTCTGCTGTCAGCAGGAGGACTTGAATATGTCGCTCACCGTAAGTTGTCCACCAATTTCAAGAGTCGCAGCTAAATCAATCACAGGCAATCACCTTCTTCTGGAATGTCTCAGACTTCTTGCAGTCTCGCAGTGACCTATCAGTACTACCTAAGCTGCTTGGCGACATTCGACAGCAAGAACAAGTCCGGCACACAGTCTCATCACAGGCACGTGAAGGCCTGATACCTGCGTTGTGGCTTCAGGTGTTGCTCAACTTATCCTCCATTACTACAGATGAGCGCACAGAGGTGCGCAACTCTGCAATACAAACTATACAGAGAATTCTCGAGAACTATGCCGAGCAGCTTTCGTCAGACGTGTGGTTGCTCTGTCTTCGCCTAGTGTTGTTTGGCATGGTAGAAGCCAACTTGAACGTCCAGCGCAGTATTCGGACATTGTCGAGAGGTGGAGACGATCTCAGAGATTGGAATGATACTACTAGGACCGTCCTCCAAACTGTCAGCGTTTCGAACACGACGTATATGGCGAAACTTGATGCTTCTCAACTCGGCGATGCATGGTCTGAACTCCTTGATTACTTGCAGCAGTACTTCGACTGTGGCTCGCACGCTCTCGCAGCTTCGGTCTTCGTCACCATCAGCGGAGTTCTATCTCATCTAAACGATGCTCAGACATTGGGCACATCTCCTCTCCTCAAGACTGCCACGGTTTGGAAGAGCTACTTCAATTCTCGCGACGTTTGGCAAGATGAGCAAGAGAGCAATCAGGATGCATTCGTAGCTTATGCGGATGCATTTAAAGCGATCTATTTGCTGTCTGATGGATCACTTACTTCAGATTTACCCTCGATGCTTGCGAATCTCGAGGTTTCCATCTCCAACTCGGACGAAGTCGCCTACTCTTCCGACGTAGACAACATGACAGTATTGCAGAGTCGAGTTATGGAATGCTTGTCCATTGTCAGAACAGACAACGTCGAGCTTCCATCCTACCTGATACAGTTGCTAAGCCGCTTTATTCTCCTACCATACTCATCGCTCAAGGAGGATTCCGGGAAGCGTGGACCGACTTTTGTTGCGTTATCGAAAGCCGCAATGACCTTACTACAAGATGTTGTCATTAGACACGTGGATGAGAAGGAGGTCTATACCAGCGGTGCTTTCCTATCTGCACTCAGCAGTTTGGCAAAACCAATTGAGGAGAAGTATCAGTGGCAGCGCGAAGGCAGGCCTCCCACATTATGGCAGAAAGCCACGACCACTGCCATCACTATATTAAGGCCAGGACTATCGCATATCAACGCGCATGGAGTAGTCATTGCCTCTGTCAAAAACATCTGGACAATTCTAGTCAACATTGCCAACTATATAACGCGAGCTCAGCTGCCATTGACAACGCCCGCCCTCGAGAAAGACGAAGCTTTCGACATCGAGTCTTTCACTCAACTTCGCAACCTAATCACTACATCTCTTGGGTCAAACCTACTCCCAGACTCACTTCGTCGAACCTATACACGCAATCTCTTCATTACATCGCTCCTTCACACGCCATTACCGGGCGAACTGCCCGACCTGACCAGTGCACCACTTGAAGAGCTCTACAGAATCCGCCTTGGGCAAACGGCGGAGCTCGACTCATCATTGCGGGCCGAAATGAGTTTCGCGTGTCTGTCCGAACTATTCGGCCTTGTCGGCGCACATGACAGCAGTCCTGAGCATATCAAGCTCGCTCAAGCAGCTGCACCATATCTCATCTTGCGCGCAGCGCTTCCGCTCAAGACATACATCGCCGACCAACCTCTCCGCGGACGCATGCCAGCACCCGCATCGCAGAGACGAGAGCTTCTATTTGTGTTAAGCAAGCTAGGCAGTTTGAGGAGTGAAGTGCAGGCCATTCCAGACGTGCCGGGGGTCAGTTCAAAGCATAGGAAGCATCTGCATAGGCTGTATCCGCTATTGATCAAGGCGTCGAGGGTGGCCATGCAGGATGCTAAGGTACTCGAGGGGGTTGTAAAGCTGATGGATATTGTGGGTGATGAGTTTGGATTAGAAGAGGAATGAAAGCGAAGACCAAACCCAAAATCCACTTCATTAGAATGAAGTCGTGTACTGAAATGCATGATGATATAGGCATTAGACACAAATATGATATATGTATGGCTGGGAAACTAGACAGAGCTCTCGGAGGTATGGACGAATCATGTCGGCGATAAATTGGAATGTCGTCCTTCCCCCGCATGTTTGATAGTGGATCCGATATAGCTTCGAGCCCGCACTGACCGTGACGCCAGAGAGCCAGCAACCCGCGCCCGGTCCTTGATACCCTTGTTATCACACTGAGACGCAACGGTTGGGCGCACGAGGGGAGCCTGCCTGCCATGAGTTCGACATCTGCAGCCGACAGACACAATGCGAGCGACACCATGAGCCCGCCGAACGAGTCGAGCAACAGGGCGAAGCGCAAGAGCGAGGATGGGACTCCGCAGGCACGGGCGAAGCGCAACCGATACATCTCCATCGCCTGGTATGGCACTGTTGCGTCGACGGAACTGGAGCGCGACGGCTGACAGCAGTCTAGCAATGAGTGCAAGAGACGCAAGATCAAGTGCAACGGGCAGACGCCGTGCCAGCGCTGCGGCAGCCTCAATCTCGAGTGCTTGTATGCGCCGAACTGCTGCAACAACTTCAAGGAGTCGGATGAGTGGGTGGCGACAAGAGGAAGAGAAGTGCAGGACATGGCTGACTTGCGCAGGTTCAAGCAGATGTCGGCGCATATAAGCTCCCTCCAGCAGCAGGTCGACGATCTCTTCCACAATCTCAGCTCCCTACAGTCACAGGTCGAAGTGCACAGCAATGACTCAATGGGGACACCCTTCCACCCCCAAGAGTACCAGCAGACGCCCATGCTTCCTCCCTCGTCCACGCGCTCACGAACCAAGTCCTTCAGCAAGCATCCTCGCTTTCACGGCCCCACGTCGAGCGCGTTCAACCTTGGAGTGGCTAGGTCGAGCTTGAAGACTATGGGCATAACAGCGGGCGAAGATGGGGAAGACGAGGGCGTCGTGACCCACGACGCGACACCTAGGCCCTCCCCACCTATCCCCAATACAATCCTGTCGCTGCCGAAACAGATGCACGCGGACAAAGACCCGATATGGTCGATATCTAAGCACGAAGCTATACGACTAGTACACGTGTGGCACGAAGAGATGGGTGTCATGTATCCCATTTTAGAGGTTGAGAAAGTGCTCCGGTATACTGAAATGCTCTTTTCCTTTGTAGAGGCTGCCCATCGGTCTGGTCTTATGCAAGGTGCTTTACCAGGCGCTGATGCTATCATGGACGACCAGACCAGCGTGTTGAAGCTCGTACTCGCAATCACCCTAGTTTTGGAAGGAAGAGGGAAGGACCCACTGGGCGAAAAGCTCTTTGAAAACGTACACAAAGTCGTGGAGAAGACATCGTTAAGTGAGCCTGTCAGCCTCCAGGGAATCAATCTGCTAGCCCTGACCGTAAGTCACACCTCTTCAACGCAGGGTCGTTTTATTCACATCTACAGGGCATGTATTACTTTACTCGGGACGATGAACAGATGGCCTGGCGCGTCGTAGGCCTCGCTGCACGCCATTGTCTAGAGCTGGGCTTGCACCGTCGGGAAACATATGCTGCACTTTTCCCTGACCCAGATGAGCAAGCATCAGCTATTCGAACCTTCTGGTCCATCTATGTTCTTGATCGACGGTGGAGCTTTGGCACTGGAATGCCATTTGCCTTGCAAGATGCTGACATTGACGACAACCTTCCGAAGCCGGTAAGCATTGCGAAAATAACTTCAAACGAAAGACTACGAGCACTAACATAGTCAGGACGTATCGACACATGAATCTACTCCGTACCTCAACTCCATGATATCCTATAGCATCATCGGATCAAAAGTATGGAAGTCAGTCGCGGACGTGACATTCCAAGACAAAATCAGCAAGGAAGACATATCCTTCCTAGATTTTCAAGTTCTCAACTGGCATCGGATGATTCCCGAGTCTTTAAAATTCGTACACCCGGATAGCGGCAGGCAAATCGAACCGCCTCCACGCGTTCTTCATCGCCTGCAAGTCGTCCTCTACCTTCGAGCAAATCAAATGCGGATACTTATATACCGCCCCGTGCTCCACACAGCGACTACCATCATGGAGAATATGGAGTTCGCGCATGTTGTTGTCAAGGTGGCCAAGGACACCATTCGAATATTAACGTACATCAACCAAACATCTGACATTTACAGAAGTCAGCAAACCATGTTCAACTACTTCCTCATATCAGCGCTTGCTGTTTTATTTTTGGCGGTCGCCCATGCACCGGCTGATTTTAGTCAAACATCCCGTGACGAGTTTTACAGGGCTCTGGAACTTGTGCGTGGACTGTCTTCCGACTCTTACGTTTCGAAGCGCCTCTGGAAGACTATCAAGACGCTCAAGGAGGTTGGACCGCGGCTCGGCCTGGTCGTTAGGAATGACGACACAACTGATGCGCACTCATCCGCCGCTGTAGCAATGGCGGGTCTGGCGGGCCATCAGGTTGATGAACTTGCGCTGTTCTCGAATGGCCGCCATGGCGGTGGCCTAGACACGCCGCATGGTATGGCGAGCGATCTAACGACGCTGTTTGAGGCCGCTGGAGGCACGTTTCAATTAAACGGATTTGGGGGTCCGTCGGCGGAGATGCCGAATGGAGAGTTTGTGAATGCGTTTGGCCCAGAGACGGATGAGTTGGCGAGGATTATGAGAGATTTGTTCTGAAAGCATTGATGTAGTGAGATACTGTACTCGAAAGCACCAGAAATGCCAAGCCTATTTCATACGTTCCGACATACAATGCATGTCTAGACTTGGCAGGTCGAAAAAGACAACAATCGTTGAGATAGTCACGTGCTCTTTGAACAATCGCTAAGCCAAGATTCAACGGTCGAACTTGACCTGCCACACCAGTCCACACATGTCCAAAAGCAAGCTCGCCTAGAGTAGCCAATATCACTGATCGAGCAACAGAGAATATCTCAAGAAAGACAACAGCTTCTACGCCGATCTCTACCTTCGCTCATCGACCCCACCCCCACCCAATTCACTCGCATTACGACTCCTGCCGCACCCTACCCTGTCGGTGATTCGAGTGCGCCAGTACACATGCCATAGAGGTTGCAAGTGCAGCTCTACGAGGCATACTTTCTTCGATATCCACGCCCATCTACAGCACCTACGGCTGCCATCCTGCGTCACAACACGCCCCCACATTCGCATTTTCAACCCCCTCGTACCCCAATATCAACGCGTTACAACTGCGCGCAGTAGCCTGAGCCGCGTCAGCATAGCGGCGCGTACATCCACACCGAGCAGATAGCATGTCGTCGTCGTCGCAGGTGACGGAATCATGGATTGCGTCCTTCTGCGGGTTGCTAGGCCACGAATACTTTGCCGAGGTGTCAGAGGATTTTATTGAAGATGACTTCAATCTCACAGGCCTGCAGTCGCAGGTCCCCATGTACAAGGAAGCACTGGAGATGATACTGGACGTGGAGCCAGAGGACGACGAGGACGACGAAGACGAAGACGAAGAGGACGAAGAGGACGATGACATACTGGGCGACGAAAGACCGCCGGGATACCGAAGGGCAAGCGATCGGAGACATCTACGGATAGCGTCTGATCTCAGTGTGATAGAGAGCTCTGCCGAGCTGCTCTACGGACTCATACACCAGCGGTACATCACCTCCCGGCCAGGCATCCAGCAAATGGCCGAGAAGTATGAGCTCCAGCACTTCGGCACCTGTCCACGCGTGAATTGCAATTCCTGCAAAGTCCTCCCCGTAGGCCTCAATGATAGCCCCGGACACGAGACCGTAAAACTCTTCTGCCCTTCCTGTCTAGATGTATACACACCGCCCAACTCGCGCTTCCAAACCGTCGACGGCGCATTCTTCGGGACGACATTCCCCTCTCTCTTCTTCATGACCTTCACCGATCTCGATATCGGCGGCGGCCTACGCAGCAATACGTCGGCCACTATCGACGCTTTAGCCCAGCTACAAGCCCAAAGCGCAGACGGCAAGTCGCGCAACACCACCCCCTCAAACGTCACATTGATAAACGGGGTGGCTCCACATAACCTTGCGCCAGGCCTGGGCACAGGGAGTATCTACGAGCCGCGCATCTACGGCTTCCGCGTCAGCGAGCGCGCACGATCAGGGCCCCGCATGAAATGGCTACGGATGCGGCCTACGGACGTGACCGAGCTTGATGAGACAAGACGATACTGGGAAGATCGTGACGACGATGCGGATCGACCGGATGACGATGATCTCAATATGGTGGATGTCGCGGAGGGAGGCAAGGGCACGGCGTCAGTAGACCGGAGAAAGAAGGCTATCCGGACACGGAGACGGCCAACAAATGGGTCGAATGCTGGGGGAGGTGGGAGTCCGATGGATACGAATGGTGTTGGACCAGCCGCAGGTTAGAAGTCTTCGTCTGATCTGCTCGCTGATGAGAACTCGGTACCGCTGAAAGACTGTGATACCGATGAAAATACAATAGGGGGCGATACGACGGACATCGACCCTGAAGGGACCAGGGAATTGGGAATATTATATGCGAGAAGGAGACGGGAGAATATGCCGCGTGAAGACAATGCCATTGTATGAGGGCCTTGGGTTGGACTAGTCATACAGTTTTCTTCTTTTATTACATTTGTGGAGCACACGGGGTGGTTTTGCTTGCATATTATAGTATTAACTTGGATGAGGGGTTGATGAGCATACAAGGCTCATAGAAGGATCGAATTCAGCGAGCCTAACACCCCCAATTGCTTGATCACATGTGCATGTTGATCAGAGAGAATCTGTCTCCAGGAAAGACGACAACATCTGCAACAAATCAACTGCCTAATGTGTGTATCCTGGAGAGTTTCAAACTTGTAGGAGAAGTTGTCTGACACATACATTCGTAATAGGAAAGAAACGCAGACAGGGCATTATCAATCTGCATATCATACATACATCATTTCCCTCAAGCCTTAATATGACTCCTCACCACAGTCCAAAGCTGCGATAGTCGCATGAGCAAGCCTTGCACGAGTTTTCGCAGTACGGCCTTGATATCCTTAAGGCCCAATCCAACCTGCCTCGCGCGATACGCACCCACAACCGCTAAGGCGACACTCAAAAGACGGGTTGCTTTGGTCCGTCTTATATTCCATATACCCTTAGACGTGTAAGCAATGTTCCAGTCGTCCCACTTGGGAAAAGTACAACGGCGCCAGAAATCCACTTGAGTGTACGGATACACAGTCGAGTTCCAGCCGTCTTCGGTATAGTACCAGCTCGAGCAGCCGCTTGTCCAGACTGTGTTTTTCAGCGCGGCTTGGATGTCGGTTGTGAAGGCTACTTCGGCTTTGTGTTTGACATCTACGGTCGTGGCTTCGTTGTTGAGAATGAGTTTGATGAACTTTAGGGAGAAGTTCACCATGTCTGTGAGTGAGTGAGTGGCGGGTTGGCAGGATGTTTTAATGATTGAGAAGCTGGCAACAGTACTACTAGAGCACTTCGCGTAGCCTCCAACTCTTCTTGGGCAAATGTAGAGACATAGTCTGGCAATGCATGTCGGGGTAACTTACTTTCGCTCGCCATGACAACTGACGAATGACCTGTGGCAGTATTCGGCCCAAAGATCATGAAGAAATTCGGGAAGCCGTCCACTGCCGTGCCCTGGTAAGCTTGCGCACCTCCACGGTCTTCCATGACCTGTACGAGATCTTCGCCCCCCTTTCCAGCGACCTTGAGGGGATGCAACCACCGCGTGGTATCAAAGCCGTTGGCTAGAACAATGACATCGGCAGGAACCTCTCTCTCAGGGTAGTCCACCTCATTTACATTCTTCGGATACGTAGCACCAGGACCGATTATCACGCCGGTCTCGGTAACACGTGCTAGAGGCTGTGTAGTGAGTTCGATCTTCGGGTCATTCAGGCTTTGTAACCATCGCTTGTCGAAGATCCTTCTCTTACATCCGACGCCATAATCGGGTGTCATGACTTTCCAGTATTTCTCTGGTACACACTTCCTCATGTGCGTCATCAGCTTCTCTTCGTATATCTTCCTGTGCTTCACTGCGTATTGTGTGTTCGGGAAAAGCTTGAGAAATTCTCCCTCAGCACTGGCGAAGATAAGGAATCGAAGCAACTCTTTCAGCCCTGGTACAGTTTTCAATAGCTTTGGACTGTTCTTCTCCCACCACTCGTCACCTCCCGGGGGCAGGGCGCTAGGGACAACCCATGGTGGAGATCTCATGAGCTGGGTGACCGACTTTGCATTATATGGTGCGTTGGGCAATCGCGGGACGAGCTGTGCGGAACTGCATCCAGTGCCCACAACGACCACGTTCTTGTCGTTGAAGTCCACAGTATCATCCCACCGAGCAGAATGGAACATCTGCCCCCGGAAGTTTTCAATGCCAGGGATGTGGTCCGGCCATCCCTTGGGCTCGACAAGTCCGCCTACACAGCTCACTACGACCTTTGCTTTTACGATCTCGGTCTCAGAGTATGCAGCGTGTTCGCCCTTCTCATCTACAATCTTCTGGCGGTCCTTCGCGGAAAGGTCGCCTATGCCTGCCATCATTCGCCGAAGTTTCACCTCCCATAACTGCTCGTCTTCCAGCCACCTGCATCCTTCGATGTCGGTATTGAGCTCGATCTTATCCGTGATCTTATATTGTTCACAGACCTCGTGGTAATAGCGCACGATCTCTTCGCCGGGCGGGTGGAAGGATGTCCAAGTAGGATTCTGTGCGAAGGAAAAGGAGTAGAAGACCGCGGGGACGTCACTATACTAAGTTACTCTCGATGAACTCGGAAGTGACGTCTACCACACTACGGTATAGCCTCGAGTATATAATCTTGAAAGGTCTACGGGCATGCGTACAGGCTTGGAGACGCTCAAAACCTACCAGGCTACACCAGGATAGCGATTGATCCACCATGTGCCCCCGATACCCGCCTGGCGGTCGAATACGCGGAACTGGTCGAAACCAAGCTGCTGCTTCAATTGGCACGCCATAGCAATGCCCGATGCCCCTGCACCGACGATAATGACTGGATAATAGGTGTAGGCATTGTGCTCATAGCCGTTGACTCTTCGTATCGTTTCGTCAATCATCTCGAAACTTTGGGAAGCTTTAAAGTAATTAGAGTGAAGTGTATAGGACAGTAAGCTTATTACAGGATAGGAAGTAAGGGGGCGTGAGACCCTTGATGTGCGATGCAAGGCTAGCTTTACGCCCGAGGTGAGCAGTAGGACGCCTGATGACTCGATCTAGCAGATTAACGGTGGACTATTGGACGCGGTAGCTTCTTGGTTTCGTATTCGACGAGAGCTGAGGTGCGGAGCCGGCTTTGTGCGAGGTGAATGCTAGTGCTTCGTGCTCATGCGGGGATGATAGCCTCGGTCCAAGTTGTCTGGCGGTTGTACTTCGTTGTTCCTCCCTTGTAGACTTGACATCTGAAAGTCTCAATACCTTGGCTCGAAAGCAGTGATAGCTATGCCTCTCCCTGCTGCGGTGCATGCTGCTATATCGGACGAGTATTTGGTCGCAACGATGACTCAACTACAGGATAATGAAGCACTAGATCTTTGCGTACGGCTTATTTTCATTATGAGAGACTACCTTTCAGGAACCTGCAAGGCGTGACGTTCAGGACTTTTAACCGTGGAGCGATATCAGCCGTGTGGGGCGCTCTGCCAAGATACATCACACATAGTGACATCCAGAGCCCTCGAGTCTAATATGGGACCTTAGACCCCGAGGTCGCGAGTAGTTGGCTCTGTTTCTCTGACTCTGGAACTCAAAATACTTTCACAGAACCAGCGATAGCTCAACTAGGGCGTAGGCGCTTTAGAAATCCTCTGGCTCTGGATTTCACTCATTGAATTGACCATAAATATAACTTGGCGCTCACGTAAGCTTCACTAGCAACAGTTAAAAAAAGATTTCAAAAGCGCATACGCCTCAGTGTTACTTATTGAGCTATCGCCGGTTCTGTGATAGCAATAAGTAAGTGTTAGGCCTACTTGTATATCTGTCTGGCAAGTTCAGGGCGTATTCAGGGCGTATTCAGGGCACAGTAATCGGGGCGTAGTCAGTTGCAAACGAGCGAATGATTACTCCACTGAAAATACAAGTATAAGAAGATGGAAAATCACTGGAAATTGACTACCCTTTCTCTTTAGACACAGACACCTCTTCTACTATCCTTCAACACATTTACAACATCAACATGCGCTTTATTACAATCTTAGTTCCTACCGTCCTCTCTTTTGCAGCCGACTGTTCTGCTTGGGCTCAAGGTCCTGGCGGGAGATGGATTGCAAACCAAAAAAGATATGTAATCGACAGTTGTAAGTGGCTTCACCCTGGGTAATAGGATGGGACAGGTGTAACTTACTTTGGACTAATCTGTCATGTATTATATAGGGTCTGTACCTGAAGCATGTACTTCAAGGGGTACAAACTACTTCCGTATCGCTGGTCCCTGCACTTGTTGGACAGACTCTCATGGTGGTACTTTCACCGGAGGTATGTATCTCTATCCACACAAAATCTTGATATTTCTTAGGGGTATTGTGCTAATATTTCATTAGAGTGCAAGATAGACCATAACACCCCAGCGAAAATGATTGTTTGTAGTACAACCAGCAAAAATGGTTGTTTTTAGTTAAAGATGGTGTGTACACAAGTACCATATAGATTTTGATACACATGTTAGGACTACGGTGGCGGTTAATGCGCTCCTCTGTGGATATGCTGTTATACTTAGTCCGTGCAATCACGCTCCTTAGTTATTCTATTCCGATATTACTTGCAAAATCAGACACTCTTTGGGTAGTGATGTTTAAACGTGATAGGGCCCTTCCGGGCAGGTGCTTGCGATTTGACATCTCAACAGGGAAGCTACTTGTGGCTACTATTACGATGGTGCACAAAGTAGAGCAATGCGCAGAAGAATAGAAAATACTACGAGGTGAATGAAAAACACCTCTTTTTGTACTGAAGGCTCCTCACGTGGGGACGCGGTGAGCGCACAGACGCGCAGAGCTTAGCTCATTCGCGAATCTACTGACCTCATTGTCCATCTTCAAGCTGCTACCTAGGCACTACCCGCTCAGTCTTCAACGAGCTTGGATTAAAAAGATGATAGCGCTCTCCTCTATGCTATGCCGCAGATTTTGATTCAAGACGCCAGCCTCGAAAGCGCAGTAAACGATCGTCGAGTACAATGAACTCCATCGACGGCTCCAACCGTCACGTAAAAACAGACGAAGGCATGACTACAGCATGGTTTCGCACGACTTGCCTTGACTAACGCCCGCTTAGCTCCTCCACCGTCACTCTTAGCCATCGTCCTCGATACCAACCCACACGCTTGGGCGCATCTATCGTCCACACTTCCCCTCTCCGCTGCCCTTGCCAACATCCTCGTCTTCATCAACGCGCACCTAGCCTCAGGCAATGCAAATGAGGTTGCAGTTATAGCATCACACTCCCACAAGACTACATTTCTATATCCAACGCCAATCCTGCCGCAGCCGCAGCTACGGCATGGAACCGCAAATGGCCATGTCGAAACGGGCCAGGCCAGGAACGACAACGAGCAGCAAATGGTAGAGAGTGCCAACAAATACCGGCCCTTTGCCGTCGTTGAGCAGGCCATCCTACGAAATTTCTCCAAGCTGCTGGACGAGACAACGGAAACCCATCTTCAAGCGACACCAACTACTCTCATCGGTGGCGCGCTCTCTCTAGCGCTAACGTATATCAACAAGTCCACTATTTTGCATGCTCCAACGGCGGCCTCCGCCGAAAGCATCTCTCTCGCAGCGCTCGCAGACTCCGAAAACACCCACGTCGACCACGTACCGCTCACATCTCGCATCCTCATCGTCTCCGTATCTGGTGATCTTGCCAACCAATACATCCCCGTCATGAACTCGATATTCGCCGCACAAAGAAAGAAGATACCGATAGACATCTTGAAATTGGCAGGAGATACGGTGTTATTACAGCAAGCTAGCGACGCAACTGGAGGCGTGTACATGAAGCCGGAGCGACCGGAGGGCTTGCTCCAGTACCTGATGATGGCATTTTTGCCCGATTCAACAGCACGAACAAGCTTGGTGGTCCCCAGCGCCGGTGGAGTCGATTTCCGTGCAGCCTGCTTCTGTCATAGGAACGTTGTCGACATCGGCTTTGTTTGCAGTGTGTGTTTGAGCAGTAAGCCTTTCAAGTCTCTTAATTGGTTTGTTGTTAACCCGCGCTAGTATTCTGTACCCCCAACCTTCCTGAAAACATGTGCCTCACTTGTGGATCATATCTGTCGCTCCGTAGCGCTGTAATGAATCCCCCGGCCCTCATACCGCGTAAGAAGAAAAAGAAGAAGAAAGCCGGTACCGAGTCTGCCACACCCGGAACAAATACTCCAGCAGGCTCCAGCACACCCATGCATCCTTGATAGGTTATTCCATGATCGGGTATTTCCTACCAGATCGCAAAGTCTCGAATCCCTTTGTGGACGTATATGCATATGTGCTACGTACCCCAGATAAACGATTTACCAGCTTGTGACAGCGCCCAAACTCCATCGCCCAATTAGATGTTGGGGAAGGTATGGTTTGCCTTGTTGGTGGAGTAGGGGATGTCTTCCCGATCGACCAGAATGTGCGCGCTAAGACTTTGCCAGCAAAGTTCCGCGGACTCCTGCTCGCAGATGTGCTTGACAATACAAAAAATGAACATGGGCGGGATAAGGCATAGAGGAAGCATTCAGGCAGTACTTCATCTCACGAATATACCATAGGACGCGCTTCTTGGGAGGCAATTTACCTACCCTGGAGGCCAGGGTAGAAGCTAGGTCGCTAGTAGCCATCTCATTCGGCCTAGGTAGATATTGTGAGTCCAATATCAAGCAAGCATAATGCTCAGAACCTTTAGGGTTGCGTCGCTCAGGAGGCGTTTCCTACGCAATCGAATAGTATGAAGAGGTTTATAACATTAGCAGAGACATAGTAGAGTGCTTTCCCTTGGTGATGGATGCAATCAGAGTGTGATACAGCACTAGTGATGCAGTCTCGTACTGTGTAGGAGAGCACACCTCCATTGCCACATGTGTTTCGCGCCCAATCACGGCTACCACCACTATCACGTACCGATGTTCCAGTCTTCCAGTACCCATGTCAGCGTCTCACAGATGCAAAGACAGTATTGTCAAATCAAACATATAATCACTATCAGGCCGGCGCCCTGATATGGGCCGTGTAAATTAGCCCGAGGGCGAGTACTGCGACAGTGATCAGATCATCTTCAGGGATAGCAAGAAGACCAGAGTCTAGAAATGGAACATTGGGTTTGTGCGAGCCCGGTAGACTGGTCTCATGGCCCCATAGTCGAGCAGCAGGAACAGCACCCCATGCGTTCCAACACGATGCCAGGGGTACTCAGACGCTCGTCTAGCTGGAGCAGGCGATTAGGCTCAACGGGACCTGCGGTCGGAAGGGGGCGGCATGCGTAGGCGGCCGGGAATGAGGCACAGCGAGCATGCGTGGGATAATTAACCTTTGAAACGGATTGAAGCCCGTTCAAAAGATAAGGAAATCTAGGGCGGCGCCGGCGGCGTGCCGAGGCTTTCCTCGCCATCTCCAAGACTATTGAAAGTTCTTGGACGGGTGAGCAGAGTGGATGAGCCCCCTGATCATCCCCAACCATGAGGAAATGAGGAGTCTTGGACCTGAACAATACAAAACCTTGGGATGTGGCGCGCATGCAAGAGACTCTTTGATAGATGGCTATATGTTGCTGATGGTAACTGTACCGTATCGGTCCGCTTAGATGCAAGCCGGGGCGCCCCTAGGCTCGTTTCGACAGACGACTCCCGCATAGCCTATCATGCGGCTTCACGTTATCAGCATGCTTGCCTGAACAATTGTTTTCGAATTCCTCTGCTGATACGAAAGGCTCACTGTTGCTCCGGCGTGCCAAATTGCCTATGCCTGTGGCCTGTGGCCTGCGGGCTTTGTCGAGACGAGGCAAGCGCAAAGAAACACTGGCTTCGAACGTGTCACGACCTTGAAGACTTCCACGAGGTCCCACAGCAGCACGCGCGTTGTGTTGATCGTCCGGAGCCGGGGACGAAAAAGCTCCAAGCTCGCGGATCGGATGGATGCTGCCAAAGGTCATCTCATCCATCCCACGAGCTTGGTTTGAGCGAGCGGCAGGTCGAGTATGCCCTAGGGGCGTTCGGTGGGCTGGCAACCCTGCCTGACCACCACTAGCCATGACCCGCGGCTGTACATTGGCTGACAAGCTCCATCACCTATGAGGATGCTTCACCTATCTGACACCCCACCGGGGTGGCTGATCCTAGACGTTCATGCTGGCCGAGATTGTCAAAGCTCAGGCGGGATGTCCAAACTGTACAGAGCTATGGTAATGTCCAGTCTCATATAGCTATCATGGACCCCTCGAAGGTGCATTTGGAAGACGTGTACCTTTGTCTCCACGGCAGCCACCTGTATATACTTGTTGTACATAGCTGTCGCAGCCTCGTCAGCGGCAAATTCGTACCATTGACTTTCAGGTCGTCATATTCTTTTTTTGGTCGACTGTACTATCGAGGCGGACGCCAAGGGTCACCGCACGAAACATCCCTGAAAGTGTAGCGATCACCCGGCTATACTTTTCTACTGCTCACTCCTTCCCTTCTTTTTTACATTTGGGTTCCTTTTTTTCTTTTCTATATTCCTTGTAAATTTCTCCCAGTCGTCGTCGAGCGTTCAAGCGACGACCAGCTGCCGCCTGTTCGCCGATATTCCCGATCTCGAAACGCCAGAAAAGGCACTACTATCGCCAACATGGACCCCGTATCCTCCGGGTTGGACCCCACGCTTCCTCTCGAGGCCTTCAACAATGCCACAATAGCTACAGGAGGCGACTCGAGGCTATACAACCTCAATGTGTTCTATAATGTGAGTTTCGCCAAGTTGGTTGAGATTTGATCTACGTGGGGCTAACTTGGATTCTAGCCGGGCGATATCGCTTGGATGCTGACCTCCACTGCTCTCGTGCTGCTCATGATTCCGGGTGTAGGGTGAGTTTAAACTCTCCATTCACAATCTACACGAAACTTACACCATGATAGCTTCTTCTACTCTGGATTAGCACGCAGAAAGTCTGCCCTATCGCTACTATGGCTATCCGTCATGGCGACCGCGGTTGTTTCGTTTCAATGGTTCTTCTGGGGTTACTCGCTAGCCTTCTCGCACAAGGCTGGAAAGTACATTGGAGCCCTGGATAACTTTGGACTGAAAGATGTGCTTGGTGCACCCTCGGTTGGAAGTGCCCGCATTCCCGACCTCATGTTCTGTCTTTACCAAGGCATGTTCGCTGCCATCACGTACGTCCACCAAACACGAATGTTTCGTGAAAATGCTAACCTAGGACAGTGTCGCCCTTGCCGTTGGCGCCGTCGCCGAACGAGGCAGGATGCTCCCCTGCATCATCTACATGTTCATCTGGACCACCCTCATCTACGACCCTATCGCATGCTGGACCTGGAACTCTAGTGGCTGGGTGTTCAAAATGGGAGGCCTCGACTTCGCTGGCGGTACGCCGGTCCATATCGCGTCTGGAACTGCAGCGCTCGCCTACTCGTATATGCTGGGAAAGCGGACTGGCCACGGGACCCAGGAACTCAACTACCGTCCCCACAACGTCACGCACATCGTTATCGGCACCGTCTTCCTCTGGGTGGGCTGGTTCGGCTTCAACGCTGGTTCAGCGTTGTCTGCCAACCTCAGGGCTATCATGGCTGCTGTATGTACTAATCTCGCTGCTTGCGTTGGCGGAATTACGTGGTGCTTGGTCGACTACCGTCTAGAGCGCAAGTGGTCCACCGTGGGCTTCTGTTCTGGCGTGATTGCTGGCTTGGTGGCCATCACCCCTGGGTCTGGTTACGTCCCTGCCTGGTCTGCGGTCATCTTCGGTATCGTTGGTGGTGTTGGCTGCAACTACGCCACGAAGCTCAAGTACTTCCTCCGATGCGATGATGCGCTTGACATCTTTGCTGTTCACGGTGTTGGCGGTTTCATCGGCAACATCTTGACTGCGTTCTTCGCTGCGTAAGTCAGCTCACTCTTCTCCACAAAGTATTACATTGCTAACACTTTCTTAGCGACTACATAGCGCATCTTGACGGCTACACCGTCATCGCCGGCGGCTGGTTAAACCGCCACTGGATCCAACTTGGCTACCAGCTCGCTGATTCGTTCACTGGCGGCGCCTACTCCTTCTTCGGCACCTGCCTGATTCTCGGCGCTCTCGACTTCCTTGGCAAGTTCGTTCCTGTGCTTCGCCTTCGCGCCAGCGAGGAAGAGGAGGCCCTTGGTATCGATGATGTTGAGATCGGCGAGTTCGCTGTAAGTCATCCTCAAGTCTCATGCCTATCTGAATACCGTCTAACAAATGATAGTACGACTACGTTGAGCTCACCCGTGAGGTCAAGATCCCGGATGACGATGTCATCGACGAGGGAATGTCGACACATTCGCTCGAGAATCACGGCGCTGGCATGGCTATGACCAGCCATCACGAGAAGAACCAAGAATCGATCGACTCGGCGGGCCAGCTTGCTGAGTGGGCGCACCGCGCATAAACCCTCTTCGTTTTGTGCCTCGTATCCTGCTCTATACCACTTTTTTTTTTAGCCGCTGGAGTTGGAGGATTTTCTATGTTATATTCTACATTTGTTACTTATACTTAGGGTTGGGGAGGATGTAGATGAACCACGTTTGGACGATGTATAGCACGTTCAGTGAAGCACTACGATGTAAGAATGATGGAAAATACTGGAAGGTGGATGTCCGATCTGGTCTGGTCCGGAAAAGGCGGCGTCTTATCTTACTGCTATCGTGGGCCTCTTCAACTTCTCAAATGTATCATATTTGCCTACATACTATATTTTCCTAGAGCTGGAATACCTTTCCAAAACGATACAATACACTGCGATATTGATTGTACTCCATCTACCACTGTGGGAGGAAGTTGATGCACAGCCTAATATCGTAATTATTATCACGTGTGAAGGAATCACGCTGCTATCATTCTTTCCGTTTCAAAGTTCTCTGCGTTGCTCACGGAGACGATCGACCGTTGAGATGATTCACGTGCGATAGATGCCCGTGAAGGTAGGCACCGACACGCAAGTGGGATCAAATTACTGGTAGCAACGCGCAGTTCGTTCACGGAAGTCGGCGCATACAAAATCATGCAAGCACGAATTGACGAGGATAGTTAATGAACAAGGGCGATCAAAGTTAACAGATAGGGAAAAGTGGTATTATCCTAAAAAAACAGATTACAAGGAACCTACAGGTTGGCATAGTGAAACAGCACAAGGACCTCCCACACCGCGAGCTTGAGCTCATCCCTTCAGTCTTTTAATCTCCATTCCTTGTCAACTTCCACCCTCGCCCGGGGCTCCCGTAAGTCCTCGAGCGCATGCTTCTCACTCTCCTCTCTACTTCTGCTTCCTCCTCTGGATATGAAACGGCCGTCGAATGACACAAAAGACCCGATGGGGGTTCATAATCGTCCCGGTAAATAAAAAAAGAAAGAGAAAGAAAGGGAGATAACAGGAGTACTCAAGGATAGTAAGAAGGCAAACAAAGCCTACAACACCGACGCCAAAAAATAAAGGGAAAGGGCATCAATGCTAGTCGTTCTCGGTCGCTAATGATGAACAAATGAAGAAGGGGTTATGCAAAAGCTTAGTGAGCATGTCGGACAGCCTGGCCCGGTCGTTGCAGCGGAGTCGCGTACTTGGAAACAGGTACCATGTCGGCATGCAGATCGTTGTTGCCGTCAACATCGTCTTCATCCTCCAAGATACGAGTAGGAACGTCAGGGATGTCGTGCGACCGGTGCTGGAGGCTCGACCTATCTGGCGTTGTCGAGGCGCTGGCCATCGACATGGACGTGCTCGACCTATGGCTTAGATCGGGGGTGGGAGGAATGCTTGAACCGCGTCCTGGGCGGAGCATGTCATCGTCGCCATACTCGCTACCAATTGTCGACTGTGCGCGTCCACCTGCGGACGACATCTGGCCAAGGCTACTGCGGCGGTCGCTGTGGTTGTCGCCGTCCTCGGTGTCCGCGCGCTGGGCCAGCTGGAGACCCTCAACCGCAGCAGCGCACTGCTCGGAGATGTTGCGGATGATGTACGCGATAGCATCGGTCTTGTCGCGAAGCACTCGGTCAGCAACGTCGACCATGGACTGATTTGAGAAGCGCTTCGAGTTACGCGCTGGGCTGTTGTATAGGCGCTGCTCCATGTCTGGTGTCACATCCTCACCTTCAAGATGCTTGCCATCAACGGTGCTTGCTCTTGAATCGTTGCGGTTGTTAATACCAGCTACGCCACGGATGGTACCGACCTCCGACTTGTCCTTCGCCGACACATCGATATCAGCATCAGCATCCTGGAACTCCTCCTCCTCTTCAGGAACATCTTCGAAGCCAGCCTCAATGTAGGTCGACATGTCGTCCTGGTTTAGCGACTTGACAATGTGCTCCATATGGTGGGTCTGGCCCTCAATGAGTGCACGGAGATGAAGCACAACCCGTTGAGCCTCGTCGCGCTGGCGAAGGATGGCGCCATTGGTATGTTGAAGAGCAGACATCTCCTTCTTGTTCCTCTTCCTCTCGCGCTCGAGCTCCTCGGCGATTTCTTGCTGGAGAACAAGTGCCTCCAAAGCATCATCGCGCTGCTTCTCAGTACCCGAAAGGCGGATAGTGAGTCGTGCAGCATCGTCCTTTTGTTGATCAATGAGGCTGCTAAGGCGTCGGTTCTCACGCTTGTGGTTCTCGATCTTGACCTTGAGCTCCTGGGTTTCCTTCGTGAGTTGTTCAGCAAAAGCCTGGAACTTGAGGAATTGCTGCTTCCAGCTCTCAAGCTCCTCGACCAAGAAGTTGTTGCGCTTGCTGACTTTGGAAAGCTCGGTATCCATACGGCCCTTGAGATTGATGAAGTCTTGCCAAGCCTCCTGGGCGTCCCGAGAGTATTGGTTGCGCTCGCGTACAATCTCGTTGAGGTGACGCATGGAGACCTTTGTCATCAGTGGCTTCTTGACGGAGCCGCCAAAGATAGCCTTTACGCCAGTGTTCCGGCCCTGTCATACGTTGTTAGCTTTGAATATTGGGGAAATTGCGCGGCTGAGTACGTACGAGCTTCTCGCACACGTGATCCATGACCGTCATAACTGCATCCTGTGTCCACCAATCTGGATCCTGGATACTTTCTACCTCACCACGCATCACGATGATTTGACCCGCGGGAATTAGCTTGCCGCCACCATAGGCCGATCGCAAGTGTTGTGGAACACCAGTTGGTGCCACCTCACCATTGAGGGCTTGGGTGAGACGGGTGATCATCTTGGTCCTCTGCCCAGCAGTAAGAGCGGTTGGCGGGCTCGAAGTCAACACAAAGTTTCGGTCCAAATCGACGACGAGCGCATCTGTTGGGGCTGTAAAGAGGGATCGGCACTCCGACGTTACACCAAGTATGTACGGACCCGGCTCCTGTACTAGATCCTTGACATGACGCGCATGAACAACGGGTACATACAGACCGCTCCATTCGTACACCCTTACGCAGTATCGTATGGTTTCGGCTGCAATGGTGAGCATTGCAGGGTAATGGCTGGTAAAGATGATTCGTCGTGTAGGCGACACGGCAGCCTCGATCACCCCAACAATGTTAGGGATGGAGAGACATGTGAAGAGTGGCCACATGGCAAAATTCTGGAATCCAGTTGGCGAAGACGGGAACTGGTAGCACAACGCGTAGTCCTTCATGTCGATTCGAACCAAATCGTTTAATCGGGGAGCGGGGAAACTCAGAATGCGAGACACCTCCTCAGCATGGAAGAGGTTCGTAGCCTTGTTCCAGTGTATCCACATGCCGCGGAGGTAGTCACCGAGAAGGTTGTACAAGGGGTAGCGGGAAAGAAAGCTCAAGCAGTAAGGGATCCAGTATGTCTCCTCGGGGTTGTCGAAGAAGTCTGGCTCAATCCGCTTGCGCAAGTCGCGGATCGTCTCAGCCCGCTTCTCATCAGCGCGAGACCAGACGCGCAACGCGATTCCGTAGAGAGTGTGAGATGAGTCCTGTTGTAGAACGAAAGAATGATGGACGCAGTGGGGCTGACTCCTGCCAGTACAGATTTCGACATCGTGAGGAAAGCAAGCCTGCGCAGTTCCGTTAGATTTTGCACCTGAATGACTGGAAGAAGGAGACGTACTCGCATAGCAGCATGGAGAGATCTCGCGATATCGTTATCCTGCTCCAGTCTCGGGCTGCTTCCCAAGATTTCTGGAAGCCAAAAAGTTCCCACTGCACCCTTCATGTGTCCAATCTTGCCCTGAGCGGGCGCGGGTGCCTTCATCCATTGCGAGGGCTCACGGCCAACACCACACACCATGTACGCATGTGTCAACGTTTTTGGGCTTCTTGCGCCCTGCTTGACGTTCAATGTAGAAGGGAGAGGCTGCGTGATTCGCGAGTGGAGAGAAGAAGTCCGGCTAGGAATGATTAGGCTGTGGTCGGTATTGTCCCTGTTGTCCCTGGTGGGAGGTCGCTCGCCAGTGCGAGGACGCAGGCTCAAGGAAGGTGCCATTGCGAATGAGTGTCGGTGCTATCGGGTCGGGCGTCCGGGTATTGAGTTTGGTACGATCGCGGATAGATCCAGGTATTATCGGGGCTCTTATGATAGCAAGTAGAGCATGTGTGGGGATGTAAAGGAATCCAAAGGGCAAGCCTCAAGAACCAGCGCAAGACAAAAGTACTGCAACGTACTCCGTCAACTGAGGGCTCTGAGATGGCCTTGCTGCGGGTATGCAGTGAGAAAAATGGTCCAGCAAGGGGAAATCATGAGGAGCGCGGCGCCTGGCGTCTTTTGGGGAGCCATGCCGCACTGAAGCTTGGGCTGGAGCTTGGGGAGTAGACGACCCGACACGCTAGCATGGGTAGCAGGACATAAGTGTCGGTTCAGGAAATGAGGACATGATCCTTGCCAATCCGGTGGTGCAACAGGGTCCGTTTCCCAGCACGGAACACATAGCCGTCAGGGGCTCACTCAAGCCATCAAGCGCGATGGGCGTTCGCCTGTCCGAGCAAGTAACGTGCTGGTTCGTTCTCCTCCCGAGGGAATATAGGACCATGGCGGCGGGAAGTGCAATCAAAAGCAAACATAAGACCTCCCGAAACCACTGGTAGATGTTACTTTGTTATAATGCATCACCCCCCCACACTGTATTGTCATGGTTGGAGCTGTTCATGTCATGTTCCAACTCCCAGCAGCCGTAGCTCTGGCACCACGACTCAATCCATCAGAGCGTGCAGCGGCAAGAGCAAAGGAGTCCCCGCTGGTGGCAATAGCGCGCGGAGTGGTCTTATGCTGATAACCGCTTTGGGCTGGCCTTTGAATCATTCGTAGGCCTTGTGCACGATGCAAGCCCGTCTGCAGCGTGCATCCTCACAGCAACGTGCATGAGGTGTGCATCCCGCTCAGTGCGCAGCCCGTCCGCGAATTAGAAAGCTTGGAAATTGGCGAGGATACCCCTGAGAATTCTCGATCATCGACCGTGCATACAGTAGAGGCGTGTTTGATCCTCTGGTGCTTTGCCTGCAGCTTCGTCTTCAACTGGATCCAGAGAGTGGTTCGTCAACAGTATCCCAACGCCCTTGATAACTGTCGTCTAACCGTTTCGCTCACCTACAGTAGCTTCATTCACGTGGGGCCGATCGCTACCGGAATCTTTGTTCGTTAAACATGGGCAGAACGCTGCGATGCACGGTAGAGCTGAAACACCGGGCTTTAATGCATTTTAGAAGGATCGGAGAGCTTCGCCCAGGGCCGTGCGGATAGGAGGAGCTTCATTGCCACCTCCAAGAACGACTAGAACACTGGATAATGTCCCTCAGCAGCAGGCGACTTCGTATTGCTACTCTTGTGTTTGACCACTACTTGGGTGAAGCCGGGAGCTCACGAGTGTAAGGGGGGGTATTCCAGCTTGCCAGTTGCCAGTGCGAGGGCGGACATGATCGCGGTCGAAGCAGCTGTTTCGACATTAGTCGATACTATAGAACCTGCTGTATAGTAGTATATCGTAGGTATTCAACTGTCTTTCACGGCATTCGTATTACCCGCACAAAATGTCTGAATCATGGTCGAGCTTCGCGAGCAGCTACGGCTAATTGGCTAGTCGCCCTTTGCTCGCCGAAAGTCTGCGGACGACCTAGCTAACCTCGCCCGCATCAACACACTCCGCTCAACTACGGTGTACTAGTTGCAGCATCGGCTGATCATCATTGCATTGGTACCGCTATCAAACCCTTCTGGTCGGACTCCACAGATCATAGTTTGACGCTGCTAGAACTTGTGGTGGCGGATTTTAGACCAACCGCGTAGCAATACTGGGGGAGTCTAAAGTTCCGACGCCAGCCACATCGCGAGCTACGAAACTTTTCAGAAGCCGCCAAGCCTGAGCTGCTTCTCTCGAACACTATTCACCGGCGCTAGATCCACTCCACACGTGCCGCCGCTTAGAATTTGAGTGCCTTTCTCTGCACCGGAGAAGCCGTATCGCATGACGCGATCGCAATCAATAACGCATATCGAGAACCATTCCTTCCAGATCTGGCGACGTCCGGGAGACGTTTGATGCGATATCACGCGACTCACATCCACCAACTCGAATAGGCAATATGTCAGACTCGACGCTCTTGAGCGGCCTTTGTAGCATTTGGTAGGTCTCTACAAGTCACCATCGTCAACACTGTTGTTCTATGGAAATGTTCCACTACAGTCGGCGATCAACACACTACTGCCACATGGCTCTCGCACAGCATTCAAACAACGCCCTAAAAGGCTGAGACATGACGGGCGTCTGCTGACATATGCCAGCAACATCAACACATCCAAATATCGCTGTCCTGGTTGTGCCGCTCGCACATGCTCGCTACCATGCTACAAACGTCATCAGCAGTGGGCGCAATGCTCAGGACAGCGCGATCCAACAAAGTTCGTCAAGAAGTCGCAACTCGTGACGCCAGCCGGTATCGACCATGACTTCAACTTTCTCACTGGCATAGAACGGAATCTCGAGAAAGCGGAGAGGACCGTGAGTGCCACAGGTATTGGCGCAGCATCCGACTATCAACCAAAGTCAAAAAGCCAGCAAGGCGGAACTCAGTATGCTCGGCTCGAAGCTGCTGCGGGCGTAAAGATCATCAGAGCGCCTAAAGGCTTGAGTAGGCAAAAGGAGAACAAGTCTCATCCATCGAGTACAAAGTAAGGCGGCCGTCAGCATGCTCACGTAAGTTGCTGTAGCTGATTAGCGAGTAGGAAGTCCAAAAACAACGTCGTCTGGACGGTTGAGTGGATTGATCATGCAAAGAGGCGGGTGCTCACCGAGACGTCATCGACATATTCAATAACAAATGCGGTCCCCTTTGATCAACATAAAGGCAAGAAGAGAAAGCTAGACGCTGAAGTCTCTCTGACCACAAACTCAACGCGACTCCAAGATGTCACGACTACTCCAACGAATCAGAACAAGCCGCTCAAGCCGCTCGAGCTCCCTCTCGACGTCGACACACAAAAGTCAAAGCGACTCTCTTCCGGACGAAGAACCGCTTCTGTCACTGAAAGAGAAGTATGCGAAACCACCCAAGGAGAGATCCAACTGGCAGAACCGCACAATCCAAACCCTTGCGATGATGGGTCAAGCTCCCTTCCCATTGATGATGGGCAGCATCGGTTGTTACTGTTGAAGCCACGCAACAGTTCGAGCCGCCACGTCCTTATCCCCCTTGACCCACAACATACGCTCGCACAATGTTTACACGGCCGCACAGTCCTCGAGTTCCCGACTATCTACGCTTTTCCTAGTGCAATGCAACAATTATCAGACGAGTTTATGCTTGAAGAAGAGTATCTTAGACAGGAGGGAGAAGAGCAGAAAGAGTTCGATGAGCTGTTAAGGGAACTTGATCCTGAGATATTACGGAGATTGAGAGAGGAGCGACCGCATACTGAAAGGGCGAGAGAAGAAGAGGTGGATAGTCAGAAGATACTTGATGTACTGAAACAGGATCTTGGAGCGGCAGGGCTCTGATAGAGGAGCAGTCTTTGCTTTACGCCTTGTTGCACGCCGAACGGTCATTCAATATCAATGTATTTTCATTGTCGCGAGCTCACATCTTCACCATAATAGGTATTATCCCACTCACTTAAGAGCGCTATTATATTCGGCCCTCCTCAATATAGTCAACGAAGCCACCATGACAAGGGTCCAGCGAGCCGTTGATCCTTTCGGACCTTCTCATCCATATCCTTTCCCATTAGCAATTTTACATCACGTCGGCTACCGGTGCCCGTTCTTTCCTTTGCAGCTATGCCCGCTGTCAGCGTTTCACATTTTACCGTTCTGTTCACATACATCATGCGGAGCGCTCCAGCTGGTCACTGTCACTGCCGACCCGTCCCAGCCCCACTTTGTTGCCCCTCCCTAACCCCAGCATCACAACCAACCCTAGTTCATCCGCGCCCACGATAACAAGGCTCTCCTAGTCCGATGATGCTTCAAAGCGAGCCATTCATGGTTCAATCAAAAGTTTTAAGGCATTCACTCTTCGCTGGACTTTCCACAATCAGTAGTGTCCTACGTCGCTCCTCTTTTCCCCACTCCACTCCACTCCACTAATTCCCTTGCGTTCTTTACACGCGTTCGTTGACTCGTTGATGGCGTTTTAGGACAGGGAATAATCTCGATCCTAGCTCGCGGACATTGAGATCTTAGTGCAATTTCTGTTTTGAGTAAGACGGCGGCGATATATAACGTGATATTTGGCCGTGCTCAGCTCTAGATGTCGATGTTGGCATCGCTACTGCCGCTTCCCTGTGCCGATTCTAGGCCGTATAGTCGGCAAATACAGTTCCATCGTCCGTTATAATGGAGTGGTGTGAAGAATGCTGTCTACAAAGCTAGTGGTCACCTGGCAGAGCCTGAAACTCGGAACATTAAATGATGTGTCGCTATAGCGATGCATGTGTATATGTGTGTTCGGTCTCTCACTTATACGGCAAATTCTCCGGTTTCGGAAGTGTATTTTGGTACGCGGGACCTACGCTGTGAGGTTACATTCAATGCTAAGAACCCATGGAGATGGTCATAATACAGGGTGTCTGGTGTGACTAGTCTAATTCTTGACGGCTCACTGTTGGCCGTGTTGGTATATTTGCTTGGTGATGAAAATCGACATATAGTCCTCTTTTATAACGAAATCGCTCGAGCGACGTTTCACGGATGTGTCTAGACATGTCGATCTACCTCGGGCCTCCTGTTGGCTTTTTTTTTTCATTATCAAGGAGCATGAACGTTGGCATCAATGTAGAACCGTTCAGCCAAACTGACGACTTGAGGTATGGTAGTGAAAGCTCAGTTTAGTAGCTGTGAGTCCTCTGAACTCGAATGCAAATATCAATCCAAGCGGTTGTGATTGACATGTTTCAATCCAATAGACTCCGAGTTAATGACGTGCGTCTCGTTGATAGTCGATGCGTAATTCATTCATAGTATACCCAACTTTGAGCTACATTATAAATCCACAGTCTTCCGTGTCATGCTCCCTTGATCAACTCACTTCTGCTGATCAAGCAGTCCCTTACTCTGCAGATATTCTACAATCTCCCTAACGCTGTCCTCTACACTCTTCAGGTCACTCCTGATGTGAATCTCAGCGTTCTCGGGCGCCTCATATGGTGCGCTAATTCCCGTAAATTCGGGAATCTTGCCCTCTCTTGCTTTCTTGTACAACCCCTTGGGATCACGCGCCTCAGCAACTTCCAACGGCAGGTCGACGAAGACCTCGACGAAGGCGAGCGGCTCGTCGGAACCAGTGGTGACGGCGTGTAGATCGCGGGCGGTTTTGCGATCAGCCTTGTACGGGGAGATGAAGGATGTTATGGCGATGGTGGAGGAGTCGGCGAAGAGCTTTGCGACCTATCAATGCAGCCAATATTAGCTACGCTGTTCTGTCTTCGAGGGTTATTCGAGGCTGGGCATGCATATTGCGTGCTTGCGCCGCGCAATTGCACATCCCAGCATTCGTCAGTGTAAACGCACCTCCGCTATCCGCCGAATGTTCTCATTTCGGTCCTTCTCTGTGAATCCCAAGTCCTTGTTGAGGCCGAAGCGCACATTGTCGCCATCGAGACGGTAAGCGGCGAAACCGAGATGCAGAAGGTGCTGCTCGAGGGCGGTTGCAATTGTCGATTTGCCAGATGCAGAAAGACCGGTGAACCAGATCGTGAAGCCCTTCTGCTTGCGAGATGTGTTGCGCTCTGCGCGGGAGAGAGATGGGTGCCAGGTGATGTTGCTGGAGGGGAGTGTTAGTGATGTTTGGTGGTCGCGGGGTATGGCGGGGCTCACGTTGCCATTTTGATAACGTTTGATGTGGAAGTCGCGACTGTAGGATTAAATCGTGCAGGAAGCCGAAAGTGAGTCTGGACGAAAGAATTGAAGGTTTGCACAGCGAGAAAATAGTCCCTTTACACGTCAAACCACGGGCGACCGGCCGAAAATTCACGCCGCAATGGGAGATCTCTAGAACATCGAAATCTTTTAGCGCGAATGACGTGCTGCTACCTGAAGCAAACCGTCATACTACTTTACACCACATAAGAGGGTTTTCAAAGCGCCTACGCCCTAGTTGAGCCATCGCTGGTTCTGTGAAACTACTTTAAGTGAGGAGATTTGTGATTATATTAATTCTTCTTGGATAGGCTCTTGAGACGATCGCCAACCATGGTTCTAAACCGCATCATCGTTCTCTTATGGTACTAAATATCGATTTTCTGATGAGTCTGATGCGAGGTTCAATTGTATCTGCCCAATAGTTTAGTTCAAGTATGACTGTTCAGAGGAGTCATACTTTACACTACAGTAATATTACTTCAACCGTTTGCAATCCTTCAAACGTCAGTAGTTACACAGCAGCAAACCCCAGAAGCACCTTCCTAACCAATGTTCGAGATAGTGTTTATACATCTTGTCACCAAGCTAACTGTGGGTTGATCGGCTACCTGCATTACCTCCATAGTAGGTAAGAAATAGTCACATGTATCCGTGTCTAGACGAACATATATTTCGTTTGGTCTAGAAGAAGGCCATCTGCAACTGTCCGAAAACCAAAATCCTGGACTGGAGCCTGACGAAGACAATGCTACGTAACTAGTTGGACATAGTTGGCAGCAAACCCACAATGAACATCCGGAGGTAAGATGTGAGAGGAGTACCAAACGAGTAGGAGCTGAGCCCATGTTTTGTGGTTTGTCCCTAATTGATTACTGTTTGGGTGTTGCCAACGAAATGTCTAGTCAGTGTTATCATGATCTAAGACAATTCAATCCAACTATGCTCCATTGTAGACTTCTGACTGGCACTGAAGTGAAGGAAGAAAGAAGTGTTTTGAGACGAAGGAGTTACTCAACAGTCTAATAACTAAAATTTAACAGGCGACTGTCGTTCGAATTTGCCGTAACTGCAGATGATAGCTACGCCGGTTCGCCGATGGTTTACCGTGTAGCAATCGTGTTTGATGATCGATCCTGCACATGCAATGGCCTCAAACATCGGTCAATTCTCGACTCGCTGTTGGGCTAATGCACGCTATAAGTTCATCTTGTTCTGGAAAAGGGTCGTGTACTTCGAGACCAGCGAGCACTGTGAGCGTAGCGTTGTTTTGGCTGTTCTGATATGGTATATGGCAAATTGCCTGGACGCCTTGAGTGTGTAGATGCTCATGTTGCCATGATCCACCCATCATTATACACAGCTGCAACGCAGTGCCCCCGGCAGAACCAATTGTCCGGTTTGAATGCTTCAGTGAGACACATATTGCCTGTCGCCTCGATTCGTCACCGTATCGAGATAACCGACTGCTTCTGCAAGTATTAGGCGAAGCTTTACTGATACGCGGTTGCGGTTGATTGACAGCCAAAAATGTTTCAAAGGTGACAAACGACTTGAATGGCGTCAAATGAAGCCTGGCACCAGAGGGTGTAGTTCAGACAGCGGCGAGTGGCTTGACTCGCTGTCTGGCCATGCGAGGAACAATAAGGTTTACTGTTTTGCCCACTTTGGGCTAGGTGTCAAGTTTTGCAAGCTGTCTTTGCAAGAGAACTGTCGTTTGGCCCCGGCCAGCAGGAATAGAAGGTGCAAAGATACAAGATGCTACGCAAAGACCCCAGAATGTCACGCGGCGTTCCCCGCAATTCATGGCATGCTCGATGTGGGCGACAAGATTGTAGAGTGATCTGGGCTCGATTTCGCCATACGTGGAGAGGTAGATTGCCCGGATAAATAAAGGCCTGGAGATCTCTTCCAATTTTTCGAGTTGCTGAGACGTGGGCTGGGGTCAGCACACCAAGTAATCGTGGCTTGCGAAATGTGCGTAAGACGTTTGGGACATTCGGTAGGTCTAGACTCTGTAGCGAGAATGGGCACTTTCCTGCGTATATCGAAAGTTGTGATAGAAACATGAGCTAAGTTACTGATATAGCTTCCGTATCCTAACCAAATTGTTAATTGATCTCGCGGTTGTTTGGTGTCAACTTACGCGCTGTCTGGAGGAGCCATGACTTGGTAGCGGTTTGCAACCAACTCAAAATGCTTGATCTGAGCCATGGTTGGATATGTGGAGATGATAGATGAGTACCAGCTGATGTTGTGCATGCCGGCCCTTCCCGCTTCGCCTTTTTGAGTGTAGCGGGCTATAACAGGCGTGTGCTATCACTTAAGGGTGTCGTCAGTAGCCTCTCGCATAAAATGACTCCACTACAATGATGCTTCGAATCTACCGCTTGATGTACGTGCCGAGGGACGGAGGGGTATTCACGAAGAAATGTTGGAAATGGCGAAAAGGTAGCTTGCGGCGAAGGCCGTCTCTGGTAGGCTTATAGGTGTCTCGAGTGGTATTTGCCGTCTCTGAAGGTGAGGCAGAATAAGGCAGGAACACTGTATTGACTTGGTGGGGACCATGATGTTCCACGAGTAAGTAGTATGTGTGGGGATCTCAAATGCTTCGATGTGATAATGCAAAACCCCTCTCAACCTACCGCTATCGCGCGATAGTAAGTGGCGATTCGAAAATGCGTTTTAGATCATAGGAGCCAATGACCGAAATCATGGTTGTTGTGCATTGCGAGCCACGCGCTGTAGTGCCGCATAAAGCAAAGCTGGAATGCGGCAGTTGCTGGCCACGTGCGTCCGACTGCAGTGGGCGTACCAGACACGGGCAACCTGGGAATGGCTCCAGGCTACGCGGCTCAGAAGACCCCAATCGGTAGTCTATGTCTGTCTGAAGCTCATACCAAAGCAATGTAACAGAAAAGGGGCCGCGCGCCACAAGCCCGTAGCGTGCCGTAGGAACCGCCAGGAACAGCAATGGTCCAAGATAGCGAAGATCTCTTGAGTGAAGCGTAGCTTCATGCAGCGGAACAGGGTCAACGCGTTTAGGTTCAGTCGGAGTGGAGAGGGCCTTGCAGCATATGCCCCTCTCTCTAGGCATGGTTTGAGCAATTGAGCGGCTGGCTGCAGCGTTCGTCACCTTGGCGGCTCACTGGCGAGATGAGCGGTGCTGAAACACGCCATCAAATCGTACTACTGTAACCTTCAGCTCCAGCTCTCGTGTCGTGGGCAGACGGATACTTGAACTGTAAAAGATAGGAGAAGGGACCATCTCGAGGCTCCTACCCAGGAATACCACCAGCTCCAGAGGCGCTGCCAATGAAGCCGACAGGCCCGCCCGTCCGACGGTCGATCGTCGGCGGGCGACCCTACTGTGCATTGTGCAATGAGGCTTGCCAGGTGGTAGTCGAGGGGGATCCTGACAGAACAGGGCGCGTGAGAGGGAAAGGGACCTTACCAAAGCGAGGTCGGACGAATCCTGCGAGGTTGTAGCCACGGAACGTGACGTTAGAGTGAATATCCCCTCGTCGGTGCATGCAAAAGCAAGGCCCAACGTGCACACATACACACACTGCACAACGGCTGTCACTGCCAATGCAGCCGTAGCCCAAGTCCCAAGCGCAAACCCACCCCGAGGCAGGGTCTCAAGCTTCGGCATAGGACTCGCCTTTTTTTGCGCATGGCTGGAGAAAAGCAGGGGGAGGCACTGACAGCCCCTGGGCCGACTATCTCAGGCTAGGGGGCATCGTCGCATTGGTAACCCGCTGTGACCTCTTGCTTCCCGCCCGCCTTCACTGAGAAATTATTCCTCATTGTTATCCCGTCGCCCTCGACTTGCGCCTAGCCTCTACCTTTCCCCACCTCTACACTACTCGTCATCTCCCTCGTCGTCGTCGCTGTCGCTGTCTGCAACGTGCGCGCTGCATAGAGGCTAAAACCACGCGAATGCAGGCCAGGGTCCCTTCAGCGGCCACTCTATCCTCTGCCGGCTCGACAATCTATCCTGCCACAAACCAGTTCTACGATTCTACTGCAGCGGACGGCGCACGAACCGCCCCAAACAACGGCGCTGCCGTAGCCGCACAATGACCACCTCACCACCAACATCGCCTGCAAATGGAGTGCCGCGGCCCATGAGCGCCATGATTCGCCCCAACCGCAGCTCCAGTCGCCTAAGCATGAGCAGCAAGCAAGGCGGAGGCAGCAGGGCGAGTGATGAGGACAGCAAGACTGCGGTCAAAGTCGGTATGTTTACCCGCAATAGCAATAGCAACAACAAAGACAACAGCGCCCCTAACAACCGTCCAATGCAGCTGTCCGCGTACGTCCTCCGCTCAAGACGGGCGAGCCGGGCTACGACCTCATTCCCCAGCGATTCCGCGGCGCGACCTGCCATGTAACATCGCCCTCGAGTTTGGCCGTGGATGCGGCGGGGGGCAGGAAGGTTTTTGTCTTTGACCGCGTCTTTGGGGAGGACATTGACCAGGAAGGTGTCTTCGAGTATGTCACCGATAGCATCAACTCTTTTGTACAGGGCTACAACGTCTCCGTCCTCGCATACGGCCAGTCTGGCGCCGGCAAATCGTATACTATGGGCACAACAGGCCCGCAAGAGCAGGGAGACAATGATATTATGGGTATGTTCAACACTTGGAAAAAAAAACTACCCTTGGCAAGAAGATGGTGCGCTAACTACAGCATCAGGTATAATCCCTCGCGCGGCGGCCTTGCTCTTTGATAAGCTCGAAGGGCACAGCAATCGAGCTTCTGCATCAGGCATCCGCGCGCCGTCACGCTTGTCAGGCCTGCATACCCTCTCAGGAAAGTCATCAGCCAACAAAAACTGGCAGCTGAAAGCGACCTATGTTGAGGTAAGACACACGCGCTTGGAGTATGACAGTAAAGTTGACACGGCTAGATCTACAATGAGCAATTACGCGACCTTCTACTCCCCGAAAATACCCCCCTCAACGAGCGCTCAACCGTGAACATCCGCGAAGACCGCGATGGTCGCATTCTACTCACTGGCCTCACGCAAAATTCAATCAATTCCGTCGAAGATCTTCTCAGTGCGCTAAACTTCGGGTCCGCCATCCGTCAAACCGATGCCACTGCGGTGAACGCCAAGTCGTCTCGCTCACACGCTGTCTTTAGTCTCAATCTAGTGCAGAAGAAGACTTCGGCAGTACCCTCCACGAACCGCGAGAAGCGCAGATCGGTCCCCATCGAGATGATGTCCGGCTCCAGCGAGAGCTGGGTCACGGTCGACAGCAAACTGCATTTCGTGGATCTGGCGGGGAGTGAGAGGCTGAAGAACACACAAGCGCAGGGCGAGAGGGCAAAAGAGGGCATTTCCATTAACGCTGGACTTGCAAGCTTAGGCAAGGTCATTTCACAGCTGTCAGCTCGCTCGCAAGGGGGCTACGTTTCGTACCGAGACTCCAGACTCACGCGTCTTCTGCAAGACTCTCTTGGTGGTAACGCCATTACTTATATGATCGCCTGCGTCAATCCGGCAGAATTCCATCTGAGCGAAACCCTGAACACGGTTCAATATGCACAACGCGCTCGCGCTATCCAAGTCAAGCCGCAGATTCAACAAGTTCATGACGACAGCGATAAGCAAGCGGCAATCGAACGTCTACGTGCCGAAGTCAACTTCCTCAGGGACCAGATTCGATTATCAGAGCGCACCGACCGGAAGAAAGCCAATCCACAGGAACGTGTCGAACGACAGCAGGAACGTGAGATGGAGCTTCAGAACCAGCTCCTTGATGTTCAAGAGAATTATAGCGCACTCAGCACCCGCCACGCCAAGCTCATCTCCGAAATTACTAAAGCGCGTGATAATGAGTCGGCCGACACACCCATGCTCAAGGATGCCATTGGTGATTCTGCACTTGAGCGTTTGAAGCGATCAAACTCGTTTGCGGAAGCCGTCGAATCTGTGGTACTCGAATACGAGAAGACCATTCAATCACTGGAGTCATCGCTCTCAATCACCCGAAGCTCTTTGTCGACCAACGAGAGCGACTTGATGGAGAAGGAAACACGTATCGCGATCTTGGAAAGTCAGAACCATCAACTGCAATCGCGTATCCAGAAGGCGATTGATCGCGACGCCAACAACGAGGAATACGTTAAATCGCTGGAACGTCAGGTCGACAACTCGACAAACGGAATAGAAAAGAACGACACCACGATATCTGATTTGCGCGACAAGTTGAAAAAGGCTCGCGAAAATGAGTCTAGTTGCGAGGAGTACATCTCAACCCTGGAAGAGCGTCTTGCAGAAAATGAACAGGAGGTCGAAATTATGACCCGAGAGATTGATCGATTGAAGCACGTAGTTGAAAGACAACGTAGCGTTGGCAAGCTGGACAATCTCCTCTACGAGCTCGACACCATGCGGCAGGCGGATGCCAAAGCGGAAGAGACTCTCGTGAATGGCCACTCCAAGTCTGACAGCGATCCCTTCGTTGAGAAGCGACCTCAAATAGAGCGACGAGTGACCGGTGAGAATGGGCATCAGTTCAGCACAACTGTAGATGCTATTGCAGAAGAGCCTGATGGTGAGCGTCCTCCTACAGCCGGCGCAGTAACAGGCATCAAACATGGCATAGAAGAGCAAGATGACCACTCGCAAATCAAGGCCATCGCCCAGAAAGAGTTGTCTCCAGATACGGCTGCGGATGAGCCCTCGAGTCCAGCACAGTCTCGATTTGTTCACGACAAACTCGATTCAGTAACACACGAACTGTTTGACCTGCGAGTGGAGCATGAGGGCACTCTTCAGGACTATGAGAAACTCGCAAGCAAGTATCAGGAAGCATTACGAACCCTGGCCGCACTCCAGGATACTGTAGATGAAGCACGTCATCGCGGAGCGTCCTCGGTGCACTCCTCGCGGCCAACATCCTTTGTGGAAACCGCAGGGGCGAACGGACTCAAGGTAGAGGATGGGCAACTACCATCCTCGCGTACATTGTCTGCGGAATTGTCCTCGGTGGAGTTTGAAAATGACAACCTACCAGACGACGACACGGAAGCTGGCCATGATCAGACAAAGACACGGAGATCATCAATTGACTCCGTTGCACAGGATATACCAGATTCTGTTCTTGTCCAGGAGCTAAATGCATTGAAGTTGTTACACGCAGAGAAAGAAGACCGTATGGCCGAGCTCCACCAGAACTTTTCGGAGCTGCAAGAAGAACATCAAGACACGCTAGACTATGTGGAGGAGCTGAAGTCAGAGATAACAAAAGCTCAAATGACCCGTCCAGCCTCGCCCTCAGTACACATGATCCGTCGCAAGTCCAGTCAAGCAGTACTCGCAAATGATCGTTCTAACCGCGCTTTCGCCTCCCTACGCAATATGGCTCTCGATACATTTGAAGAAGACCCCGACGCCATCCAGAACTTCGAGCTCAACCTGAACACCATCATGTCAGAGCTACATACAAGGTCTGAGCGAGTGCAGGAATTGGAGGCCGAGGTCAACTCTGTGCGCAAAGAGATGGAAGGCAAGATGACGTTGATCAGTGGCCTGACCAAGGAGCGATCGAGCATGAAAGCTGGATCGCCTCTCGACATCTCAATCGTTGCCAGCATGCAGGACCAAATGAAGCAGAATGAGGACCACATCAAGGAGCTGAAAGACTCCCACACTCAGCGAGAGCACGAGCTCCATGAACAAATTGCGACCCTCAAGGCTTCAGTGAAGACTCCGGGGTCACCTGATGACGCCAATTCTCCACGCCACTTCCAGCATGAGCGAGCAGCTTCGTATGATTCGAGTGTTTCAACGGACGATGATGCTGGGCGTGCCACGCAGCTCAACACACTGAGTGACGAAGCAGCCAAGTGGCAGTCCAAGCATTTGGAAGTCATTGAAGCTACTAAAGCTTCTGAGAAGCGACACCTCGATACTGTTCGGGACTTGGAGTCAGCAAAGGAGCAGCTTGAGGCGGATCATGCTTCTCGTTTGGTAGAGCTGGAGCGATCCAAAGGTGCTGAAGCCGAGATTGCTTTGGAGCAAGAAAGGGCGAAACATGCTGAATTCGTTGCTGCTTTGCAGATTCAAGTTGATGAGCACAAGGCTATCGCTGTGAACAACGCTATCCGCCTAGCTGAGCTTGAAGAATCGCATGCGAGCATTATTAAACAGGTGGAGGAAGATGCAGAAGCACGGGCTCTCACTGAAAAGGAACTTGACACTCACAGGTCGCTCGTCACCAACCTGGAGCACCAGATCGAGGAGCACAAGGCTGCCATTAACTTTCATCAGCAAGGCATGGACTCTTTACAGAAGTCTCATGCGGTCGAGCTCGAGAAGCTCTCCTCTGAACTTACCACTCATCAAAATTCGTCTACTTTGCTCCAAGCTGATCTTTCACAAGCGAAGACGAATATGGAGACTCTGCTGAAAGGCATTTCGGCTGTCCTAGGCCAAGAGACAGATCTCGACAAGGTACAGTCTCACATCGAGGCCTTGGTCTCGGAGAGGAAGTCTATCTCCACCCAAATGGACGAGGCCATCAAGGATCTTCAGACGGTGAGGCAGGAGCTCTCTGATGCCACCAACACGATTGGTACCCTCAAGGGAAATCTTAAAGAGTTTGAGCTTATCAACGCGGAGACACTCAAGGAGCTCGAGCGAGTCAGCGAGAAGGAGCTCAAGAGCTCTCGGCTTGTTCAAGAACTTGAAGACCAGCTCAATCAGAACTGGGATCAGCATGAGGCTGCAAACAACCGGTTATCTGCTCTTCAGACCGAGCGCACACGAGAACTACAAGATGCCATCGTCCATGGGGACGGGCTCGAAAAGGAAGTCCAAGAATCCCGCATAAAGATTGCTCTTTTGGAGGTAAGCTGCCTTTTTACGTTGAGAAGGATCGCTGCTAACATGTCTAGTCACAACTCGTCGATGCAAAGCGAAACTCTACCCGTGGTTCCATCGACCCTCGGGAGGATCTCCACAGGTCCAACTCTAACAACTCCAATGCGCGCAAGAGCACCTCGCATACCTCTTTGCCCTCACCGCCGCCTGCCATCCCTCTTCCCCCTCTACCTCCTGGCAGTCCTCCACCTCAGGCAAACGCGCCATCGCCTCCTACTTCGCGTCATCAAAGCAAGGATATTGCACACGCTCAACTAGTCGAAGACCAAGAAGCTCGCATCCGCACTATCGAGAAGCATCTCTTTGCTGAAAAGCAGCTGACCGCAACTCTCGAGGACGCTTTGACAGATCTCGAAGCCTCCAGCACTAAGACCAAGACCGATCTTGACCAGTTCAGGAAGAAGTGCGTTGGTCTAGAGGAGGAGCTCAATGAGATGCGCAAAGAGCGTAGCGCAGCGCGACACTCGCTCCAAGCTGTCGAAGAGGAGCGCAACGCCCGTCTACGGGTAGAAGCCGAGCGCGCACACCTCGAGGCCCGTATGGCGGCCCTCAACAACGCTAACAAGAAGAGCAAGAAGAAGGGCACTTTGAACTGCTTCTAGGCACCTCTTGAGCACACAACTCTTCACAACTTACTTTCGTGTACACACTTCTGTGCCATCTGTTTACCGGCGCAACTGGGAACGGATTGTTACATACCCCCGATACACCTGACATTTTTGCTTCACAGTCAGTTTACACTACTTCATTACCGACATGGACTGTCTTTTCTTCGAGATGTCTTTATGCTTTCTACGATTTGCAATGCTCGCATTTCAGCCACATACATTGGATGCAGGACCAAATGAGAGTCATGTCGACCGGACATTGCAGGGTCGTTTTATACCTTTTCTTCCTTGTGTTTTACAACCACGCGCCCCATACCCCCTACTTGCCTTACCCACCCTTTACTTTCTTAATGTATATTACCACGGGCGGACGACAGTAGGAACGACGCTACTTCTGAAGGAGAACGGTTGGACGTTGGGCTCCCCGAGATTGTGTGGGACGTTGACGAGCAACATAGATGTTGGTAGCTGGAAGACGTCTATACTCTTCTCGAATTTCTTGTGCCTATTTTGGTTCTGGATGGTTTGGTGCCGATGATGAGAGACTGGAAGGAATTTTGACCGGTCGTAGTCAGTGACATATTACCCTTCAATATACACACAGTCGCTTCCATCAGCTCGCAAAAACGTTACTATATATAATCGTCTCTCGTGAATAAGATGACTCATTAACACTCCCTAATCCATCTAGCTCAAACTTCATCGTCGGTATAACCATGTGCACCCCTTCCACACATGTTCGACTTTGAGACACCATCATCTTGTTGTCCCTACCCATTCGTATTATACAGCGATATATGCCTTAGATGAGTTGACCTATCTGTACCGAGGATATGCACGTATTCTAGCCACCGTATCAGTTATTTCCAAATCTCATCGCATAAAGCGATCTCAATCGGGTAATTAAATTCGAATATACTCATTCGCATGGTAACACAAGGATTATGGGGGTATTTGCGTAGTCGCCAGCATTAATTGATACTACATTCATATTTGGACTTCACTATAACCCAGAGAGAAACGATATTACGCTTATGGTGAGGTGGTGGTGCATCCATAATTGTGATATCAGTAAGCTTTCAAGTAGCTCCATCAACAAGGAGCTAGGCTAAGCTCAACAATCTCTACATAAAAGCCTTTGTGATAGACCAAACGGGATGCAGACCAGTGTCTATGGAAATATAATACTTTCTACTCGTGTATGGTATTGCGACTGGAGAGGAAGATCAGACCTGGTTACGTAACCGCGCTACGGCGAAACAGTCGCACCGGTGCGCTTCCAAGCTAAATTTTCCGGAGCTTCAAAACGAACTTTCTTCTCTACCATCTTGCAACAAGCTCACCACGCATCTACATTATGCGCTTCCGATCGCTCTTCTTGATTTATAGCTAACGCAGCATCGGGTCTATACAGTACAACAAGTAAGCTCCACTCTCGCTGCTTTAGTCGCAGAAGATTATCTTTTACAACAATCCAACTCCTACAAATCCGTGAAGGACTACAATTTATATTTACGATGATGCACATACTAGCAATTCAGTCTTCACACCTTTGCCTGGTCAAATCACTGACAGCGTTGCAGTTTTGCGTAAACAGAGCACTACTTTTGCGCCCATACTATTTCATTAAAAGGTACGATTCCTCCCACCTCTCCTACCACAACCCCCAGCAGAGTGATGATACCACAAACCGGAAAGGCATTCCTCGACCTGAATATACAATGTCGACAACCCTGCAATTAAGTTTCAGCCTTGTCTGATTCTGCTACACACGCTCCGACTCTTCGTACACAATTTGCAACAATACAAAGCTAACTGTGTATCTGCAGGTACTTACTACTCCCTCCGAACCTTCTCCGCCTTGCGGAGCCGAACGAGGTTTCGCTAGGATCCTCGCTCTGTTCCGCAAGCACCTGCTTCCTGATGATACCCACGATGCGTCGGGCGGACAGATTGTACTCCTCGACCGGCATCCGTAAACGCAGGCGTACAAACCTGTGGGTGTTCGGGAGAGGAAGTACTTGTTGATACAGCATCACTGATTGCCCATAACCACACACACTTGTCTACCTATACTCAGTGGGTTGTTTAACTGACTGGTTGCGTAGTTCAAGGTACGGCATACTCCAGTTACCCCAGACGGTCCATCATCTTGTGATGATTCTTGATATTCACACTGTGTGAGCGGCGGCGTTGTAACGAGCGTCCGTCGTCCTGATCTCTCAACAAATCTGATTTAATGAGGTACGTCTATATTCGTGACATTTGTTCTGTTAGTGTTAGCTAACACGTCTCAGGCTGAAATTTGATGGACTCGTACCTTTACATATCGCTTAGATGTTGTCATTGTTTGCGGACACAAGCTGACAACTCGATTTCAGTAATCAATCATGACCACTTTGGTCCTTGATCTTTGTTCAACTGGTATGTCTTCAGCCTCGTTTACCCTCCCCAGCTTTCAAATGATGAACACAATCAAATGCTATGTTTTAATATCTGCAATATTATTGAAGAAAAAACACCTTGGAGAACTGAAACGCTACCCAACTTCACATCTCTCGCCGCTTGCTCTGACCTGAGTGGTTTGCTGACCAGCGATAGACTTTGACAATGACGGCCGCTCCCGAGCGAGTTTTCTCAGGCCATTTGGCCCACTTAGTGTAGTAAATGCAATGTATTCCCAACAAATCCCCAATGTTCTAGACTTCATGTGTCGGTGTGCAAGTGAACGTGTCCATGAAATGTTTTAATGTACTAAGTGCATATCCGCGACTTTAGAGCCCGAACCTAGATGTAGGTTTAGCTTCTCGTGACCGCTATTTCACCGTACATGGACGCCGTATACTGAACATGCTCATAGCCGCCCGCGTGTCCGTCGGCCTGCCAACATCCGTAGGCCCCCCGACCAGGTTGACTATGAAGCAGTTCTAGGTGAAAAACATTCCCTTGTGCATGAAATAGCGGTCAGGATAAGCTTTGTGCTGTCAAAGACGCATTCAACGATGTACTGCTGTATGTACAACACAACAAGGCGAGTCGTTGGAAGTAGACCCTGTCTATCATTGTGGAGTTTGTACTACGCTTTGCTCAAGCTATCTAATCTAATCTGATCTGCTCTGAGTGGAGTGATTTGACTCAATAGGACACGGTAGCATGTAATATTACTTCTATCTTTCCGCTGGTGATACATAATACCCCAGCGATCAAACAGCGAACTGTGTTTTTTTCTCTAGATCCGGAGCTTACACCTAATTACCCAGCAAAAGCCGATGTATTCCTCGGACTTGACGAACGGGGGGGACTGGTTTGGGGACGGTGTGGGATGGCATGGGTGACGTGGTGGATTAAGGTGGGGTTCCATGTACTTCGTGCAACGTGCATTATGCACCGTGCATGGGAGCCGACGATTCATCACTTTTTAGTCTGGGAGACTTGCGCATGCACGACATTGTTGTTATTGTTATTGCTGGAATCAATAGCCCCCTTATGGCGGTGTAAAGGCTATTTTAGTGGGGCTTGTATGTGTGTATTGAAAGATAGAAATGTGCAGCGTAGGTTAAACTCTACTATTGCTGTCTATCACGAAGCTCCTTTCGAGACAAGAAGGGAATTCCTCGCTTCCGAGCGTTGTTTTTGTAGATGCGTTATAGTAGGATGAATGGGCTGTACGACTTTGGTTAGTCCCTTTGTCAATTAATTGCTGGTTGTGTGCGCGCTGAATGGGGATCACAGAGTGAGTGCGCTGGGGCTGTAAATAGCCTGGCTCACGTAACGGAGCTGAATCCGGACGGGGGAAATCTAAGGTTCTCACCATAAACCATAAGGACTTGTGGCGTATCGGGACGGACCATGGCGACCTCGGGACAACGGCTGATGAGGAGCTGAGCTTTTGTGGAACGTCGCGGGTTCTGGGCGTGAGCGCGAGTGTCGGACAGCGACAACCGTGAGGAAGCAGTTTTGAATGCTATTTGGAACTCGCGTGGTTGCAACAAGGGCCTTCATTACTCGCTCAGCAAGGGACGTAAACAAAAGGTTGACAGACTGTGAGACAGGTGCGTGCTTCATAATTCTGTCCACGTCAAAAGGTGATTGGTACTGCAGGCATGTATTGACCGAGGTGTTGCGAGACATGAGTGGTTGTGTTTCAGCAATAAGCGAGGCATCATAGTGACTGGATGGTAAAATCGAACTCCGCGGTGACCAACAAAGTCAGTTGCAGAGAATCATAATAAGACAACAGAGACCACCTACGTCGGTGTAACCAACATCATTGCACTAACCTGCATGGGATTACATGAGTGGCTTTATCGACGTCGGGAAGAACATGTGGCTCGAGGCACAACTGCCGTGTTTCCCACGTTATTGCTTTTCTTCGCATCGCAAACGAGATTACCGTCTTACTTTTTCTGTCTTTCCCCATGTTAGAGCTGCTCCCGAAAAGGCGAAGGCGCAAACGAAGGTTGAATAGGGAAATGCTGTACATCGCGATCATTTCACCCCCCTTCTTGTGATGTCATGTTGTGGGTCGCGATTCAAGGCGCGCGGACAGAACTGGTTTGCTCACGGGCTCGGATTGCAGCAAGGCGATGGTTCCCGCCGAGGACCAGGAGTTCAGGCTGAGGGTTGCGCAATTGCATCCGGTTTTGAGCGGGCACCACCCACCATCCACTTGATATGAGGATGACGCAGGGCTGCCCCATCCTGGGCTGGATGGAAGATCCACCCTAGGTCCGTCCCGTGTTTCGTGGTTCCGCCGTTGAAATGTCGTCGTGTGTGTTACATAGAAAGGAGAAGATGAAATAGGGTAGACTGAGAAGGGTATTGGAGCAGCCAGATGGAGTCGCGCTGCACTCTGTTTCTGGCGCGGAAGATGTCTTGCAGTAATTACGTTGGAAGTGAGACTATGGAATGCTGTGTATTCGAGGGTGAGATCGCACAAGAGCATGATTACAGGGTGGTAAATGGTGTCGGGGTTTCCGATATTTAGTTGTCGT